TTTGTGTGGGACGAGAAATCCTTAACTCTCAATCTGATTCGAGTTTGATGTTCTAGTGGATTCTATATTTATTTCTCATTTCCCTTCCAAAAGAACAATTCATAGATCGGGGAGTTTACCATTGGGTTTTCCGCAAACGTGATTGTTCCGCTATCCAGTCCTCCATCTATTTTTGTACAGATCCTGCACCAAAAAAGTTTATGACCGGACTCTAATAGCCAAAGATCCCTAATGGCCCACGAATTTACCACCACACCGGTAAATGCATCTCGCCCGTATACCGTCATCACTAATAGAAGAACGCTTATTGCCTCGAAAACATCTCCGTCTTGGATTGAAATTTGGCCACCCCAAGTTTTAAATCAAAAGTTCTCTCGCATCCAGTCTCGTCAGATTAATTTGCACAGGCCATTGGGACCAAAATAGAAAAATCATAAAATTACAAAGTCAAATTGGCCTTTCCCTTTCCAAAAAGTGAAATCAGTCATTCCGAGCTTTTAGTTAAACCGTGAGCATTAGTCCAACTTTCCCTGATTTGAGCGTGGCGAGTGTGCACATGTTTATATGCGTTTCTCCTCTAACAATGAAACTCTTCCTAGTGTAAGTCTCAGATTTTGGCTAATTTTATTGCAATGATAAGCAGTCTTAAATTTGTAATATCTCCTTTAAATCGATTTTGAACATTTTTCAGTTAAAACGGTTTAACAACGTTACAACTTATTCAATTTTTCCATATTTCGTGGGGAAATATGTACAAAGATGTCAAATTAAACATTACAAATAGGTAAATTTCAGAAAATAGGCTTAAATTCTCACATTGCATAAGTGTAAAAGTTTGTACAGTTCCCATATTTTTGGATATCAACGAAATAAAACCAATCTCATAAAAATCTGAGATTTATCCAGGAAAGATCCGCATGGTGGTACAATTTCGCGACCCAATTCTCCGTGATCATGAGCAAATACCCACAAATGGAATATTATGCTTTTAGCTTTCCCTTCCGTCATTCGGGGTTGGACATTACGCCCAATCCCGAAGTGATTATTAAACGACTTTACGACGAGTACTTTATTCTCCTCGTTCTCGTATGCTTGCCTCTGAATGCATTTTATTTCCTGCCAAGAAATACGTGTACATAAATACTGCACACACGTACATAATTCAGGAATGAATTGGCCAAGTCAAGGGGAATTGAGAAAGCTCGTATTTCTTTGGGGTTTGTAAATCTCTTAAACATGCTGTTTAATTACTCCCATTAGATTTGATGAGACAGTTTGCTCAGATTACGACTTTTAATTGGGATATGACAAACAGCCCACGCGCTTCATCATAAAGAAGGAACTGGGTTGCATCAATGTTCGAATTGCAAATTGTGCACTGTTGGAGAAAGGAAATCCATTAAATTCGGAGGTTTCTGGTGGCATAAAGAGTATCGTCAAATTTCAAATGTGCCCTTGGCATTTAACGTGATAAGCACAGGAGTTCAAGTATCAAATGGCAAGGGGTCATTTTCAAAAGAGTTGGAAACGTGCTTCAAGGTTGTTTGGCGTTTTCGCAATCAGGATCATATTAAGATTTGTTAATCAGGTTTATAATTCAGGTGAAATTTCACGACATTTTTTTTCTCACCATGAATATCGTGACCTTCACTGCGCTAGGTAATACGGAACGGACTTGACAATGACGACTTTCCGCGTATGTAGTGTAACATGTAACGCTGTGAATTTGACACGTGCAACAGATGGAAATATGTATCTGGTTGCAATGCAGGTTCAGATTACTGCAGTATTAAACGGAATAAATAAATTCTCACTGCCATGGTAAATGTTATTATAATTGAAAATTGAGCAAATAATTTGCAACTAAATGGGGAAAAAGGGTAGGAATAATGTGACTTTCACAAGAATCTTATACAGTTATTCATCCAATTATATAGGAGAAACAATGCGTATCAATACAAGAACGATTCACAGGTCTAAAAAAATCTGGAATTGCAATCATTACACGTATCATTCCATCCAATAACATGTAAATTGACACAGCAGGTCTTCAGTAATTTTCGATGGTTTCATAGAATATTTAGAGAAGAAACTTGGTCACCCAAAAGGCACATATGTACACATTTATATACCCAATACCCAATAAATATAGACTTCGGGATGCAAAACAACATATTTTGAAGCCATTAAATGTTACAATAATATGTTCAATCCAACGGTTGTATTTAGATAAATCTAGTACCTTTAAATGTATTTCTAATTTGTGTAATTTATTCTCCTGATGAAAACAACAAGTGTCGTCGTATTGAGCAAAATAAATATGTCAAAAATGGCTTCCCCACACTCGACTTAAGTTACGATTTTTTGTTATTAAATTTGTTTTGGCTGTGAATATACGTCTAGAGATTGGGAGAGGTGTGCATGCGTGGGCTAATCTATAAGCTCTTAGACAATTTATGTGCCAATGTGACACAAAAATAGCTTACTGTCAAACTATGTGTTTGGAATAATGCGTAATGTTCACACAACATTTGTCTTTCTGAGAAGATCAAATATAAACTGTGACGCTGCAATGTCTTATTCGTAGTGGATCAGGATAAATATGAATCCATTTGTGAGTTACATAATAAGTAAGTTAAGGGACGAAACCTAAAAATAAGCAGCCAAATAAGTTTGGCAGGTGAGTGGAAAACTGGAAATAACATAATTCGCAACATTGTCAGCCATCACTCTGTATTTTTGTGTTTACACTGTAATCATGAATTGAAATTGGATTACTTAACATGTTTACTATAGGTTTTGTATGATTTTGTGTCAAGTTATTGGACTAGGGATCGAAAAAATGTAGCGGAACACCTATTTACCTAGATACCCTTACTTATCGTACACCCACTGCGTGTTAGACTTACACCCAGTAATGTATCTGCAGTAATCTGCACCCACTAGTGTTACATGAATATCAACATATTATAAATTGTAAATGTCGATTTTATTTCTGGTTTGACTATGCGTGCCACTTTACAAGTTCAGAGGGTTTGTTTGCTCATATTATGGCATCTGTTAAAATGAGGACACAACAAGAATAGGTTTAAAATAGGTTGACATCAATTTTGTGACAAGCCTCACATCTCTCCACTTTCTTCAACAATTGTTCACAGAAGTGAGGAAACGAGGTGGGTGGGTGGGTAGGTTGATGTCTCGTCCATGTTCTTGTGTAACAAACATGTCGCAGCCATCAAGTAGATAATTTTCAACACTTCCTCCTTTTGTCGCCATTATTTTATCTTCCGCACTCAAAAGTCTGAAGCAATTTGTTCCGTTTCGGAGTCGTTGAATGAACAGCGTATTTTTTTCCCTTCAAATAAGTACGTCCAACATCATACACCAAAACCCATCCATTACAAACCTTGGGGGAAGAAGAGTTTTACGATGAATAGCTTTTGACTAATCCTAAGAGTCTTGTCATCTTCATTGTGAACAAATTTAGAAAACATCCAAATTGGCAAATGTCAAACTTTTGAACCCGCGTGTGTAGAAGAAAATTACAAAAGTAAATAAATACCATTCTATTAGTACATATTTTACCAATGACTAAATGCTTTTGATATTTCCAGGCTTGAATGTCATTGCTATTTATAATGCGAGTATGCTTTATTCGTACAAAAGGGTTGCGCATGTTTAGTGTAAATACATGTAGCATTCTCTCCTTTATGGTAATGAGCTCTGTCCGGCTGTCGGCGATGAAATTAAAAATATAAAACAGCAATGTCCAGTTTCCGGGTTCGAGTTTGACTCCAAGCACTAAATATTGAATGCAAACATGTCATGTTATTTCCGTTCCAACAATCATCTCGAATGAAATATGAAACACTTTCTCCTTGTTCATGACTTTCCCCGTGTACTATACGACATGACTTTTAACACGAATAAAGTACAGAGTTTCTGCTGCTGCTTGTGCTGCTGCAGGTTTATTCGATCTGCCTGTTCCCGACTTGGTACATCACTCAACTTCGTCTTGAACTCGTTTCCGATTTACTATTTCAAGGAAACATGTACTTGACAACAGCGAGTGATGGCTTGTCGTCGTCTAGGAGTAGTTGCCAGCCTGTACCACCCACCCACCCACCCGTAGTTTTTCCAAAGTGTACAACAGCAGCACAGTCTTGTTCACTTAATGTACATACATCTTTGCATGCATGCAGAGAGATAGCACAGGACCACTAAAAATGACAACTTGAGTTCTTTGAAAGCACAAAGTTACAACTCTTGCTTCGTGTGTGGGTGAAAGTACAAAAGTTGGACTGGCTGTTCAGTCCCATAATGCTCAAGTTCATCATCATATGTCAAGTACTTTTTGGTAACGCCATGTATTTAATTTATGTTTCTCTGTGTATGTCCTTATGTATGATCACCATTAATATGTACAAGAGAATCTCTCCACGACATTGTATGCACACAGAGATTCCTTTGAAGAAGGAGGATCGTGGTGTCGGGTGAGAATGATCACTATTTTGTTGATGCTTTGTTTCTATCTTTGTACGCCCACGCCTATTGTAAACTTGCTTTCTCTCGAGAGCTGAACAGAGAAAGAGGGAGAGAGCAGTAGCAAAAAATGTATAAATTCATTCTCAATAATACTGCTCCCCTCCTGTTCCAACTCTCATCTAGTCAACATGTCGTTCAAGTATTTTATTTTTAATGTTGTACCAAAAATGGAAATGTTTATCCAGAAGTTTTTCTTCTCGATGTTTCTGACACTTAAATGCAGAACTCGCTAAAATGACTGTTGCTTTCACTTCCACCGGAAGTTGTGAACTCCTAGCCACGCCATCAGATGGACAGCGGAGAAAGCTGGTAGGGGAAGAAATATTGGGCAAGAAAACGAAAATGTTTCAAGAAGATGGGGACAAACTGGATTGAAACTGGTTTCTTGTTGTATGCACAGCAAAGAGAAACCCTTGATGTGAGATTGTACTTACATATGTGGTTGTTACGAAGAGTTTTAAAAGGTTGTAGCTCACTTTTATTCTAAAATAAAGAATGGCAGTACATGTATAAAATAAAATAGCGTACATGGACAGAAAGTCAGCATTTTGAAGGTTACGCAAAAAAATCTAACAATGAGCGAACGAAAAATAATATCTAAACTTAATGTTGATCATTTTTGTTTCCGATTGATATTCCCAAAAGCATTGATAACTGTGCTTTTAGTTCCAGAAGCTGTGGTTGTAAATGGGGGGAGGACCACGTTAGGTTGGGAGTATGTTATTGTGGGTAGGAGGAGAGGGGGCATCACTCCTCGCTGGTCCCATTTCGACTTTCTTTTTGGCTCCGCTTCTGCAAAACGTAACGGAACAATATTGAATACAAATCAGTCTCATGAAGATGAATATTACGTTAAAAATGTTGTTTTCCAACTGAAAATATGGATATTTACCATAAGGAGCCGGTTTTTTCACTATACCAGAAACAAATTCAACTTTCGTCCGTTCCTTCCTTTCTCGTTCTCTCTTCTCCATCAATTCTTTCTGGGCTTTCGCCAACTCATCGTAGTAAGAAGACTCGTGCCATTCATGAGGATCGAATACGTTCTAAACAGTTATGATGATTATGCAATTATGTATGAACAAACAAAATAGTTGTTGGATTCATAATCTAATTATATAGTTAACTTACCGATGGATAGTTAGATCCCAATTCATCAATATCACAATATTTAATTAGTTTCTCGTAAATGCTTGGGTTTCTAAAGTTCTTATTCCTTTGAATTGCCAAATTCATGTCCAAACCACCCTTGACTTTTTTCTCCAACATTTTTGCAAACTTTTCTTGTAACTCTGGTGTACATTTGCCTGGCGGCTCTGGGGGTATTAATGATTTCTTGACCGGGGGTTCACCACCTTCTAAATCCACAACTTCTATAGATGATGACGTATCCCCGTTGTTTAATGGTTTGTCAGCTTCTGTTGTTTTATCGATTTCACTTCCAGCAGTTTTCGCGTCGCTGTCGCCTTCTACACCTTCAGAATTAGGCTCGGGTGGATTTATGCAGTCCAAGTCATCGTCAATAAAATCATCTTGATATGAGACCAAACCACCCTTTGTAGATGGCTTCGAAATAATCGGTTTTGTAGTTTCCACAAGTTTTTGAGATTCTCCAGAAAGCGACAGTAGTTCAGTCCGGGGTGAGCTAGCTGGGTTAACTTTTTCTAAAAAATAAACAGTGTGATCTTGATAATTTCATACACGTCAATTTTTCCAATTACTACTACTTACTTATAATTTGTACTGTTGAGGATTGAGATTCTCCTCCCTCAATCTCTTCTTCGTCTTCTGAATCAGTGTATTGTGCTGTTAACGAAGCCAAAGCAGAATGCTGCGACATTTTTTTCAATCGGTATCCCAGTTAGATGACCCTCCCCCAATTTTACTAAATAAACCGCATATAATAAATTAAATTTTCAAGATTTAGCAAAACTTTAAAAATTCTTAACAAAATCTCCACCTCAAGAAGAATTAGATATTCAAATATACGTCATAGCAAGAGGAAGGTCAATTTCTGACGGGCTGTAAGTAAATCTGCAAGTAAATCTGGCTAACAATTTCTTGACAGGATTGACAGAATTAAACAATTAAACAATTGTCGGGTTAGGGCAACTGAGCAAGTGATAACAAAACCAAACCATTCGATCTCCGCCAGGACTTGCTCTATGCTGCTGCCTGTAAAGTGAGCAGTAAAAAGTGCTTGAGAATGTAAATGTAAAATTGTTTCAAGTTTTTCATGAATTTATTTGTTTTCATTAAATCACAATTTTACTAATCAGACCCAATTTAAAATTATCTATTTCCAAACGAACAATATTAAACTGAATAATTTTAATATCTCTCTTATAAATATCTCTAAACATTTAATTCGAGCATGCACTTAGATATGTATATACATAGTTTTGCGAATGGAGATTAACAACAAGCTAATGACGTCCTTTCATATTTTTATGGGAGAAATTATATTTTGGGGGATTTTTCTTGTAGAAATGTTTGCTGGGCGTTTTATGCAGCTTGGACTGATGACGTTTGTGGTCGTATACAGGAGGAGAAATGTAGAGGTGTGTCTTTTTGCCCATCTGCGTGATAATCATAATGCAATTAATAATGCACATCTTTTTGTAAAAAAAACTTTGCTTTATGCAAATTGACTAAAAACTAACGTGGTAGATGTGTTGAAGTGGTCTTGGATAATGGCGAGGTGCAGGTCGAGGGTGGTACCCCTTTTTCGGTTGAAAATGCCTTTGAGGAGGTGTACGAGGCTGGTACTTGCCATACCTTTAGGATTTGCAGAAATTAAAAATTATGACATAAACTGCTAAATGCATTAACTGTAGCTTTCTCTCACCTAAAATAACATGGAGTTTGGCATGTCGACATACAATAGTCACCTAGCTTTTCCTCGTAATCATCGTCCTTAGCGAAATAATCTCCTGAGGAGGAAGTACTCCCAGAAGAAGAGATGCTATCTAACAAGTTATCGTTACCAATAGTCGTGGAACATTCATTCTCTGAAGAAGACGTGGTAACACATTGGCCATCAGCGGAAGAAGACGAGGGGTCATTATTCAGATCGGAGTAGGTCGAACTGATCCCCGAGTTATCGGAGGAAACCGCAGAGTAAGTCGCCCCATCCGTTGAAGGGAAATCTTTCACCGTCTGGCCGTCGCTTTTGATGCTGGCAGAATCTCGACCTTGTCGTCGTTCCCATCCATATTCTTCTTCCGTGGACAAAATAGGGTCAATTATCGGAAGGGAAAACGACACAACAGGGGGTCGAACATGTTGGGTTTGCGTTTCATAAAAATTCGACTGTTTCGACCTGGTTTCATATTGATCCAACGTGGGACTCTGGAATTAATTTTGAAATTTCTTGTGATGACTACAAAGCAGGATCTTTTTTAAAATGTGATAGCCATAATTAAACTGATTAATTAGATAAGTTATATATACATACATACCCCGTTAACAAACCTAGTCACTGTGATTAATATGATGGGAATTGTAAAGATTTGCACACTTCTTAGAAAACTGCACAACCTCATGGCTAAAAGTAAATAAGTCCTTGTGCAAACTAGCAAGGAAATTGGTTTCCGAAAATTAAATTCGTGCAATAATATGTATGATATGTTGCTAATAACCTGCCTGATTTAAATTATCTGTTCACTACAATATGTTAGTGGGCGATATTTAATGTTTTCCCTGCCTCTTAAAACTTGGAACGTATTGGCGTTATAAATATAATGAGTTTTTGACTGGTTAAAACTTTTTTAGTTTAAAGATTAAATTACTCTTAAATTGGTCACATTCAACAACTTTTCCCTCGTATACGTCAAATAAGTCAAACTCCTAGGAACTGAAGGTTCAAATATTTCAGACAATTCAATAAGAAACTCATTTGCCTAATTCCCCAATTCGTTAATACTCAGAAATTCCAAGTGGAGCATGTAAATCATTCTTTATGCACATGATTCTTGAGCCTGATTTTGAGATTACGATAGTCAAAATTTGTCTAATAATTGTAATTCATTTAGTTCTGTCATATTTGTAGTATATTCCAGACCATTGTAACTTGATGTGATTTGTGGATTATGGTTTTCATGGAAAATGTTTGACATCTTACATATGTAGAGTCACACAATTTGTGTAAAATTTTATAACAAAAACTTATATGTGACATTGCGGTGTACCATTTCCAGAAATATTGCCAAGTAATAAACAATGTGTCATGTTACAAAAATGCCAATTACGTGACCTCATTAAGTTCCTTATGCAAGTTGAATGTCTCAAATAGTTCTCTTTAACGGAAGATGAACGACTCCTTTTTATGTGCATGCATCTTTGGATACATGTAAATATGTAGCTTTGCTTTGATGAACTAGTTTAATTGCTGAGATGTCGCATTTTATTTTAACTGATGTCCTACTCCCTGATAAATATCCACATCTCCTGACCAATTGAATTTGATGCGTCAATGAATTTATGAAATTTGAACTAACTTATATAATGGTGATTAAGTAGCTTTCAATCAAAAATATTCTTATTTTCATTCATTTACTGTCATTCGCTGCCCATAATAAAAGTCAACGCCATAACACAGACAAAATGTTTTCTTTGTTTTAGCTAACTTGCTACTACCATTTTTAAACATGACACAAATTCCAAGGGGCTTGAGTAAAATGTTCATAATCAAATATGCCTATTCATATACTTTTTTAATGGATATCAAATACATAGCTTCAATTTTTGTACTGTAAGAGGACTACCGGGTGCGCCTGATGGGAGGATGTTTAGTTTTTAGTTCTTATCAACATTATTGTATAATCAAGGAAGCTTAATAAAAGTGCAGATATCTGCCACCGAGATCTCAGTTTACTTTTGAACTACAAAGTATAATTAAGTTTTGACGCAGCGAGTTCGGCAGAGATTTTTGTCATTCGTTCATTCTTTCGTATTCTTTTTTCATTTTTCTGCGAGTGTAAGGTGGGTGGTGGAGATGAAGTGGTGTTTAATTGTGAGTGTGACCCTTTGGTCGTCGTTGCTGTCCCAAGCTGCCATACTCCGTCGTAGCCCTCAAGTACTTAGAGCCTTCCCGAGTCCGAATCCTGGTCCGAGAAATGCCCGGGTAAGAACAACAATTCAGTTAATATTAGTCTCATAAATTATCTATTCAAATATTTTCACAAAATTTCGAGACCAAGTTGAACTCAAATTTAGACTTAACTTTCCTACAAAAACTTTTTAATTTCCTTTTTCGATTTTTTTTTCATCTTAAAATTTTATGTCGCTCATTAATTTTTTAGTAAATAGAAATATTGATAAAATTGTAGTGAAAAGTAGTTTCATCCTCATAGAATTCACATTTGTGTTGCAAAATTAGACCAACATTTGGCTTTCACACATTAAATTTAAAATTTTTACAGCAAACGGACCTTTATCCATCGTATTCGGAGAGTGGTCAATCCTACGCGTCCCCAGCTTCGGATGCATACACTCAGCAGTATTATGCCCCACAACCTTCCGCGTCGACCTACCCCAACCTGAACGACTATTTCGCTAATTCCTACACTTCGTACGCTCCTCAACAAAAAGCCACGTACGTCCCACAACCTTACACCTCGTACTCGAGCAGCAGTCCCTACATCACCACCACCACCTCTGCTGTTGCCCCCACGTATTCCTCCTCTTACGCCCAGATAAGCTCTTTGCCTTATCTGAGCCCCGTCACCACCTCAACGTATTCTGAAGAGTACGAGGCCCCTGCCGCTTATCCTGCTGCCTCCAACTCCAAGTCTCAATACGTGACCAAGCTCTCTTCTGCAGCCGATGCCTACAGATCTATGTAAGACTTGAAAGAAAACGAATTTCTTGATTTATTTCTTCACCCTACTTTCTCCTTCTTATTTCAGTGCGGACTGTTTGCACAGCAAGCTTCAGGTAAGAAATGACAGAATTATTAAGTTTACATGAGACCCTAACTGACTGACTAAAGAAATGGGTAAATCATATATTTTATTCAATTGTGTAGAGTGCGTACCCATCCGCGGATAAAAGTGAAAGTGAATACCAGGCTCCCGTTTATGGTCGCAACGCCAATGTTGATGTTTCTTATCCTGCCACATCTGGGGTAAGAGTACAGTATTTTTGATAATATCATACAAATTAAAAATATATTTCTATTAAAAATTTAATTAAAATAATTATTGCTTCTAGTACGTCGCCCCAGCTCCATACACACCAACTGCTGATGCATCGTACACACCCACCGCAGCATACACACCCACCGTCGATACATCGTACACACCCACTGTTGATACATCGTACACACCCACTGTCGATGTAAAATACACGCCCACTGCGGATGCGTCGTACACACCCGCAGTTGGCGCATCGTACTCTGGAAGGTCCGGGTAATTAATGGGATCATTCCACATGTATTTTTAAATGACACATTTTTGTTTAATGATCTAACTGATTTGGATTTCTTGCAGCTCCCCTCTAGACGGCTTAACTAAGGTAAGTGTCGCTTTGCTTTAAACTACTTCATTGTGACTATTTACTAATGTTTCTTATGATTTCAACTCACATGTAGGGTTTACCATTGAAGGTACATGTAGTATTGTTTTTATCACATTTTGTGACTATGTCACCAAGGTCTTAATTTCCTCTCATGTTTTCCACTTGTTTGTAGGATTTACTAAAGGTCTTGGGAAGGGCAAAGATCGAAGAAATTGACGTAGTTGCCGAGGGAAATCAAGTTGGTGTCGTCGACGTTATTGTCGACGATTCGTACGTGTGCCACAAAGTAATTGCTACTTTTTAAAAATGTGGTTTAATTATTTTGTATTTGTTTTCTTAGAGGCAACAAAAATAATTTGCAAGGAACGGTGAGTATCTGATTAATATTGGTTGTTCTCCAGAGATGCATGAATCAATGTCCTTGTAGCTTTTAAGCGACGACACGACTGTCGCTCAAGCGAACGCAAGAGCTGAATTGGTGGATGCATTTGTGAAGAAATTTCAAGCCGGAATAGTTAACGTGGCTGGTGAAAACGGGTAGAGTTCAAAACAAATTTAATGTCATATATTTACATACTCGTAATCGAAAAAAAACGTAATTATTGATTGTGAATTTTCAGGGGGAACAACAATAACCTCGATTTAACGGTGCGGAAATAAATCAAGGCATTATTGCTAACTAATTAGTATAAGTGTGGTAATTCTATTTTTTACAATATTTTAGGTGCTTAGCACTGACACCAATACCGTGCAAGCCCAGAACGGGAGAGGGAATAATGACGACGACTTTGCTAACCTGCTCAAACTTGTTTCTAATCATTTTGTAAGCAAATTATACGAAATTTTTATACTGGTGTAGCTTAATGTGTTCTAACATTTTTAGATATGAATTTATTGTAATTATTTTTTCAGGGAGGGAATAAGCATAATGGACAAGAAAGCAAGAAGCGTGACGAATTTGAACAACTACTTGCTCTCCTTGTTGCACACAGCCAGTTCGGTTTGGCCAATTTCAATGGCCAGAACCTGTAATATATAACAAATTTTTTGAATCTTATTCACGACTACTTTTACTTCATAATTTGATTTGATTTTACTTCAGATTTAACAACAACAACCTTGGATTAAATGTAAGAATCTGAAATGCACCTTTACTTTCAGATTATGTGACTTCATCATAACGATTCTTATTTGTTGCAGCTTTTTGGCCATAAAACGAACACATTTCAGAACCAACACCAACAACAGCTAAAAGAGTTCCGAGCGAAACAAATAGAAAAAGAGCTAATCGACTTACTCTTGGTCGGTAATCAAGTAGGAGGAGCCAATGGTGCCTTTGATAACATGTATGTAGATCATAAGCCTTTGCGAACATGCTATTTCAGAATTGTAATTTTATTGTTATTTATCTTGCAGTGCTAACAATAATAATCTGGCCGCCAATGTAAGTTAATTTATGTGCCTAGAAAATAGTTTGAAATAAGCACTGATCAAGGCGATATAGTTATTGTGGTTATGAAGAGAAGTATACCAGATGCTGTGAGGTAGCAATTTGTTTCGATTTTTTTTGGAGTTTGGGAATCTCAATGTTTTTAGTGGTTGCGACGAATGGTTAGGAGACTGGAAATGGTAAAAATATTGATTTCGGATTTGGGTTTAATTTTCGACAAAATGTATTTTTCATTAAGCAAATGCTTAATATCCAAAAATTTATTTTAATTTTATGTGTCGTGTAAATATTATGCAATACGCCATAAAAACCATGAAGAAATATGTTTTGTCGAAAATTAACCTACAAATCCATATTTTAACAGTTTCCAGTGACCTAACAATGCGTCCCATTGATCCACTAACAAATCTGAGATTCCCAAATTCCTAAAAAAATTCGTCACCTTGCACCTAGTGTACTTCTCACCATAACTGTCTTATAACTACCTTGGTCCTGATATTCATGATACATATATATTGCTCATATTTATATACTTTCAGATATTCAGCTCTGGAGCCAACACCAACCAGTTCCAAAGCCAGCATCACTCACTTTTCAAGGGCCGAGCTGAAGGAGGACATGGAGGAGAAGGTCATCACGGTGGGATGCATGGCCGTGCCATCGCTGACAGCGCGAATCAATACGCAACTTCTCAGAATGATGCTGGTTACCAGGCCTCCTCCCCCAGCGGAAACTATGCTGCTTCCAGTCCCTCCTCTGACTACGTGCAAAAGTACTAGTTTCGATTTAGCTCGTATTTCTATGAGTACGCATGCTTACAATTTTTAAAACTATGACATTGTAGATTTATAAAATGAAATTGATGTATTTATTGATTTGATTCATTCAATTAAATTGATTGCTATACAAAATTTCTCAACCGTTTAAATTTACACTGTAGCTTTCTCATTCTCAGCACCCTTTTGCCTTTCAATTCCATAATTCTGATTGGTGATTGCCAAATTAAACTTTTCACGACTAGGAGGGGGTGGTGGTTCCTGGGAAAAATCCATTATGAAAATTGGTATTCGTTTGGGCAGCTTAAGTAATTACATAATTTTTTACCATAATCGGAAGTCCCATTTGATTCAAAATATTTCCGAAGAATACTTTTAGCTCAGTAAAAGTGGGTCGATCTGCAGGAACATACCTCCAGCACTCGATTAACATGTTGTATCTAAAAATCATTGCACTTTCTTAAAAATCTAAGTCGTTTTTTGGTGAATTTCTAATTTTTTTTTACATTGCATCATCAGCTAGATCCGGTTTCGGGGGTCGATTTCCTTGTCTCAACTTCCTCACAAAATCTTCTGTCCAATTAGTCCCAGGATATGGGATTTCGCCCAAACTAAATACCTCAAACAAAGTTATGCCGAAAGCCCAGACATCCGATTTATGAGAGAATTCCATATCACATAAACTTTCAATTGCCATCCAACGCCTTAATTAGTACAAATTGATAATCATAAATTAGACAATTGTTCCTCACAAGGCGATAGTCGCAAGTAAAATTATAAGTAAAAAACCACAAACCAAGGAAGTGGAGCCTGCATCATGCAAAAAATGAAACGTGAAATATTGCATACGAAAACATGACAATAAAATGGTCACATACTTGTTGTTTTTTCACATAATTTGCATATTCATAGAGTTGACGTGATAGTCCGAAATCTCCGATCTTTGCATAAAGCTGATCCGTCAGTAGGACATTTCTAGCAGCAAGATCGCCGTGAATGACCTGTAAAATTTACATGTGTAATGAAATGAACAGCCCATGATAGTATGATTAACCGCAGCGTAATTAACCTTCCTGCTAGCCAAATATTCCATCCCACATGCGATTTCACGTGAAAACTTCAAAAGAGTATCGATGCCAATTTTCATGGGTCTAGCACCGGGTTGATTTTCATAGAACACTGTGCTCCTATATTAACAGGGCTGTTAGACAAAATTTGATTACGCGCATATGTAGCTTATTATTATTATGTACATATTCTGCATATATTGTCTGTGTGGATTTCACCTTTGTGGTTCTGCACTGTATCGTAAATTGGTACCGTGAAAGCTGGCAAAGTCGCTTCTGTGACTCTTGAGAAACTTTTCCAAGCTTCCATTCTCACAAAACTCCACAATGATATACACCTCGCCTGCAGGAGGGAGTAATATTTGGTAAAATTGAGGTTAATACCCACATTTTGTCAGGGACGATACATATGTAACAGAATTGCGAGGAGTAATTACGTTTGCGAATGTCGGTGGTACAAGCTCCCAACAAATTGACAATGTAGGGATTTCTCCCAATAAAGCTCATTATTTTCAGCTCTATTAGCAGGGCCTTGAAGTTTGTGATGTCTGAATTTGGCTGCAAGGTCTTGATGGCGACCACAGTTTCCTCGTCCCCTGCAAACAGACCTCGCGCAATCCCTTTAAGTACCAGACCATAAGCCCCAGACCCAAGTTTTTCTTCCATTTCTAAGGCCATAAAATCGTGATTTTTAGCTCAAAATTAAATATGAAAAGTCCGCATAATAACAGAACTGACTGATCTCGAGGAAATCCTTGGGAAATTCGTAATCTCTATTGTAAGCTAAAAGGTGCCCTTGTTTGTTGGTGTCTTCAGTCCGATCAATGGCATCCGGATTACCATACAAAAATTCTTCAATTTCTGCATCAGTCAAATTCCGCAGCATAGCCTGGCATTGTATGTAAATAGGGTTATTAAAACCAATAATGAGTAGTTAACCCTCTTCAATTTCACCTTTTGTCGTTGAATACGTCTCCAGAACAAAGCCAAAACAATGATGAGAATTAGAATGAAAATTAAACTGGGAATGGTTACACCCCAAATTATGGATGTCTTTGAATCTATCAAATCAAAGGATAATAGCTAAGGCTCAACCATGGAATAATTTTAATTGTCGTTTACCCGCAACTGAAATCGTGAATTGTTTGGTGACACTCCCACCAGGATTGGTCGCTTGGCACAAGTAATTTCCTTGATGAGCATATGCAACTTCCTCAAACAGTAAAGTATCCCCATCATTTTCAACAACAACAGTTCTGGGAAGCTGTGCATGCAAAAAAATCACTGTAATACATCTCATTCTTGTCCAGATAGAGTATGTGAATCTCACATTTTTGCCATCCTTCATCCACTGAATTTTTGGAAGAGGCAACCCCACTGATTCACATGATAACCTGTAGTTTGTTTGTCCAAGGTTCAAATCTATTTCAGACTCTTTTTGAGAAAATGATGGACTTTTTGGGGCTACAAATAAAATGGACGATGTAAGTATCAATTCATCAAAATTGGTCTAGATTATAAATAGAAAAAATATATTCTCACATTTTACAAGTAACTTTAATGGGAATGTCGTCGTGTTAAACGAATCCCAATGCGGTGCGATACATGAAATTTCAATAATTTCCGTCGTGAGAATTTTAATTTTTGAGAAAAGTGAGATAATTCCATTCCTCGGATCAAATACTTCTGAATAATCCATCAAATTTGCAGCCCCAACTGTCGGGATATCTGTAACCATAAATTGCATCGTCATCCGTTCTACATACACAAGTAAGACAAGACTAAGGAATAGTAACACATAGGTTTTTTTTATTAATACCGCTGTCAAGTTGTAACAAATCCCCAGATGCAAGTCGGACCGTCCAGTAAAATCCACGAGAGAACTTGAAACTCGTTCCGCTACAGGACAAATCCACCGTTGTCCCAGCAAACGTCTCGTTCCCAGAGTTCGAGGAAGCGATCAATTTGTCGTTGTCGAGTTCCTCCGTTTTATTATCTGGTAATAAATCATATCATATAATACAAAACACAATATTGAAATAAATTTGAAAATCTATCCCAATTCGAAGTCCATCAATTTAAAAAACCTACGGATTTTTCCAGACACTCCGATGTATAGTGACAGCTCGGCATCTTTTATTCCGTCACCTCTGCACATCAAACGACCTGGGGTGCCCCGATTAGGTAACTTGAGACAACCACCGGAGCATAGTGACGCTTCCAAGGCGTCGCATCGACTCCCCTGCTCGGCATAAAAATTTAAAAGAACTGTATGAATTATCAGGAATTTATTACAATTTAGTACATCAGACATTCTTTACAAGGCGATACTCATAAGGAAAATTATAAATTATGCAAAAATCACGAACCAAGCTGAAACATGCCCCCCTGACTTGACACTCCATATGGTTGGTACACGCCACAAACGATATTGAAGGAACATTAGATGACTTTGCCCAACAAACATGCGTGTGTTCCAAGAGACGACGTGACCAGTAATAGTTCCACCCGCGTCTTTTTTTGTCCTTTTCACCTAATAAATTGATTGAGCCATTACATATGTTCCTCGTTACAGCAAGCAACCCTCGTTTTTATGCAACATCTTACTTACTAATGACTTCATACGTCCACTTGTGTGACACAACAATTTCCCCGCTCTCTCGATTGATTGCGTGACATGTAATGGTTCCCTCGTCATAATAAGTGACATTGGATAAGCTCATTTCGGCATGATTTCCATTTGGAGAGTTTATCACTTTCACGCCTGGATTGGTCAGAAGGGAACCAAACTCCACTTGTAAGCGTGGATCATGGCTACGACAAGATGCAGTCACACCTTCGCCGTTCAGAATTTCCAAGTCGTTAATAGACGGGGAGAATTCCACATCTTATGAATTGTAAAAGCGGTGTAATATAGTCGTCTATTTATAAATATAATTGAATAGAAATCTAGAAGACTACCAAATTTTTCCTTGAGAAATACTGTCACTCGATCAAATGTTTTTTCGAGGGTCGTGTAACAAATATATTTGCCCCAAGGACTCGTAATTCTTGCCAATTGAAGTCGGAAACCCTCTGTCGGATCATATTCAACAAGAGATTTGTCCAGCTCTTGATACGTTTCCTTTGAAGTTGTTGTACATTAATGAACATAAATTGAACAAGTGTGTTCTTAATTAACTCGTATCATTCATGGCGTTATTACTACCTTTCCATTTTGGGAGACTCGTTTTGCCAACTTTGCTTGAATTCGTCTCTTGTAAGAGAGACAAGGAATAATTACTTCTGTTTGATCAGCTTTGACAAAAATATCCTTGTCTCTGCCATATTCTAGGAAGAACGGATCTTCTCCACGGTAGCCGTATTCTGCGTGAGAATCAGTATGAAATGGTACTTCTATTTTGGAATAAATGTATTCTGTGACACAAAAGCATTTAAATAATTCACCCTCTGCAAATATATAAACAACGTTTTGAATCCGATTATCCCTCAATAGTTGGCACGACCATTGTCCCGTGAGTTGTGAACTGACACGATATATGAACAATTGAGCGAGGAAGATTGTTCCATTTTCAGTGTTCTTTCTGTAGTTCGTTAGGTTCACTTGGAGTGGAGACTGAAATTCATGCATCTCAACTTTTACAGAGTTCCGGCCATATAACAGCTACATATATGGACATAAATACGCACATGCTGTTCACATAATCATGTTTCGCTTACCGTGAAACCCGTGTACTTCCATTGAACCGGGTAGTTGGACTCGCAGTTCAAAGACACGTTCCTAATGCGATTAGACAACTGTAAAATGTGTCTGGATCCACTGCCTCGTCGTGCGGGTTCGAGAGCCACGGAAAAATTTGAGGTGTCACTTTCATTTAATAAAACCCACTTTCCAATCGTCACTCTGGGGAATTCAGTTTGTGAATGAGTGCTTCTGGTTATGTAAAGCAATAGTAATATTAGGAAAAATAGGAATTTATTAGCAAATGAGAAATTCATTTTCATTCAATAACACGAAATGTTATATATTTTATTGTACGTTTGTGTCTGAGCTGTCAGACATAAAATGTAGAAATGTTTCAATATAGAATCGAATCGAAATTAGTCACTTTGAGATGTTGTTGAATAATATACAAGAAAAACAAACTACTTTAAAGACTAATTTTGTTGAGTAAGATATTTGTTCTGAGCTAGTTTGCACCGGAATGTTTAATTATATAATTCCAACAAATTTACTCATAAGCCGCAAAAATAACAATAAAACACAACCACATTGCATTGAACTGGACCCAGTGATCGTGCTCCTCGGTTGTTTTTGGAGTCAACTTCCGTCTCGGCTGGAATGCGGCATTGACACAATTACGATAAAATTTCTTTCCAAATTTACATTTTAGTCGACAAGATTCCCTAAAATTGGGGAACAGGGAAAAATAATCCGTATTTATGGCAAAAGTTGTGGCTTCCGAAACTCCTTAACTAAACTTACATAATTTTTGGTTAGTGGCTGTTGTGTAAAGAAGTGGACGATTTTGATGACGTAAAGTATTACTTTCGGCTATCCATAAAATAAATCAAGGATCTCAACAAAAGATAAAATGCAGTGATCAGATTTATTTATAAATTTTAGCATTTATGCAATTGTAATAGTGCAACAACAATAGAGGCAAAATTTTAAATGTAAATACTGATTAACTTTAATCTAATTATTACAAATGATGTAAGAAATGGAAAATACTGGGTTTTCCTAGAGCAAAATTAAAGTAAAAATCACACGACGATTAAAAAACAGAACGTTAGAGGATTAGGTAACCCTGCAGCCAACAACCAGACAGAAGATCAATGTTTTTCGGGGTGATTGACATCGATGTAAGCAGAAAGTATTTATTGACTGAGGATTAGCCTGAGATTAGCCCTGAACGTAGAGAGCGTGAATTCGAGAGTCCCAATCTGTCGTGTTCCAAAATGGGGCGAAACAGTTGAGTTGAACCAACTTTGGCGACTCCAGACGAAGAACCGCTTTCGCCACAACATGACCCGTTGGGAGGAATGTCTCCTCAAAGTCCACCACTTCTTCCGAGCCTGATAAACGCAACAATTTGAGTCATTAAAGCATACATTAGGCCCCATTCTTCGCCAACATCAATGAATGATGCTGATTGAATTCTGCGTATGTAAGTGGTAATGAATTTTAATAAGTTTCATTACGTAATGGCATCATTGTACTTAATAATACGGCGAGTTGTTTCAGACGTGTGAGTTGCACTGCGGTGCACTATAAACTGCATGAGGTCAAAAACACTTGTCCATTGAAAATAGTGTAAATATTTCCATGTCTATGAACTCTGGACATGAAACAGTGTTGGTAAATACGAGAGACAGACATGTAATTAAAGCTCGTATGCACTTCACAATGCTTCCCTGACAAGTGCCATAGCTTTAATGATCATATTCCTTTATGATTTGGCTAAATTGGTTTATTTGTACGTTACAATATATTCCTTGCCGTCATTACTGCCAAAATTCTAGACCAATATTAGCAGTTGGTTTTCTCTTGCATTTTAGAGTGGAGAAGTGCTAATTATTGGAATGACATAGACAATTTGTGCAGCAATTAGTAGGACTACAGCACAACAAATTAGCTAAATTTTCATAACGATATCTGCAAATCTATAACTTCGATTTAACAATGCAAATTTACAAAGTAAAGATTCGGGGAATCCTAAAGTGGTATAATATGACTTTTTACTTTTGAAAAGTGTAGAAAGGGCTTAAGGAAATATATAGTGAGATGACTTACTCGGCTCTAATACTTTGACAGGCCGTCCTTTTGCCTTGATCCCCCAACGGAATCCCCCCGCATAAAGGAAGGTGGATCCGGTGCATGTAAATTCCCCAGCGGAGCCAGACTTGAATACATGCTTCCCACTCAGCGACAGTTTCTCCTCCTTGGGTGCTTCAATCATGCTGTTGTACACTAAAAATGAACCAGCAACTTTCACAAGGTGAACAATCAACTCGGGAAATGGGAAAGTTTGACAAGCGTAAAAAAGTTGCACATTCACACACCACTGTATTCTGTCAAGGCAAGTTCAAGACCATACCATTGAGCTTGAGCGTATAATAACCAAGCAAAATTGCAATATACGTCTGTAGTCACCCGATTTTATAGTTATGAACATGAACCGAACATAAAATTTGAGAGGGGCCTTCCACATTCCACAAAGTCGCTATATGTCATTTCTTTGCCATACGTACATACATGCTCTTTTCTACTATGTACAGAGCTGGGTGATTATTGGTTTTTGAGGGTGGATTAAGGATTATGGATTAACCACAAAATAATGTGGATTGTGATTAAATTATTTTCGTCAGATTAATTCATGTCAGGATTAATCCGGATTAATCCATAAATTCTAGAAATTTCAGGATTATGGATTAATAATCCGGATTAATTTGGTGATTAATGATTTTACACTACCTACAGGTATATCTAGTGTAACAAATTTCAACTATGTGGTTCCACATAAAATATTTAAAACGCCAGTTTCAATTGATATATGTAGCACAAGGCAGCGAGAACATCTTAACTCTTTAAATAGTAGCTGACAGGACAAACTTGTGAGAACTTGAGATTTCAAGCTGCAAAGTGGTATGAAATGGAACTATGGGAATTGGACTGACAAGGGACACTCATGACCTGTCGTTTGAGTCCAGGGTACCCACTATGTTATTTTGAATCTACTAGGACCCCAGATGAAGGATTCATTCATATTTCCGTGTAAAACTCATATTTGGCGCCATGGCGTGGCGCCAAACTTAGAAATTTGCATTTTCGACCAATTTCAAACCCTCATAACTTTTGTAGTTTATGTCGGATTTTCAAAATTTTATGCTTAAAATGACCACAAAAGTCAAAATTTTTGAGAAAAAAATAAAAATAAAAAATTTCTAATTTTTGAGATATTTTTAGCATTTTTTCGACGAACCCCCATTTCTAAGAAAATTACGAAATTTTTCGAAAAGTTAAAAGCGATAATTTTGGAAAAAATTTCATGGAATACGAAAGTTTAACTCCTTGTCATGATTTTTGCCAAAAGTTTTTAAAATCCGTCCAGGATTTCAAAAGTTCTGGCGGTTTCAAAAATAAAAACATTCAAATTTGGCGAATTTGGCGCAACGGCATGACGCCAAATATGAGTTTTACACGGAAATATGAATGAATCCTTCATCTGGGGTCCTAGCAGATTCTAAAAAACATAGGGGCCACCCTGGACTCAAACGACAGGTCATGAGTGTCCCTTGTGAGTAATCCAGACTGAGAATTAATCATGAATACCTCATCATTATTACTAATCATGATTAGAATTAATCTGGATTAATAATCATGATTAGTAATCATGATTGGGATTAACCAGGATTAGTAATCCGTAATCACGATTACGGATTAATGACATCTAATGGGATTATTCCCGGATTAATTCTAATTCCAGAAAAATCAGGATTATGGATTGGGATTAAACTACAAAAAACTCTCATTGCTGAATTAGGGATTATGGATTAATAATCCATAATCCGGGATTAAAATCCATAATCCTTAATCAGGATTATCCCAGCTCTGACTATGTATTAACACAAGAATAAAGAAACATTGAGAAGCGAAGTGCTCGATGCTAAAACTTTCTCCGAAAAAAGAGAAAAAACTATATTCCAACTCTGAAACAGAGTAATAAATGAAGACGATTAAAACCCAAAATATAGCACAAAAGCACAAAAGCTAGTAGTTTTAGTGAAATTATTACATCTCCATCGTCAATTTTAACTGCATCCTTGCAATATCCGCATATGGATACATTGTCAGCTCAAGATCAAGAAATTATTCAAAAAATGGTGTGTGGTTTTGCTGTTCGAAGGAAAAACGAGTGTCTCCTCTACGTGGAGGCAAGTAGTTGGAAACTCCAACTTGGAATGGAGGAGCATGTTTATATTGGAAAATATATTGGACCGAGAATTTGACAGCTTACACATGACACTCGGATTATGCTCAGAATTTTAAAAAGCTTATGAAAATTATTTGACAACATATTGAGAATACAATAATGGCTCAGCGTTGGTCATGATGGCGCATATATAAATAACATGAGGACACATGACAAACGAGACTGACTGCTCAATGCTCACCATAAGTTCCTGAAGTGCCAAGAAATTGTCGGATTTGTTGGAACACGCCGTCCCCCTTACACTGAAGGATTCCCGTTTGATTTTCAATGGTGGAGTGAGCACATCCACCAGAACAGAGTTGAACCAAGGCTGGATCACATTTGTTGCTCTGCAAATAAAGTTAGAAATTTAGAAAACTCGATAATGTGTAGCGGATCATTCCAGGAATACGGGATATCAGCCGTGCTTCCTCATACATGTGGGTACTCAGAGCAAACAATCGTATGTGCATGTAGGTACATGTACATGTGGAGAAACAAATGCTGTATCATGAGATATTTTTGTTCAAGGTTAATCTTTTGTTAGGATGTAATGTTGCTTGAGGGCTTTCGTTCTATGAATTGAACAAAATCAAAATTGCAAATTTCACCTCAGATTAGCACACTGTCTGGCTGAACTTGGCGAAGGACAGGGCCTCAACTCCTTAAAGGGAAGGAATATTTAAAACTAAAATAAAATTACATTTTGAAGACAGTGTCCCCTGATTTGACACTCCATGGGGTTGGTGCACTGGACAAAACTGAGGTCGGGAGATTGGCTCGTTCTCGCCCAGCAAGCAAACCAGTCCAACTTGGTTCGTCGTGAGTGGTACTTATTTATACCTCGACGTTTTTCATCAAACTCTCCTGTAAAGTAGAAACCATAAAATTTCCAATCAAGCTAATTTCTCCCGCAGTCATGTTAAGTATGCCGAAATCAACATTAAAGTCACTCATCTGTTGAAGCATTTCTCACTTAGGTGGAAAAGCCTGCTTGACGTGTCAGTAAATTTCCGAGCGTTGTTTAAAAGCATAAATATACCGACCAGCAGGGTGTTTAATTGATAGTAAACACTTTGCAGGTAGTAACGATTTCACCCAATAATTGTCCGTCTTTCGTTACCACAAGTGTAAGTATAAACCAATTACTTATTTTGACAGGATTTCTGTCTAAGTGATTGAAGGTTACATAGAGTGACCCGATTCCCACTCCCGTTCGTTACTTACCCACAACGCGATATTTCCACGTATGGATAGGTCGCGCAGTTGAGCCAGAACTGCGAACACATTCGATTTCACTTCCGTCGGCAGGATCGAGATGGGAGAAAACGAGAGTGGCCACGTAAGGGAACTCTGCTTCCGGAATGTACTCTTTTTTCGACGTAACTCGAGCATCGTTCACTTCCTCGCCATTTACGAGAATAGAAACCTCCTCAACTCCTTCGCATCGCAAGTTCAATTTGTCACCTTGAATAATCTCCACCATCTTTTCATCCGGAGTGACTTTAAATTCTGGAATAAAAATGTTGATTAAAATACTTGCGAGTGAAAAGGAAAACATAAGAACACGGGTCTCAATTATGATTGTAGACAAGGTTGCACAACAACGCTAAGAAGGAACGACGGAGCTCTGTCGTTCCTTCTCATATGTTAATATCATCATGTAGCTCGACATCGTAATTAATTAAAATTCTGCCATATGAGAGGTTTCTTTAAAATTTGAATAGAAGGTCACCACTTGCATCATACATATCATTTGCCCACTCGAACATTTGTACGTCAACTGTTTACGAAATATTTCAGCTACCATACCATTTCAGCGACGAGATGGTTATTAAATTATTATTTTTTTAAGTGTCAGAAAAGGTCGGATGGAATTTTGATCAACATACATACACGTGTTAAAGCCCCTTGCTGGATGTATTATTTGTTTAGCAAAAAAATTACAAAATGTGCTCAGATCTCACAATATTACTCACACGTGCATGTTTCCCGTGAGGATTTGCTTTACTTTTTATACACAACTCTTGCCCAATGTCAAACTACGTAAATATGTTTTCTTTCTTGAAATTAATTTTCGCAGAAGAAAAGTAAACTTATTTGAATTAATAAGTTAGGTTGAACTTGGGAAATTGGTACATACTTCAAAAGTGCTCTGTTATCAAGTACCTCTTGAGTAGATTTTGCCACTCATGACTAGTGCCAGCCAACGAATGTTTTCTGCCTTACACAATGTTCGGTTGCATACTGACACATTATTTTAAGATAATTGCAAGTTATAACGTTAGTGCAGTTTAGTTTCGATTAAGAATTTCTCTCTCTTTCTGTCATTCAGTTATACGTGTGCATTTTCTCATTTGTACATTTGTATCCAGAGGCGTAAAGTTTGCGAAATTCTTTGTTCTGTTCTTTCAATGCAAACAACCTGCAGCGGTCCCATGCCTGTACGTACATATCGTTTTGCCTAGGATGGGGGTGGATGGAACTATACAATTGCGGCACGTTGCTTGGACGGGTTTGCTGTCCAAGATTCCGAAAAAGTTGGACGGTTAGGGCTGATTGTCATTGCCATCCTGCCATTATATCATCATCTTGTAATCATGTCATCTACATCAGTATGTATCATCACATTCTTATCGATTCCATTTCGTTTTGGACGAGAAATAAGTTTGCAGCAGATTTTACCAAAACTTTCCGCACACAGGGTTGCTTCCCTTGCTCGTCAAAATGTCACCACTGCATTCGTCCCACCCACGATCCAAGCAAATTAATACGATAAAACCAACAATATACTGACTGAGTAGTGCATATGTACGGACGTAGGTTGGTACTTTGCAAGGAGAGAGAAATTTCATTTTAGGATGGTAAGCTATTAATGTGTGTCTCTCTTTGTCTCTCTCTACTCCAAGCGAGTACAATGCCATGGATGAAAGTGGACTAGTTGTTCAAGTCGTAATGTTGAAAGCCAAGTATGGAAACCCTGTTCACACAATCGTGGAAATGCTGAGCCAACAAATTATCAAACTTTGACTTGTTGGACTTGCCTCGAAACTGCAACTGCCAATTGTCGTAAAACGGTAAGAGCGGCGTACTTACGGCATAAAAAAGACAACATAAAATAACCCCAACCTGGTTTCCGGAGATTCACATAAACACGGTCGAAGGTTCTGTCAATGGATGGACTGCACATGTACTGACCCGAAGATTCTTCAAGCTGTGTCAAGTTCAGGTGGAATCCAACTTTCGGATCGTATGTGTACGAATCCTTGGGTTCTAGTGGCTCGAACTTTCGCTGAAAAAAAACACGGCGATAATCACTTTTTGCAAAAATTACTAGTATGACTTCTAAAAAAAGTAGAAAGGAAGCAGCAAATTGAATAACACTCTTACATGTCTAACATGCAATTCACTTATTTAAATGAGTGCACGTCAAAAATGAACGTACTTATTTAAAGATTAAAATGAAATATTATGAAAGAAGTTATCTAACATTTTTTCTATTATTAGTTTCCTATTTTCACTTGCTACAAAAGTTTAACGATGTAAATTATATTTAAATAAATGCTTGTGCTGGAGGGTTATACGACCATTGTAGTATAACGTATGTATTTATGGAAAAAGAGTCAAGTGCAATTACCTATCCTTTAAATATCCTTACGAAACTATTGTAGAGATACTGTTACATAATTCCATCTACTACATTTGTATGGCTGGAAAAGTGACAAGAACAGTTGGATTCGGCTACCAAAGAATTACATGATTAGTGTTACATGAAATACGTGAACCGAGGTTCACCAGACTCAAATTAAATGATAAAACTAAACATGAAACAAAAAAATTCGAAGAAGATCATCTTCTGAAGATGTAATACAAATATTCACTTCTTCACGATTTTAGAGAATTATTCATAAAAATAAAAAGAAATGAATGCATGCATAATTCAATCATACAATTGGATAATATTTGGTCCAAGTTATGCATATGCTATTCGATCACTGTAAATTAAAGTTTGTTAGGTATGCAATTATAAAGAAAGCGAGAGTGGCGTCACTTACCGAACTGGTAGATTTTTTAAATAGAGCAATCTTGGTTTTAGGGTCCCACGTAGAACATGGGATGATCACGTTTGGTTTTTCACTATTCAAGATCAGATCTATGGTTTGTCCGTACTTAATTAGAACTGGATCTTGACCGCGATATCCTTTCTCTGGAAGAGACGGAGTTTTATCAAATGGATGGTTTGCAATCAGGAGACGCTAAAGTATGGGCACACGTGGAGGTTATCCCCTTAGAAATATTAGATTTTCCTAACCTTGAAATGTTATTAAGTCTTCCTATTCCCTATCTCATAAATTTATACGCGTATATAACGACATGACAGTATGCTCTTCATTCGAGTGACTTTGATTCATGGCAAAATCAGCTCCGTATTTACCTAAGGTTCAGCGAATGTTGAAGACTACACATACGTGGGTCATGCTTAACACATCGTGACACATCGGTTGTGAGTAACTCGTAATAACTCTAATCGCATTAAGTGATGATCATCATTAAGAATTTTCGGGTTTCCTCATTGCCCGTGTTTAAGCAACGGGACTTCATCAAGATGATCTATTGATTATGTACATAAATGCCTTTCCCTGGGTATGCTTGATACATAGTGACCACATCTTATTTCAACTAATCCGAAAGTTCATCCATTCAAGATTACCCTCATTTAACCATATTCAAAAGTGGATACAGAGGTTAGGAAAGCCCGATGATACATAATATTGCACAATTCAAAAAGAAGTCTAACATTTTTGAGGGTTACACGTCCTTGCACGTCCTGTTTTGCAAAAAAAACATCAGATATGGATAAGTGATTCTTACCTTGAGCAAAAATATGCACTTTATCAAACTTGTTGGGATTTTGGATACTGCGACAATAGTAGGTTCCCGTGATGGAGGAAGAAACTCGGAAGATAACCAACTCTGCTAAGAACGTGGGATCGCTCAGTTTCGGTCCAGTTTTACGTAAAGCTCGAACATGCAGTTGCATTGGAGACTGGAAAAACAGCCCACAAGGAAAGGTTAGCATAAATAAGCATGAGACGCATCTCTGAAAAACATCAGCTTTCTTTACTTCTTTCATCATTCATATTTGAGCTCATTAAATGCACGAGCTGACATGATGACAAATCAGAGGACACACAGCAAAGGGATACACATACATACATCAATGCACAAATTGAAGGGCACGATTCGCTTTTAGAGAGATTTAAGTTTACATGATACAGAAACTGCCACGTGGCATGCACGTCAACAATTTTAATGATGCGAAATTTAATAATTTGCAAATCATAAATGTAAATATTACAGATTCATATAATGATTGGCCTTTATAAATTACGTGTACAAACATCCATACCAAAGAGGATCACAGTTCACAGGCTAAATTTGATTCACAAGATGTAATGCCAGACTAACGAGAAAACTGAGGCCGAAACTATTCAAAGGCTTTATAATGGGTTCTTTTTATTTATTTTGCACCTCTTTCTCCTCCTGTTCCTTATAACCCCTTGAATACGACTGCAAATTTCACATTTCTATACCTCGATAAGGACACGCTTTCTCTTTTGACTTACATACAGGATATGGTGTACTTACGACTGCACCTGTTTTCTATTTCATAAAACCCTCTACATAATTATGCTATTCAGGGGGGACGTGTGGGTGGACACGCGCCTCATTATTTAAACATTATATAATTACAGGCAATAATCAATTTATAAGCGTAATTATAGGAAGTGAATAACTAACTAAATGTGAGAATGCTTCATATTTAACATTTGTTTTCAACTGGTTAACTCTCACACTTGATTAATTTCATATCGATATTTTTCCTCTGCCATCAAAATAACTATGCATCCATACATCCATCTATAAACACGTCATTATTTATGTCCCAACTCAACCATCGTATTGTTGCCTTATTACTATTGTTTACCACAGTGTACAATTTGTATTGCTCACAAACAACAAAGTCTCAGAATACAGTTTCATTCCAATTAAATTCAGAATGTGTTTCAGACAAATGAGAAATCGTGCACTGGATGACTGCATCGGTTGAGTGAAATTGTTTAAATTGGGCATTTTTCTGTTCATTATCCAGAACAAATTCTGGCTCAAATAATGAACCATTTCACGCATTTCCCCCATTTTCCATAAGTAACAACGAATTAATAATAATCAGCTAGTGTCATATTTAAAAAAAGAAACATACCGTATCTCCTGCAAAATCCCACTGAACTGGGAAATGTGCCTTGCAGTGCATCTCCAGCCGAGTAACATTGGTTAGCAGATACAGCTCTTGATCTTCGATTTGGGTATCTGGCGCAAATTCCTTGGGCTCCACGCTGACCAATTTTATCTCCGGAGAGCTCTTCACCACTCCAATCAGTATGGATGACATTGTCAGGGTCACGACCAAAAAGCAAGGCAGACACCGCGGATCCAATCTCGGACCGTTGACTTTCCACATTTTTTACGACCTGTAAAATCAAACTTCCACCAACTTAGTTGTCGTACGACGACCAGCCGCAGAAATAAAGATGAGATGACGATGCACTAATTTCGAAAGGCATCGAAGAAAAAATATATATCTTTCCCGTCTGCGAAAAAGAAAGTAATTTTCTTTTTCGTACGTGAGGCCCGACCTTTACTCGCTACTCTCTCGTGCTACTCTCTCGTTCTTGTTGGTGAATAAGAGATCATAATTAAGCCAGAAGAGGATAAAGGATAAAAGTTACGACAAAGTCAGAGTGGAAGAAGCAACTAGTTACATGGAGGTAAAATAATCCTACCCCAGTCCCACACACATCGTCGTGATTTCTATCATATTATTAATTCCATAATACTTTAAGCCTTGAGAACCATAATGATTTAGATCTGCCTTACGACGAATGCTGCGACAAAAGGGAAAGAAGATTCCGTTTGGGTGAAAGAAACTTACCGAAAAGACCGACGACGACGATTGGCCTTTTCCTGCTTCACTTAATTACTTGCTCAGCCGTTATAGGAGGAGGAATTCTTTACTGCACTAATGGTGAGACGCAACTAATTCATTTGGTAAGTCCGAACCGCAAGGATATATATACCACAACCAACCATCAAAAATAATTTGTCATACATACATACGAAGCTGGTATTGCACAATAACAAGTATTTTGTTATGGGTAAGTGCGGGGTAAAAAATACTTATTTCGTGCAGTGACGATGTTCAATAACAGTACGTATGTACATACATACGTAATTTATCTGTAGTAAATACACATAACCAGTTTCACTCTGTCCAGAATTAACAAAATTGACATAAAATTGGTCAATGTTGTACTTCTGCGTGTTGTGATGCGGTCTGAGGTGAAATTGTATTGCAAATAAGTATAAAGTCTTAACATGAAACTGCCAATTTTGGACATAAGTATGCACTAGCATACATATGTGCAAAATATTTAGTGAGAAAACCCTACCGTGCAATGTTATTCATTTTGTGCTAGCTTGTCACAGGCTGACAGGTCACATCTTCAGTTGTTTTTGGTATTAGTTCGCCTTGCCAATTACTGATGACAAATTTGCTTTGGTACTGGTTTTCTCAGAATTCTGCGTGTCGTGGAAATTCAAATGAACGACACTTGGTGTCTGGTCAGCGTGACGCGTTGTGCTTACCCAACCAATTCTATAAATGCCATGTCAAAGGAAAACCTCAACAAAGAAAAGCTAAATTGTGCAATCTTCCAGCGCTGTGAGTACACTGGACACGTAACTTTTAGTTAATTGAGAATTATTTTTACTTATTACATATCCTCCACTTACTTAAGTACATCTATTGCATGAATGAGTTCGGGATACAACTATTTTTTTTCTACAGAATTCAATGAGCGTTCCTGGAACCTGACACAACATTTTTTTTATGTCCGTGTAAATTGCTCCTTTTGTGTAGGAGTGCATTAAACTTGCGTGTTGTAAAGTTAAAAACATGTCTGTATTGTGTACACAATATTGGTTTGACATTGAAATAAATGTTTAAGCAGTTTAAATTTCTTTTGTGTGTTAATTCTCAGACTTCCACGAAGATAATGTTGCTATTCTCAGAATCGTGCATGTACTTTTCAGATGTGCTAGTTTTTTTGTCATAAATTAGCAGTCTTCTCACTCTTGTAAGGAAGATCTAAAGAGCACATATTGACTGAAGTACATACTACAACAGGTTGTAATGGAGAGATCTGGGTAAATATGTATGCAAGTGAAACGTGGTAGTTTACATACCTTCTCATATTTCATGCTGTAGAGCAGGTTCATTTTAATGCTACTAAAACTACTTATTCGTTCTATAATTAGCTCAATACCAAGAATTTATATTTGCATATATGCATATGATGATAGTGATTTATCAACGGAACAGGTGGCAAAGATAGAACAATTTACTTGCTTTATTATTTAAACATTTGATATCATCAAGGTAACAATTCAGCCTCAACCTTTCCCCGTATCGATGCACTTTGCTCTTAACTTACATTACATTCTTGGAGCTGTGGGACCAAGGATACGAGTCAATTAAGGTAACTTGTAGCCATTTCTCTGGAAACTACCTAATGGATGTTGGAACATATAAAATGGCAGCTTATGCTTTGTCCTCGCTGCTGAAATTAGCCCTTGCGATTAGCTTTCCTTCCGGGGCCAAAGTCTAGACAAGAGCTAAGTAATTCCACGTAGTCACTGAACAGGATGGAATAAAATCTCAAATTTGTTCTGGAATATTGAGAAAAGCAGTACGTATAATTTTCAATTTGATACAAGGATGTAGTTTTTTATACTTTTAACAATGCAGCGATTTGACCGGGACACGAAAATTGCGTAGTTAATGTACCTGTCAAACAAAATCTTAGATTTGCCAATGCTTTCTAAATTAACTCCTACGACGTTGAGGTGCATATACATATCTTCCCGGAGGGAATTATGGTGGGCGGTATATTAATTCGACTGAAGGTCATAGTCATGAAGTATCACTTGAAGAAGCAGTACAGAAATATGTAATCCATTAAGAAGGGTAAGACGATGTAAGTATTGAACGTAAGAAATTAGTACAAATTGGATACCAACCTGATCGGAAAAGTTTATGAAAATTGGAAGATACAACGTTCATACCAATAATAGTTACATGTAAAAATAGAAAAATATTTAGCTACGAAAAAACAAGTGGGATTCCTTCCCACGATTGCAACATGTTAAGTAAACACAATTTCAAAGAGTAAAAGATAAACTTGTTTCCTGGCTACGTACAAGCCACGCTTAAGTCCTTACGTCCGACATATTTCTAGACCGGCTAAAAATAAATGTTCATCAGTCGAAACAAATCTTTGTGTTTCTTATAATCTCGTTGTTCGTGGTCAGTAAAGCTCCTTGGTAACTAAAAGTACTCACTCACTCACTCCACTTTACTTACCTATTACCTAACCCATAAATAAGATGAACCGTCTATATGTCAAGTATTTTGAAAGTTGGGCAAGGCAATGGGTTCGAACTATGGAGAAAAGTGCACGTTATTCTGAAAATCTCAGAATCTCATCAGCATACATGCATGGAGGGTACTTCCATTCCGGTATCTCAAACGTTCCCCTGGTCATCCCCGAATCCTTAAAAGCGTTTGAGCGTAAATCCAACCCCTCACTAACAGTAACACTAACATTGACATTTAGAGGGGCATCAACCCCATCATTGCATTCGCTCTTCTGTATATTGACTTTTAAGCAAGAGCTACAACAGTCCGTCCGTTCATCGATGTTGAGTCACCAACTTAACAAGAATTCTGGACCGTGTTTTATCTCCTGCTTTTCAGCCTTCTTCTCATTTTATTTGGTAAGTTGCAAGAAGAAACGTGAAATTCTGACACATGAAAGAAAGTACGTATCTTTTCTACATACTTGCATTCACCCGACTTTTACAATGCAACGTACCAGCTTCCTTTCTCTTCCTCTGGTATGATTTTCTTGGTATGATGGTATCTCTCATCCAAGAGTTCCATGACATGAAGTGGAGGAGGAGAGATGAGTGCAAGGGAAAAATGATACCGCGAGGCATCGTACGTATTCATCGTCCTCTAGTAAGTGCAAAACATTAAAGCACATTTGAATTTAAATGGACGAATAACATCAACAATTTCAACTATTCCAATAACATCTGACCCATAACTTGTTTCCGGAGTTTAGTGAACCTAACTCCAGAGATAGCCCTTGTCCTCCCGAGAGAAATCTGCTATAAAAAGACAGGCAGCAACGAACAGAAGCACTTTGACGAGACGAAGCTCGACAGTTTGAAACTATCTTGGCCATCGCGTCTAATGAATATCCTTTTGATCTGTATCCTTCACGTAAAAGCGGGGCTAAAATTGGGTTTGGTTGTGCAAGAAATCAGTCAACCACAGCTGTATTGATCATATCTTGGGAGGAGTTCATGGTTAAGCATTTTATATTGTGATGAAGTGGAAAATAGGAAACTAAGTACTGCCGTGATAAAGGAGAAGAGATCGTTTTATTTTATAGAACGATAATTGTAGTTTCTCAGATAGTAAACTGACTGAACTTCGCCCCAGGTTTGGCAAAAAGGTTGCTTGGTTTAGATTTCGGCAGACTCGGTTGACAAGTTCAGTAGACAATTGCTTCGTATAAAAGCATAATCCTTCTCCTCGTTCATACTTTACATACGTGATCATCATCATACCTCCTTTCCGTCTCCACTTCTATAAACAATCTTCCATTTATTATTACAGAAAGATGAAAAGAAAATTCTGCCATGAGCCTGGTTTATTTCAAAAAGTGACGAGAAATATGTTGTTTTCGATCATTTTGAATGAAGGGCATTTGAGTAATAATACTTAATATTCAAGTGACCTTTAATATAAACGAGGCGATAAAAGGTTAATTTATTTGTTGACTAAATCATACAACGGGCAGGTGAAGAACTTCATATTGGAGAAGTGATTTTATTTTTATAAAATTTAATTCAATATTAAAGTTTCCTAATTAAAGCGTGGCGAGTTATTTCCGTAGTCACGTATTTCCTTCGAACACGTAGCGCAAGGAAACTTATTTAGACAAGTTTTAAGCAAAAGTTTGTCACATGGTTTAGAAAAACAAGAAAATGCTTGTTTACAAAGAAACAATCAGAAAGAACTATCAGAAAACAACAAGTTTTTTCGAAGATGTTAATATAGAAAGTTGCCTTGCCTTAAATCATTACGATTAACTTATGTGTATCGTCGTTGAAGGAGCGTTAAGTGCTACCTTACTTTCTGCTACCTTCATCGCTAGCTTCCATCCGAAATATGTACAACAGTCAAGAAATGGATAAAAGCATAATGCAAATTAAATAAGCTGTATTCATATAAACGAGTTGAGTAACAATTATTTATTTATTTATTGACTTCTTTGTTCCCTTCATAATTGTCTTAACAATATCGTTCTAATTTTAGTATATGCCCTCCTTCGGGAGGGATAAATAATTTTCATAAACCATTCCATTCGTCACAAAACACTCTGTTCGTACATACATCTTGCATGACTTTGTTCTTCACATAAAAGATCTACGTGCGTAATACACCCACATGAATAATGTAAATATGCACGTGTACCTTGCCGAAATGCTTTCTTCTATTCTTGACAGTTGCTTAATTGTTAAATGGAGTTTAAGAGCTTTTATTACGCAGACGAGTTTTCCAGCAGCATCAGTAGCTTGCATATTGGTTGAGATTCAGACGACTAACTGTCAACATTCTTTTCATGGGAGAAAACCGAGTTTTGGCTTTTACTTCCGATGACCAAGAAGTAGATGCGGTGGCGTTTCTCTTGCTTTGCTCAACTTTCGGGATTCGGGTAGCCTGGTTGGTTGCAAATGCTGCTGAGGAGAAGTGATTTTCAGATAAAATTGTCTCAACCTTCCATCAGTTGCTCAGTCCAGTTGAGACTTCGGGGTTTGAAACATTCAGAGCAACAATTGAACACCACATCAGTCACGTACAAATCAGGCATAGCGAATCCATTCGTCACTTCAAAATTCTAGAACAAAAATCACAACAAGTACAAGTAAACATCCGTATCTCGTCAAGTTGAAATGTGAAAGTTGATCAGGTTTAATTACATTTTGCATTCTCAAATTTTGCACTAAACAGATCGTGGTCGTGAATGGTCAGTGAGCAGATTCATGAGACATGCAAGTGCTGATTGACATTGAAAAAATAGTGTTCAGTGAAATAGAACTTTGTACATAATTAAATCTCGTTCGGAGTAGAATAGCAATATTTTAACGTACTGATTTCCAAATTATGTAGAACAGTAGTTTGACAGCAAAGAAGATTTTTACTTGAACAAAGCACAAAATAAACTATCAAGATGAATTGCACTTTCACCTTCAAGGGGACATCTTTCAATGGGGATATTGACTGCGAGGACGGAAACCTTACCAGATCCGATGTAGGGGTGGAACCACTATGGGGCGAAGACGGGGAGGAAATATATCGTCACTCTCGACCTGTGACCTTTGTCCTCATCGGAGCCTACATGCTGATCTGCGCTATTGGGGTGGTAGGAAACAGCCTGGTGGTCGGGGTGGTACTCAAGTCTCCCCGAATGAGAACGGTCACGAATCTATTCATTCTCAACTTGGCTGTAAGTCATATTCGTTCAATTTTTTATGCTTTTGGAATATGGGAACTTTGGGATGGTTTTATATTTCTGAACTAAAAACAGGTGGCTGACCTTCTTGTCATCCTCTTCTGCCTCCCACCTACTCTCCTCTCGAACATCCTTGTCCGTAAGTGCTCAAATTACCAAAGACACTCTATCCGTCAAAACGCATTTATTACTAGCACAAGAAAAGGTTGGTGATGGACCACTAATTCAAGTTGGCAATCTGGGCAAACTTTGCTAATTCAATTTTCAGAACTTCCATTTGATTTACTTGAGATAATCGACTTATGTTTGGGGTGAAGTGATTCAGACAGTTTCTAAATGTAAAATCCTCCCTTTTGAATAGCTCTTATTGCCAATTTAATTTGATACAATAAGTTCAAAATTTTAGCTCTAAAACCATCTGACATACCCAAAGTTTTAAAATAATTGATCAAAATTTTGACACGTATTTGTTCTACGTCATTCAATATGCATCCTGAGCTAGTCTGGCATTGAAAATTGCAACGTAGAATATCTCATGGTGGCGAAAAGAGCAACGTAAAGATGGATGAGGCAAGTTGATACGTTCTGTGAAGTTGCACTGGTACGAGAAAACCCTGCATTTACTCATCTCCTCCCAGCGCTCTTTTGATGCATATTATGTACGTATAATTACTGCGTCATCCTAAATACCTGGGCATTCTACAAGTCGATTCAACTATTTAGTCATTTATGTAGTTCATTTAAGCATATAGCTACTTACGTCATTTCCGTCTTATGCAACATGGTTATTAGACATTTGAAGATGCAAAATTTCTACTCCAGGATTTAATTTGTAGGGCAATATTACTATTTAACACGTACATCATGAAACCACAATCTACGTAATTTTCGAACATCATGTGGTTTACTCAACTCCAATATCCTTTCATCCGCAAATGTCAAAAGTCCTCGAGTACAACTCCATAAGTACGATGTGATTATATAACCAAAATAATATATTGGTCTCCTATCTAAATGAGTTTGCATCCCTTTTATTCTTGAAAAAAGTCTTGATTTCACCAACCAACCAAACCAAAGCTATAAAAAACGCAATTTTATGCATGTACGTGACGCTATGCAAAATGTAGTTGGTTAAGATTTCATCCGTATATAGACTTCCTCAAGTATATCACGATTATTAGGAAGGCATCAAGGAATTGCTCATCTCGTTATCGTGGTTATCATAAAGCGATTTCTAGGTCAACCTCAGCCTTCTGCTCGTACAGTGTTTGAAAAGTGGATTTGAGAGACTTGTCGTAAGTACATAGCTGCTGCTGAGTGTAACTCCTCATCATTCTCCAATCTTGCAGGATTTAGATTTCGTCGCCAACAGACCACTTTTCCTTCTTTCTCATTTTTCGAGACTGTCCTTGCTGGAGGTGGATGGAGGGATATTCGGCTGTGTAGGAGACGAATAGGACACAGCGTTATAATGGGCAATGTCCTGGGGCGTGTTAAGCTAGTCTGGCCAAGTAGAAAGTAAGTGAACCCTGGGGACCGTGTGATAAAGAGTGAATTCGAATCTGACTCTTTCTGTCTCAATACTGCATCAAATTCCTAATAAAAAGAGGAGGAAGAAAGCTTTTCGTCATAATAAGTCTGAGTCGAACGAATGAACTACTTGAAATACTGGGATTGGTATGAGATATGTACATGCGTATATGAAAATCTGGCGAATTGCTGTATGTATGCACTTGCTAAGCTATGTGGCTATGAGTGCAAGCGAATACTAACAAAATTTCTTCAAGTTTGTTTAGTTTCATGTTCCGCATTCCTTGTCATTCGTACTAATGCATCAGGTTTGCCAAAAAGCGGTCAGGAATTATGCAAAATACGCACGATGGGAATTTGAGACTTTTTAGAAGCACACTTTTCTTTTCAAGTTCCTTCCAGAAACTTAAATTCTTAGGTGAAGTAGAAAATGAAAAGGGGGGCATCTACTAGGGGTTACCTCGTCGGAACTAATATTCATGATTAAAACACCACAACAATGATTCGTGCAAATCATAATACAATTATTTTCAATTGTATAAACGGGTTTTAATAAAAGTTGGATTTTCCTATGCAATCCGACAATGCTCGGTTGACGGTTTTCCAAAATACTACGTATACGATTTTAAAAATGTGTTTAATTTTGATATGCATTTGCTTTGACCTTATTTCCTGTTTTCACTGATTTCCTCACGTAACACTAAATTTCTTGACGATCGTAATTTATTATTGACAATCTTTCCAACCCACAGAACCCAGATATCCTGCAACTAGGAAAAACCTACATAGGACAAAGTGCAGACACATTTTCTTAGCAGCACATATCACTCACCAGGATATACATACGTATGCATACTTATCGCATCTTATTGCAAGAAATACTAGGGCAAAAACCAGTCGCTAAAGGACACGAGCTGATCTGAAGAGGCAGAAAATAGAGTGAGAATAAAAATGCTGATTATTGCCCAAATTATTGAACTCACACTCACACCACTTAAAATATGCTTATTCTGCATTGCCATCACTGAATATAAACCGATTACTATTTCTGTCTAGCCAGCAGCAGCGGGAGCAACCCCTTTGTAATTTTTTTTCACAGAGCAGTTAGAAATATCCCAGTGGGTTCCTGTGAGACATGTTACACACGCCTTAAGAAAACATCTCACTGCCAGAAATATTTAGTAGGTTAAGAAGTATGTAGAAATCTCTCTCTGTTTACATTGAAAGTGAAAGGAATACAACAATTCAAGTGTTTCGCTGAAAATTAGGCTCCGAGTGATTAACGGAATTCTTCTCATCACTCACTCCAATTTAGGAGCCATTAACAGTGATTTAGAAAAAATGAAGAGTTAACATTAACAATAAAAGTCAGCGTAACAATAAAATATTTAAAGCAAGTTAGCGCAATTTCAAGTCCTCGCACTACTGGCCGTTACGTAATAAATGTGTTCCATGTACAAAAACAAGATTGATAACCCCTGAAATCTTGAGACCGCCATGTGAGATTTAGCCGAAATTGTGTAACGTCTCCTTAGAGTGAAGAATTTTTATTTCTCAGTTGAGAGCTTCATTAACTGGACTTTTCTCTGGCATTCTGTCAAAAACTCAATGTTACAGACCCAACACGAAGTGCGTTGGCTCACAAATATTTCATTACTACGACCACAAATCCATCCCTCTCTCTGTGCTTGTTGTGTTATGGATAATTCCGCAGTCAAAACAAAACAACGCGAGATTTATTGGAAGCCACGAGCTTTTTTTAGAGAATCAAGGAATCTGTGCCATAAGCTCGAGCTTGTTAAGAAATTTCAGCTTGCGCAGGATATCACTTTACTCTTCATTTCATGTCAGTCATGCAATATACTCGAAGGAAATAGAATTGTTCAAGTATATTTTGGTATTGTCTGAATCGCTCAATTCCCGTAATATGAAAATGTGTGTTTTCGAAGAATTTTAAGTCACAGCAGAAAGTTAAATGTAGAAATCAGAAATTGTAAGCAGAGTGAACTGCATTTTAGCTGTGTAATTTTCGGCACGTGTATGTATAAACATTTTATAAATCTGCATAATGTCTGCAATTTTGACAGAGATCTGGCTTTCCCCTTTCTCAAATTTCTTCTTCATTTTGCAGTTTAAAGTCCAATCTAATTCTAATTACCAGCAAAACAAAAACAACTAACCTTCAGATTTCAAAGTTGAAACTATTCACATCAATCTCAAAAACTTTGCACATTTTCAGAACATCCACACATTTAGTATCTACCAAAGAGTTTGTAGCTTCCCATATTACTTGGATTTATTTCAGGGTGCGGCTTAAGTATATTTGTAAATGATGCGTAATTTACATCAAAGTTAAATATTTTCGCCCACGCGAAACTTTCACTTTGCAACTTAAGATTCAGAATTCTTGATCTTTGTCATCAGTATCATTAACTTCATTGTTGCAGCAAAAAGTACATTAGCCAAAGTTAAGTAGCATTAGTACTGTGCGAAGGGTCTCTCTGTCTGACTGGTTTGTGCATGGGGACATATTTCATAACTTAATTAGCTCTAAATTCGATCTGGAGATGATGACTTGGATATTATTCAAAGAAAAAAAAATATCCCAAGTTTGGGCCTCAATGGATGAAACTGTCGCCACGTACCTAGATACGTAGATACGTAGATACGTAGATACGTAGCTTTCCATGTAAACTTTGGTTTCAACCGCATTTTTTTCAATGGACATTTCAGTTCACAACGAGAGGAAATGGCAGAGTTTTTACGTTGTATAAGTGCGTGTGCTGTAGCAACTATTGTGAAAGTTTACAGCGGAAGATTAGTGGCAGAGAAACGAATGATTAATTGACAGAGTTTTCCTTCCGCCTCACTTTTTATGATTCGATTTCGTCGCTTCGCCAGAGCCGAAATTAAAGTCGCAAAGCTGTAATAGTTGAACAAAGAGCGAGCAGTTACTACTTCACATGGCAGAGCTTCATCCCCACACAAAACCTGACTCAGAGCTACGATGACAGGTAGCAGAGGAAAAGCTAATCAAAATCATACCCGTTCAGGCGTGTATAGTTTCTCGACATTTTAGTCATTAGTTGGTGAAGGGAAGTAGTTTTCATGGATATGCGTATCTGCCAGGCATACATATGTATCTACACACAATAATGAACACATTAGTTCGGGGGGGTTTGAACTCCCATTCTTTTAATCAAACCTGGAAGTCATTTTGTGACAATGAGATTCAAAATGAGTGTTGAACTCACAAAAATGCATGGCCTTTGCTCGGCTGCTACTTCCTAGTTCGGAAAAGGAAATATTTTCCTTCACTCGTAGCAATTACGCAGTCGAAATGAGTCCATCGTCGTTTAGGAAACTTCACTAGAGCCATCGTAATGGGGAAATGATGAAAGAATGACAAAGATCCGAAATAACCTGGCTCCTGAAAATCCTCCGTGTGGGGATACAACAAGTATTTCATATGCGTATGAAGCCACGTCTTAAGCACCACTAGATATCCCTAAATTTCGTCTCTGTCACTTTGCAAAAGTTTATCGTATTCATGCATGGTTGACTATGTACATTCCTGTCGAAGCAATCAGGCAGAAAACTGGCGGCTTGGAAGATACGATCATGATACTAAATGTTATACTCGTAAATACATACGCAGTGCGGTTTGTTGCAAGAAAATTATCTTTAATTTGAGTCACAATTGAATAGAATTATCAGAATTGACATGGGCTCTCATCCCTGGAAAAGCATTTTCCTTGTCCTCCGACATTCGCTTTCACCCAAATTCAGAGTTAATATTCTGCAAACACATTAACTTTGAGACAAAGTAGTACTAAAATCCGATATTAATGTTGGTACTTGACATTTGCATCCTCATTTAATGTTTATTTTGGCGAGGTATGTACACAGAATTGTATACGCTACCGAACAGCCTGATAGTTATGAGGTTTTTAATCTTAAGAGCAACTCAAATACTCTACAAGTCAATCAAAGGAATCTTAACAATTAAAAACCCGACTCAAAACGAGCGTGAATAACGACGTTCACAACATTTTACAAGACGACATTAAAACGAAATTGTCACATAAATTATTCAACCCATGTTTTGGGTCGTTTAAAATATGAAATTGTTTGTGATTTAGAACTAAAGAAGCTACAACTAGGTTAAACATTTTATTTTGCATAGTTTAAACTATGACAATTGTCATTATCCAGGGTCGATGTATGTGCATATGAATCTGGCTGAACATGAAGGGAGGAGGCAAAACTCGTTGTTGAGCTGTCGATCTTTAGCCCCAATAAATGAGGAAATAGGATTTTCTGGAGTTGATACTGACCTCAATCTATTCTGCTCCTTCTCAAAATTCTTTGACGTAACGGAGAGACGCAACATCACTCATTTATCAAGCCACTCTAGCTGTGTCTGGAATTCTGCACGGTCAATTTATCCCATCGCGCTAGCTGCCACGACTAAACTACACGGTTGCTATCTATCAAAACCTCTGCTATTCCCTTTGCTTTGATTCTGTTGATTCTCATGCTGGGCAGGGAATATCGGGGAAATTGATAAATTGATACCTGCTTGCTTACCAAACGCTTTTGTCTCATCAAAGACCCAACAGAGATCTTCCCATCTTTTGTGGCGATCTGTTCATGACACACTTTATGGTCAAGCAAAATTAAGATAGAGCTCAATTCGTATTGCGTAATCCGTTTTAAATTCATGCAAAAAAATCAAATTGAAAGTAGTTTAATATGTGACTGACATATTTAAAATACATATTTCCTGGTACATTTATGTTTTGTGGTCATGTGTATATGTTTGTGAAAAGCATCGTCTCATCCCAATAAGAAAGACGCTTTAATGCACCACGATATTTTACGATCTCGCGTTGCATATTGAGTGAACAGTGAGCTTCTGCTCGTCGTATCAGCAATTGAGGGTACAACAGGGGCACAATATAAATTAAATAGGTCACCGGCCTACGTTGTATCTGCACGGCGGCGGTTATCCAACCCAGCAACATTATCGGTTCATCATCTGCCACGATCATCATATCATCATCCCTTTCTCTCCTCCCTCCGTAGGCTGGCTGGAATGGAGATATAGCGTCAGAGAGCGTTGTATATAGAATTCAAAGCGAGGCTGCTGCAACTGCTGGAATGTTGGATTCCTCCCCTCGCTGGAAATACAAAGTGGGACAAACAAAGTTGATAAACGTCAAAATAATGGCAATTTATCAAAGTTTTTACCAAATACTCGCTCAATACCTCACTCAATACTTGATATCTTCATGCAAAACCATGCATGATGAACATCTATCCATCTACTCATCCATCCACTCGTGAAGAAGGGGAGAAAAGTGGAGTGAGTGAGAAGTGGAATGCATTCAGTTAATCGTATTCAATCCCGTTCTACACATTATTCTTGTGATGATGGGATCTGAGTTCCCGAGTTTCAATTTTTAATACAAGAGATACAGCAAGTGGGCTGCTTCGAGGCTTAAAGGAGAGCATCATTTATGTACGCATCAATTTGTTATAGCCAAATTTCCGTGACAAGGTTTCGAGAGAAAGTATTATTTTATGTGCAGTTTACAATTTTCACAAAACCTCCGAACCCTCCTTGTGGCATGAACATATTCCTACATGGCTGATTGTGCTCCTCAATAGTTGATTGTGCTCTTGCGTACATGTTTTTACTACATGTTACACATCCGAGCCCCGCATTACATGCAAATTTGGCCCGAGTCCAAGAGAACATTCCTGCTCATAAGTGGTTTAAGAATTCCATGATCAGAAAAACATTTTGGATTGTGCAATATACGTTCTCGTGACTTTTATTATTCACTTGCTGGCTTTGTTAATTGTTAGTTATGAAAGTCAGTTGTAATTGAATAAGGAAAAACGGGGAATTTTGAAAAATTTTATAGTAAATTCACGAATGGTCTACTTTTCTTTGGTTGAGCCTTCATCGTTGGGCTGCTTCCTTGGCCTTTACGTTTCCAAGAACTCAGAAAGTGGGGCAAGTAGTCCAACAAGCACACTTTCACCTACGGACATTTCACACGAGACGGGGAAAACTTTTGAACAATTTGAGCTTTTGTAATGTTTGGCATTTTTCTTCCTGAATTTATTGTTATTGTATGCATATTAGTTTGTTAACTTGGTGAAAGTTGGGCTTATCGGTGTCACTTTTTCATCGTTGCATCATTAAGGAGCAATTGTTGCTTTCCCCGGCACAAGAAAAACTCCCAAGGTTTTTGTACCTTTTATAAGAGTGGAAAATCCTGTCAGCACACTGCTCGCCTCGTTTTCTACTACCCTGTGCCAAAAATACAGTTTTCTCGTAGTGCCCTGGTTATCTACTTTCTTTTTTCCTCGTTGCACCCATCGTTTATCATGGGCGTGTAGTGGAAGGATTATGAAAACTGGAGAAAATCGAAGACTTTAATTTTAGAAGATACTTTATTCGATTGCCAAGATTTTGGTTTTAAATGTTATTCCTATGTGATCATCTTGGTAGAAATGATACGTGATACAAAGTCAAATATTTACTAGATAATCGCCAAACTGATAAAAAAATATGCATGAACTTCCAAGAAATGGGAAAACTCTGGTATAAATATAAAATGAGTTATTCCACAGGAATGGTCGGAAAAGCGTCGGCGGATAGTTTGGTATAAGAAATACTCGAGAATTAGCATACGATTCGAGATTCCTTCCAGGGGCCTTGAGAAATGAATTCATAGAGTTGAATACAACATTCCCTTGAGAATTAAAGTGTTATGGAAATCACGACTACAACCTCTTCTGTTGGGACTAAGCTTGCCTTTTCCTGCACCATTAAAGATGATTAGGTATGTAGAAAGGAAAAGAAAGGTACATCTGCAACATTATTTCATACGCTGTTGGGAATGGTTTAACAACTTTGCAATGTAGATATCGATGATAACTCCATTTATCAATTGCTTCAGTAACTTCTAAATCTGATGCCAACTTGCGGCTTACTAAATATGCATACATATGTACTGCGGAAGTAAAAGTTTATTCCATAAGTCGCATAGCCTACGTATGCGTGTTCTGAGTAAAACTCATATTTGGCGACCTGGGCTGACCCAGATTTGCATATTTTTATTTTGCAAATTGTAGTTTGCCGAATTCGTGGGCGACTTTGAAATTGGTGGGTGAAAGTCTTGTGAACTTTGTGAACCTATTTCCTAGAAGTCTTTTCCATTTCTATGTAAAAGTTGTCTGTCGGATATATGAAGTAAAATTTATCCCATTTTGGAAAGCAACTTTATTATTTAACGATGATTATAAGACGACGTTAACGTTTAACGTTAGATAACTAGATAAGAATTGAATTGTGTAATATGACAATCTAATCTCTGTCATGTAACCTCAAAAACTTTTCAACTCGCAGATAAGAAGTTTAATCTTTGAACTTTGGTGAGAAAATTAGAAGTTGTTAATGGATTAAAAACGTGCGTGCGTAATAAGAGTAATACTAATGCCAAGTTATTACCCCTCATTTTCTGCATTACAGCTTGGGTCCTTGGCTGGTGGATGTGCAAAACTGTCCCTTATGTCCAGGGCGTCTCGGTCTGCGCATCAGTCTACTCTCTCGTCGCCGTCTCTTTGGACAGGTAAGTTGTAAAGAGTTATGAAGTTGATGCCTGAAATTCCTTCTCCTGACGCATTACACCACTCATTTGCGTCAAGGCTAATAATAAATACCGCAGGAATTGCGACTTTTAAGAGAAATTATCATTCGCATTCCTCTCTCTTCGTCTTAATCACACCACCCACTTCACTAAATGTCTCTTATTCTCCTTATAATTTATGTGCAATGACTGGGAGAAAGTCGATATTAGTAAATTAAAGGATTTGAACGGGCTTAATGTTATATGTGAGGAATGAGCAAGGGTTGCGTTCACTTTAATCAATTTGACTTGCATGCATGCCTATGTAACAACCCTTCTTTATCCAACGGCATACTTACCAATATATCTCATTTCGTGTCCTAGTAGCTTGTTTAAAGTAAATGCTGCAGACTCATGTTGTACTATTTCATCTACTAATTATACAGATTTAAAGTGAACACTGCATTTATCTAGCTCACAATCATGCTCTAAGCCCCAGTTTATTATTCTTTGACTGTGTAAATTAAGTAACATGGAAGTAAGTAATGAAGACGAGCCTTTTCATAAATCCTTGTGATTTAGATTTTGCTGTAAGTGAACCGAACACACTTGAGCTAGTGGTGGGTGGATGAAAGAGGCATCTTGCTTGTTGTGCTTACATATTTGGAGCATCAGCGTGAGAGGCAAAGCAAAGTAGTCTTTATTTTGGAGAAGGTCATAGCTCATCGTTATTGTTGGCTTAGTCAAGTGATCCTTGGACTAGGTCATTAATGTTTCCGGAGACTGACAGAGAAATATTCCCTTCTTTCGCTGCTGCTTTCACCGGCGGCCTTGTCTTCCTTAACCAAAATAGTGGGGCTCATCCAGTCCTTCCTCATTCCTTGTTTTAACCATTTGTGTGCATATGGACTCGTGTGTTGTATTTACAACTGGCTGCAGTCATTGCAATGTTTTATTTCCAACATAAGGAGGAGGGCTGGGGAAAATGAGATTAATAATAAAACTTGTCAAGTAAGAAACCCAGGAAATGATACTTTTGTCTCCTCCTTCTTATCTTCCCCTCGTCTTATGAGCATAATTCCCTATGATACATATGTATGTACTGGGTCTGGGTGTGGGTGTGGGGTGGGTGGTCGTCTCATTATTGACCGAGGACCAGCCCAAGTGGACGGGCCTACTGCAATCTCTGAGCATGCAGATTATTTCTTTGGTGCATTATAAACATATTCCAATTTACTTTCATTTCTGGCAACACGACGAGAAAAGTATTTTTCAAAAGTGCTGAGTTTTCAATAGGCCCTCGAGTTTTGTTTGTTATTTGCACATACAAAGAGAGAAAGTTGATTTACATGAAAAGTTTTAAGTTGATAGCTGGACTTGTATAATTCCAGCAATACTCTGACTCTGGAGAATGTCCTTGCACTTAATACACAACTTTTATTGGAAAAAAGTGACCATGACTTTCTGAGAATTTAGATAGCAGAAGGCAGCTCGGGAAAAAAATCATTCAGCATTTTTTATGATTTTCGAGTTGAATGATAACATCGCATATTTCGTTCTTATTATCAAACTCAGGGTTGGCTGGCTACTCGTAAATATGTTATTTTAAGAAGTTGGTTTTACTGACTGCAATTCTTCATGGATAAAAAGCTTTTCGACACTTGTCAACTTACACATTCGTCGTTTCATTATGAGAAATGCCAGTAACATCTCTGTTAATTAGAATGGTACGTGAGTCGTATTAAAAAATACTCACTTTCCTGCTGCTGCGATGTCAAAGTTGTTATGTCCTTAATATAAAAAGCAAACTCTTTTATTTTTTATGCCACACAACTTTTCTACGTTTGGGAGATTAATTTTTACTTTTCATCAAGGCCGGCTGACATGAAATCTTATGTATGTAGCTTATTTGCCACTTTGGTTTTTACTTTCAAGCCATACAGCTAGTTTTATTTTGCCAATATTACAACACTGTAGTTTTAACTTTATTTGAAATTCATATTTCTTATAATTATGTATTGGACTCACTTCATTAAGACTGCACATTGCTATAAACTAGGCATGCATGCACTGCACTCAAAAGAAGTGTTTAATCACATTTCGAGATTTATACTTCATATCACGTAGTTTTTAAATAAGGAATAATATTGCTGGAAAGCAAGACGTGCCGTTTGAGTGCTTTACAAATTCATCTTTCTGCCATTATAAATCTTCCCTTGCGTAAGATTTTCTTGAACTCTCAGACTTAAGTCCAAAAGTAATGAGGATGACCTTGCTAGTCCCAAGTTAAAAGTTATTAATCCAAATCCAAGTATTAAAGTTATCAGCTTAAATTAAAATTCATATCAAACTAATTAAAAATATTATCAGGCAATATTTACAGTTAACCGAACTACATTACTTGTCATGCATAATTCGATGTATGTATGTACGTATGACAAACTTGCCTTGTAATTTATAGATGTTCCGCCATTTGGTTTCCGCTGGGAGGTGGTTTTACCCGTCGCAAAGCACGTGTCATCATTTTCCTGATCTGGGTTGTATCTTGTACGCTCGCCCTTCCGTGGGCACTCTATTTTGACCTCGAGACTCCCGACTCGACCCACCCTCAGAATCAGTTTTGCTTGGAAAAGTGGCCAGCCGGGATGGACGGGGACCTTTACTTCCTCATCGGGAACATGCTCCTCTGCTACGTCCTGCCCCTAATTGTGATATCCTTCTGTTACCTTCTTATCTGGTTGAGAGTGATTTATCGCAACGTCCCCACCGACTCTGTCGCCACTCTTCAGAAAATTCATCACAAGGCGAAGATCGGGGTGCTCAAGATGTTGGTCGTCGTGGTTCTCGTCTTTCTCCTGAGCTGGCTACCTCTCTACTCCATCTTTGCACGCATCAAGCTGGGCAGTGCTCTCTCTGCCTGGGAGGACCACTTTTTTTCCACAGCCATTCCAATCGCCCAGTGGTTGGGGTCGTCAAACTCGGCCCTCAACCCGATAATTTATGCAGCGTTGAACGTCAAGTTCAGAAGAGCTTTTCTTTACCTGCTCCCCAAATGCTGTAATCCACATCCACCCTGTCACCCGAACATGACCAAATCATCACTTATGCAGAGGAACCAAACTTCCCTGTACAACGTGACCGGGGTGTAAGAAAGTGAGGTGAGGCTACATCGAGCACATTCACAAAGCTCGATGTCAGGTAATTCCGTGGTTTTCGAGTACAAGAGCAATTTTGCAGATTAATGGAAGGATACAAATTTACGATTACCATTTTGATATTGCAATTTGTTTATTTACATTTGTACAATTATTTTTTGCATTGTTTTCAAGGTTGATACACGATATTTAATATCACATTTTAGCACGCATAGATGTGTATAGTTATGTCTGTGCACAATTGGTTTGTAATTCAATTAATGTAATTACTAAAAATATATAATGAGTAGATGTTTGGAATCCTAACTTTGGATGGAACCAATAGATTACAGATTATACATATTAGTGGTAAATGTAAGGCAAGTAGTGTATGCAATCGTGCATATGTAGGTACTAAAAGATAAGCAATTAAACCCCCACCTGTATTGCAACCAACTTAAACATATAAATATATATATTTAAAATATTTGCATATGTAATATCTGTCATAAGTTAGAGTAGTGATTTATGACTCTCCGACCAAAACTGGTGCTGAATCAATCATGCGTTTATTATGTGGATTAAATTAGACTTGTCGTAAATATCTATATATATTTAGCTATCATGAAATATCGATGTGATCAATGTCTTAGATTTATATCCAAATTAACGTGTAAAATATTTGTGGCAAATCGTCAAACACGATAAAGCGAGTGAATCGTAAAGATTCAGGTCTACATTAGCATTTTATGGTGACTCAACCTGACATTAATTTTTCTTAGGCTTTGATTAAATCAATATTTGCTATGGATTAATTTCTTTAAAGGTGACTTTTTAGTAATAACTAAAGAATTATTATCAGAATTCAAATTTTCAGACAGTTTTTGTTTAAAGTTTCTTCAACATGCTTGATTTTCTTTGATGTGAATCTTTGGATTTGTAAATAAAATCCGACGTAATCACAGACCTGGATCTTTATCACTCACTCCCTGCCTCCGTTTGTGTAGTGTATATTTAATCAGCTATTAAAATCTGTATTGATATTAAGTATTATATGAACTGTAAAAGTACCTAATCCGAAATGAATGACTGAATCGAATTTCTTTGATAAAATGTTTATATTGCAAAAAATATTTTGTGACAATTTAAATTTACAGAGTGGCACAGGAATGAGCTACAAACATAGTTATACATCGCATGCAAAAGTACATATGTAAGTAGATGTCTCTATTTAAGACTATCAGTGTTTGTGAGGTTAAATAGCAAGGAAAAAAAAACTAATCTGTGGTTACAATCTAGTCCTACATTATTATATGTTCCACTCTGATAATTTGTCGCAAAAGTGTAGTAAATAAAACGTCCTTCAGTTTTGCCCCCTGTCGCGATGTCCTCTTAAATTTACGGTAATTACTAATTTCCACATTCACCCAAAAAAAACTTAATCTAAGCGTCCTTCAAACGAATAATCTGAACCTCTACGCAATGTGTTTGTGATTCAAGTACATTTCTGCTCCCTTACATGAGGGAAAGTAAGACAAAGACAAAAGTCAACAATGACAAGTCTTTATCTCGGAGAAAGTGGCTGGTCAAACGACCCAAGCAACCCTCCTGTCCCGTCTACGTTTACATAATTCAGAGATAATGTCCCCAGAGTTGAGTGTCCATACGGAAATTCTATATGAACACTTAGCTCCATTCTATAATAGGCTGGAGTTGGTGAAAGCTCCATTTCCCTCGTTAATTGTGAAGCCTCTCGCTTTCCCTTGTGTTTCAGAGTGTACTCTCATCTTGAACTTCGTTGTCGTCGTCCACGTTGTTTATCTAGCGTTACATAAACTTTTTAGATGCTTAGTCCGTAACTCATATGTATTTGTAAGGTTGTGTGTAAGTAGAAATAATAAAGTCTCCTTTTCTCTGTGTGGCGTATTACGTGAGCAAATAAACTTTTGTTTCTTTATTCTCTTGAAGTCATGAACAAAATCTGCACTTGCAGCATAAAACCAACAACTTTTGCTCAAATGTCATCCAACAAGGGGAATACGGGATGCATACAAATATAACGACTGCATAAGATATTGAGTATCGACGGAAGACGATAGTTTTATAGCTTTGTAGTGCATTAACCCGAGGAGCCTACACAAATTCCCCATTTGTTTTCCTGTCAGATTTTTATCTAAGGATGATGACACATTATGTACATATTCAAATATCATCATCACCACGGTAAGTAAATCATCGGAGGAAACCCCCATTGTGATATTGCTGGACAGATGCTTCTTCTCTGATTTACTTGTTTCACATGCGTCATCTTGACCAAACCCCGCATGTGATACTTTTGAATAACTATTTTCACTTGAGCTTATTTTGGTTTGGATGGGTGTGGTCGTCGTCTAAAATGAAATGATGTGGCTTCTACTTTCCTCTGAAAAATAGTGTAAATCATGTTTGAACAAGAGATCACAATTTCTATCAACGCAGGTCCAATTTATTGTCACCAATTAACTATTTACACTAATGTCCCTTGCTTGGACCAATATCTTAGCAGCAAGTCTATTCTACGAACTCTAAACCCCTACTAAATTAACCCTTCACAAAAAATCAAGGTTAATTGTCCAATGCCTTTCTTTTCCAACTCACAACACCGTAAGTAAAAAGAGGAGCGGGGCGACATAATACAGAAAATATGAGGATGATTTCATGCATGCTGACATTCCGTGAAAGATAGGATGGGAAGATTAATGCCGTATTCCGGTGAAGTGACCATTAATAATCGGAGTTGAAGAAATGAGGATTCAGCCTACACACTTTCTCCTCATTCTCGGTATCATATTCCCCTCAACCACATAAAACATAGCCTCGGCTCGCTCGCCACTGCTGTCTCGCTCTCTCACCTCGCTTTTGTTGCTCACATTTACCTCGCGGCGTAACAGCGCAAAGACTTTCTTTTCAGGTTACAAAAAACCTCCCACGCCTCACGAAAATTACAAGAAAGGAAAAGGCTGCGCTTAGTGCATGCTGTAGTTGGATGATAGCTGGTGAAAGTTGTTATCTACGAATTCACGGCCGCGTTACGTGATGGGATACAAGGTGTGGAGAAGTGACCAAGAAACACGATATGTGCATTTTCCTTGTCAAGCAGAAATGTGACAACCTTTTACGAGATTTTAGCCATAAGTAGAAATGCAAGTGATGCGTAATACCTTACTTTCAGAAAAATAGTGACTGAAATGTGCTGTCATTGTGCTTCTCAATTTAGCGAATATTTAGAGAAATTGAGACAACAAGGAAAATCCGTGACTTTCGGACTGATCGTCTTGATTCCTCAGATTGAAGGGTAACAACAAATACATTTTAAAACATACCTAAGCAAGAAAATTTCCAACCATTTTTTTATGAAAAATGAAATGTTTCATTTTCTTGTGCTCAGTCAAATCGCGTCGCAGCTCAACACTTACTTTCCTCAATTGGCGAGTGTGTAGCGCCCTATAACCTAACATTGGTGGAGAAAATTGGAATAGATAACTTATCGTACATCACATCTCAAACTACAAATTGCATATATTATGCTTCCCATTTTTTACAAGGACAAGGCCATTGCAACTTTCTAGTTGGCGATGTAGGAACTTTTCGTTAAGAATTTGCAGGCAAGTTTTAAACCCCCATCGCTCAGAGAATATGATCTGGCGTTTCCAACGTTCGGATTGCGTGGGCCAACGATTCACTCGCCGCCAGGAAGAACAAGCTTCATTCATCATTTATGATAGGTTTCACTTTCTTCTTTCAAAAACCCAAATCCGACTTTCTGCCTCCACTTTGGTGACATTGGCGGAATGACTGACTTGACTCACGGGTAAAGATTTTGAGTGAGGACGTTGATACAGACGACAAGATGTATCGATGGCTCAACATATCATCAATTACCTTATCACCCTGCTCCTCGTGGATTTCGCCCTCATTGAATGCTGAACTGGAAAAACGCAAATGGTGTCCAAAATACATAAAAGTATATAAATATATAATACTTACATGCATAGGCTGTTAGGTTATGGTGTACACTTGCAGGATGTCATACCATAGTTATTGCCTACGTGCCAGTTTTCTCGTACATTGAGCTTGCATTGACAACAATTTTATTCCAAGAAATAAATTTAGAGGTAGTCGGATTTCAAAACATTTTATATCTGTTACATCCAGAGGCTTGATGTTGGTCAAGACAGTAAAAAATATGATGCATTCGTCATCGTCATTCTCTTATGCAGCAGCGGTTATACAACTAATAGGATTACCATCGCTATCCAATATTAAACTCTTTAACTTATGTATCGATACAAAGTGGTTAATATGAACGTTGACGTAAACCACCAAGTCCTTATCAATCTCTTGATTCATGTCTTAAACTACTTGTGACGTTATCGTATTCTGATTAAAACTGGATTATTCTAGTTTGATGAGTTTGACCTTCTTAGGTTTCAGACGGTCTTCTGTGAACTAATTTATTCATTGAATCTGAGTAGTTATGCAGGAAAATTGGTGCATCGTAAACACACCCTGATCTTGGCAAAAACAAAGTAAACACGTACGTACGTATTTTGACACACAAATTAAAGTACGCAATACATTTGAATAGCACAGTTAACAAATTATGTAATTAATTATGTCCTCATTATCAATACATTCATTAACATTTCTTTGTCCTAACTCCTCGCATGTGCACGGACGATACTACGCCGATTTTTGTAGCCTTTTCCACAAACTGGCATGATCTGCGTAGGAGGAGAAAAATGACAAAGATTATAAAGAAGTGATGGATACGGTAGATGAGTAACTCGTGCATAGGTGAAAGCGAAAGAGAAAGTTGAGTAAAAAAAGGACGACGACAACAGACCTTACTTTTTCATGCAAGGTTCGATGATAAAAAGCACCGGGGTAATCTCGAGAGTATTGCATGGAGAAAATGTAATGTAATTTGGCTGAACCGTTTCAAGGATAGTACTTCCTCACTTTTGAGATTTACACGGATTTCGATTCAGCCAACAGATGCGCTTCTGTTTTAAATATGTAACCGTTGAGCAAACTTGATGAAGTTCTATTGTCATATGTATTTGTTGATCAAGGTTAGATAAGAGACGGATATGCTTTTATATAATTGCGTTGTCGCCTGGCACTTTCAGAGCCATGGGTCCATTATATCACGGATTGATTGTAAGGATTATAATTAAACATTGGATAGTCTTTCTTTGAAAAGTGCGCTGCTTATGATGAGTTTATCTTTTTCTACATGTATTCTACTCTTGCACGTGGAAAACTGACAATGGAGTGGCGTAATGTCTTCATTTCTTCTGCTGCTTAGTTCAATTTGCGTCAAATCGAGTGGGAAGTTTATATAAGTAGACGTAATGACGTTAGAACAAATGGGTGCTGCCTTTATTTGACGAAAACTCGTGTACATATTATTGGTTTATGTATGTACTTGTAGGGCTTACCCAACAATTAGCACTAATTATGGAGTCTGCAGGAACTGTACTCTTTGTATGATAAAGCTACTAATCATCCATCCATCAGTCCTGCTCCTACCAGTATTTTAATCATATAGTTGCAATGGGAGGGAAATGTAGGCATAATTTATACAAATGTACAAATGTGGTATTTTCTCAAAATCCTTCAACTTCCTCACACAGTAGTTTTATCACGTCCAAATTACGTTGTTTTCCTTGTACTGTGTCAATACAGAGGTAAAATTTATTAGCTGTTTGCCTCGTATTTAGCATATAGTAAACTTATTGAATAGTGAATATAAAATCTCACATTGCCTCACCAAGAGAAATCCTAACCAACATGTTACTCAATTTCCCCATATGTACATATGCACATAAATCACACATATCATAGTATTCGTAATCCATTATTGAGCACTCTGCTCAAAGTAGCGTAATAATAACAGCCGTCGAACTTAGGATTAGAAATACCTAAAGACGAATTCCTTTTATGCAAAGATGAAAAAACGACCCGGTTTTTGATCAGTCATTCGCCATTCCTCGCTCAACAACAAACAAACTTGAAAAGCGAGAGATGAACTTGGAAGAAGAAGAAATGCAATAAAATATTGAAAGCAGAAGGATCTTGAAGAAGAGAAAGCGCAAGCTGCCGAGATTCCTGCCCTTCGCCGCACAATGTGTAAAGCGGTGAAAGTTGCCTGCCACGCAGCCTTGGCTTTCAGTTGACCGTGAGTTCGTGGTTAGCAGTTCTCCGCACTTCTCTTAATCATACTCCGTCCGCCATACGCTTTCTTGTGCAATTTAGTGAATCTACGATTACACCAATTCCACGTAACCATTTATGTGCATGTACTAATATTACACACATGTACCAGCAAACTTGGCCACTTATGTAGTTCTGCGCTACTACATCATACACCCGACTAATCAGAAAGGGACAAGGTAAGAAGAGCGAAATTAAGAGGGCGAACAAGGAGCTTCAGGACGTTATATATTGCGATTGAGACTGTGCAATCCAGACAAAGAGCGGCTTCTATACATAGAACAAATCGGACCCCATTCTTGACTTATGAACATGTCAAGTATCCGGTGTCACCCATGACCGCCTAATTAGGGAAAGTAGGTCGAAGTCTCTGGCTTTGTCATCCAGGAGACAACCCGGCACGGGTGCTTGGTTGACAACCAGACCAACCCCCACCCAAGGCAATTTACTTCTGGGAAGAAAAAGTAAGTGCAGTATTGCTTGGTTGTCATCCAAGGCTATGAAATGCATTCATTCCATGGCTCGATTTTGTCCCATTTTTTCGACCGTGACATTTGGAGGAAGAAAAAACCATCCACAGCACCACTTCCGCCGTTGTTTCTAAATGTATTTTAAATATTTATGAGCTTAACAAGAATTCCATGTATGGAAAAGTGCATTAATAATTTAACTTGTTTTCCACAATTTGATATTACGTTTTTAAATTTCTGTCAGAATTATTCAGATACACGTGCATATAGGTAGATAAAAAATGATAAAATAACTCGTGGATATGAACTGTCGCACATTTCTCTGGAGAACGACTGGGAATAATATGCATGGTTTGTTGCTTGATTATTTATCGCATAAGTCACAAGTGCTTAACTTTAGTGGGTTTATAGAAGGAAAGCAACCGCCTCACCAACGCTGGCAGCTACATATAAACACATTCTTATAACAAAGACCTTGGCTTGACATGTGAGAATGACCATTCAATTCCCGATGATCAAGATTGGTCAATAGTGCCCTCCATAAGTGGAATGGAAGAGAAAGTAATCCAATTCTTGCTTAGAATTCCTTGTTGCTCTTTGGCAAAGAAAGGCTAACCTAACGAGAGACTAAAGATGATTGGTAGTCGTTTAAGGCTGAAGCAAAATTCTTAAAATCTCTTTGATACGAATTTATGAGCTTGGGAAACCAAAACTGATAAGGTTGGAAGGGCAGCACTTCCACCATATCATCATCACCATTGTCCACCAATGCAATTTTCAACATCTTCGTAAAACGCGTGGACACCCGAGGAGGAGGAAGAGGAAGCTGGGATGAAAAGTCGTAAAGTGTGAGAGGTGCATCCAATCCCACATCATTTCGATTATTGGAACATTTGTCACTCACTATGCCTTCGCTTGCAATTGCAGCGCAGTGCTGCTGTAAAATTATTTCCTTCAGAAAATCCAACTCCGATAAATTCTCGGATCGGCTTTTGCCGAACTTCCTTTTTATTTTTAAGATTTGTGTCACTTTTGTTCTTTTGTTCCGCCGGAGAAAGCAGGCGGCGTCGTCTTGAAGTTCACTTGAAGCTTTAAACCAAAAGAATTGGGAAAGGTTGGGTTCAAATTGTTTTTAAACCAACGTTTCTAATGCATTCTTCGATAAATAGCAGGTGTTTCATAAAATGGAAGCTCCAGCATTTACACACTAGACTTGTACACTAATGCAAGATTCACTCTACAGTTGAAGTCACAATTCATATCTTAAATGCCAAATATATTAGTTATCTGTGAAGAGGAAATTGAGACTATTCTCGCAAAAAGTGGGTCTGGCTCAGGATAAGCTTTTTCTCTTTAAAAAAAAAGCACTACCTATCTTCACTTGATGGCCGACACCCTAAAATCCACGGTAGAATGCTTTCAACAATTTTAATCACAGTACAGGCTCCCAGATTTCAGCCAGAAGAGTGTACATTTAAAGCATCTGAGCCATTCGTTGGTCAGATGATTCATTCAAAGACCTGACGTGAATGGTTTGCATCCGGTGCAACTAATACCGATTCAGGATTCAACGACATCTAAAATTTTGATGGAAGTGGACGCACGAGTCCGTTATGGACTATGGTGGATTGCACGAGGAACGAACTGAACGTGGGGTGGACGAGCATGGATGAGTCCTCGAGACTACGGCTATGTGCCGAGCATTCACGTTGAAGTAGGTCAAATCTCCCTTTTTTGCCCTTTAAACATTAAACGCGAAGCAAAAAGGAATTTTTGTATCGTAAAAACGAGGAAATATATTTCTCCTGCTCGTCGACCCTGCCGTGTCTTTCGATTGGCAGCTTTCCAATTTATTTGCAATCCATAAACCATTTACCTCCCAAACTGGTCCAACTATTGTGATATGATTCAAAGCTGTCTTCATGATTTAGATACGACTGAAGAAACGTGGCCTTCCCAACACAAACTTTGTTGAGCTTTGTTAAAAGTGTAAGCTAACTGTTGTTCATCCACTGCTGAAGTTCATGTATCATTCAGAAATAGTTGGATCAGATAAAGAGCTGTTTGCATTTGAGAAGTACACAATTCAATAACAGGGGAGAAAGGAAATCCTTTCAAACAAAAAAACATGTACCACTTGAAATTACCATATTCCTCCGTGGCTTTCGGGTTATTGCATCGTCCAAACTTTATAACAAATTAATTCATAAAAACGTGTATAAAAGCAATTGTTCTCGGTGAAGTGAAACATGCTTACAATGCTGATACATCAAACTGTAAAATGATTTAGAGATTTAAATTTCAGATTCAATTATTTTTTGAAATATGTTTTTCAAGAGAAAGTTAAATAAATATATGTACATACGTGAGGAATATATGAATCCGCCGTTTTGCTGCATTATCCTTTGGAGCTCAATATTTATTTGCAATCGTTCAACATTGAATTTCAATTGAAATCTATCCACTTGAAAAAAAAACAATTCCAGTTTTTCCATAACATCCGAATCCGAGTTATGAAGAATAATAGCATTCTTATAATGATGCGACATATTGATGTATAAGAAGCAGCAGCCAATGTTTCATACATAAAATATGATATATTCCGCATAAAAAATTTCTTGATTGTTTTATTTTCTCAACATGGTGCCTTTCACATGTTTTCTTTCTTCGTCAGAGACCAGACTAATGGAATATTACGATCATCATCATCATGCATTGCATTCTCAAGAAAAGTAAAATGCGGTACAACCACTGAATCAATTTTTTGTTCCACTTGCTGTTGTTCTCGAACCGCGGACATTGGTCAGACATGGAGAAATATACAAGTCCACTAATTCTCGAAACACAAAGTACGGAGAAGATACTGTTTCGTTGTGATACGAGACATATGTCTACGAATTCTGTACGTATGTTTTTGAAGGAACAACAACAACAACAACGTGCATATTATTGACACAGGGGAGGGAATCTTGCTTGACTTGGCATTATGACATGGCCCAAATTCAAAACAAGGGCAATGTTTTGTAAAATTGTCCATGAATTGCCTTCCCGGACAAGATTGCTTTCGTCTACTGTTGCAGGAAGGGGGCCGTGATTGAGGGCATTTCATTCCGTCGTGTACAGGATGTCCTCAATTTCAGAATATTTTACACATTCATTCCGCCCTGGGTAAAACCTCAAGTACTTTCAACACAGCCATCGCACCAGCCAGATTTTTTACCACCCTGTTTCTTATCTTACATACACGGAACTTGTGTATACGTGCACGCATGTTATTTATTAAATTGAATAAAAATGAAGAATTTGGTCAACAAAAGTCTGCCAGCAATTAAGTGCTTCGACATTCAACTTAAAATTAGGTAAAATCCTTCCAAGAAGTCCGGAAATACAAAAGTTTTGGGAAGGAGAGAAAGCTTTCTGGAAATGCATGGACTTTAGTGGCATCGCTCGTCTCAACTCTTTCTTGCTCTGAGTTTTGGCTGTAAATTTGCTCAAGCAGACTTCGCACATGAGCAAAATAAAATATAAATGTAATAGTTTTTTTTAGATCAATACCAATTTAAGCAACTTAAACGTAACATATACACGCCATTATAGCATCAACAGTGCAAAAGCAACTTGATTTAAGGTTAAATGTTCCTAGTAACGTTACACGCTTTGAATTTTATTTATATTACGTAAAACAACAAAAAATTTGAAAAAGTAAAGGAGGAAACTAGAATTTTAGAGACTCCGGAGTTATCAGCATCAGCAGTATCAGCACATAACTTACAACTTGTAAGTTACAAGTTGAAACAGAAACAAGGTATCAATTTTATAAAGAAACAAACAATTGTAAATTAATTCGCCTTACAAATTATATTGTTATTTACTTTCTACTTTTAGAACATGAGCAGGATGGGTTCCTCAGCTCTTAAAAGTTTGGTGACACAAGCTTATCAAGTATTTCGAACGCAGAGCAAGAATCTAACCCCACCAAACAATCAATTCCCTCCACAAGACACAAATAGCATATCTCCCGAAATAAAGTCATTAACGGACATGATGCACTCAATTAGTGCCGACACGGTCTGCTTGCATCGCCTCTACACGTCCAAGGTGGCTCAGAGGAAGTTGATAACATTCATCGAAGTAGTGTACAATCCTGTGCTGACCGTCGTGATAATCGTGATTCCATCCGGACTTCGACTCCCAATCCACGACCATCCAAATATGACTGGCCTCATTAAAGTCCTCCATGGTCAGGTTAGAGTGTCCTCCTACACGAAAGTGGGTCCTACCGGCGAAGATGGGAGGCAAGCTGCTCTGAAGACACAGGATGCTGTCCTCTCCAGGTTATCTTACCCTCAAGTCCTCACTCCTGGATTGAACAACGTCCACGCCGTGGAATTCGAGAGTGGGGAGGGAGGCAAGGAGTATGCCGCTTTTCTCGATGTATTAAGCCCCCCATATGATGAGAAGGTGGGATGTCACTATTACCAGTGTGAAGAGGGTCAAGCTAAAGGTCAAGCTGGAGATGCAGGAGAACCCTGCACACTTGTCGAGGTGGATTGTCCTCAGGAATACCAAACACATTCCCTGCCATTTCGTCAATTCCAGTGATGAAAAAACAATCAAAATACTATGGATGCTGGCTAGCTAATCAATCGGAGAAGCACATGTACCTAATCAATCACTCACAACTGGCAACTATTCGTATTAAATTCACATGACTTATTTATACATGTTTGTGTTTATCAATGTAATGTGATACTTAGTGTTACACATAATTAGACCAGTAAGCATAAAAGGAAGAATATAAATCTCATATATTTACAAATAATTGTGATGTGTAGTAGATCAGAAATTGTATCGCATAAAATTATCTCTCGATGTCTGTACTTATATAATTGCTTGTTATTTTAAAAATAGATGAAATATTCATTGTTTTAGATCAAAGTCCCCACAACCGGACTGAATGAAATAAAAAAATACAAACGGAGTAAAATGTAAAATTAAGATATTCATGAGTGATAATTGCATGACCTTGTATTATAAAAAGACCTTGTTTTCTCTCTCTGTTTGTTCTGTCCATGCCATGGCCATTAGGTACCCCTCGATTCTTAGTCAAAACCGTAAACAATTTTTCAAATTGCTTAGATAAATTGCATTTATTTAGCTTCAATTGTTCCATGCATGCCAATGAATCAGACCACCAAGGACTCGTTCTCTCTTCTGTCTCCATTTATTTATATGCGAAAAACTGGATCAATATAAATAATTCTCATGTTTTTTTCAGGACGTACATGAAATAGTCGCAAATTGACATATCCAGCATATTTCTTTTAAAAAAACATTTTGAGACAGTTTTGCATAAAAAATTTGGACATGACTTCACTACTGTGGAATTTCGCTCCACTACTCAACTCGCTCTTCTTCCTCTTTTGTGTTCACAGTTTTAAATGTTGATTTTAAATTTTAATTAGTTTTCCTTTTTAGTGCTAGAAGAATTAAATACTTTTAACCGTTTGTAGTCGTTATCATAATATTATATATTCTTTAGATCTACTCTCAATCTCAGTCATAAATAATATTACCCATTTACGACAACTTGTTGCAGTAAAACCAACAAACTTGATTTTGAATTAACGAATTCATAGTGTGTATTTTGATTTGGCAAAGTTTCTACTATCAAATTGTGACTATATAATTTTTCGCAGTGTCAACATGCCGATGACTTGAACGTTGGCTGACGAGTGACGGTTTTAAATACCCTCTAAATTAGAGGCTCTAATTAACATGATTAACATAGACGCTCATCATCATGAAGAATATCATCGTTAATAAAGTGGATTTGACTTGACCGCAGATTGCATTGTTATTAATACAAGAAATCGTTACTTATAAATTAAAGGTTAGTTGAATTAGTTGAACGTTTATGTAAGTGTGATCAGTTAAACTTAAAATTGAACGTTTTCTATTTAGGTTGATGAGATATCCGATTTACTTATCAGTTAAAGAGGAGGAGAAAATTACTTCAATTTAAAATGTTCAACAAAAAGTATGCTTCCAAGTCTTTCCACGTGAGGGTAATGACCATGGATGCAGAGTTGGAATTTGACCTTCAGGTATATCAAGAAACAAATACTAAATCATTATTCTCAATAGATTTTATGTAAAAGTAATGTTTTATTTAGTGGAAAGCAACGGGACGCGATCTGTTTGATCTTATTTGTCGAACAATTGGGCTAAGAGAAACGTGGTACTTTGGTTTGCAATATGAGGACAATAGAGGAAATATCTCATGGCTAAAAATGGATAAGAAAGGTTTGATGAATTTGTGTACACTTTCTTGTGTATTAAGTCAATACATAATACAATTAGTTGTTTAAATTTACTCATTGTATACGTTTAGTCCGAGATCAACACCTGCCAAAAGATGATCTTATTTTATTCACGTTTCTTGCAAAGTTTTACCCAGAAGATGTTGCGGAAGAATTAGTACAGGACATTACGCAACACTTGTTCTTTTTGCAAGTTAAGCAAGCCATTCTTAATATGGATATTTATTGTCCGCCGGAAGCCTCAGTTTTACTCGCTTCATATGCCGTAGAGGCTAAGGTAATAACAAGTTAAAACTATTCAGTTACATATTATTTAAATGCATGACCTCATTAATTTCTTAATTAAAGTACGGGGACTATGATGAGCAAACGTATGCCCCAGAAATGTTGGCTTCCGAGGATTTACTTCCTCAAAGAGTAATAGATCAATACCAAATGACACCGGAAATGTGGGAAGAACGAATTAAAATATGGTATGCTGACCATCGTGGAATGTCAAGGGACGAGGCTGAAATGGAATACTTAAAGATAACTCAAGATCTGGATATGTACGGTGTTAACTATTTCCCTATCAGTGTGAGTTCTTGTTCTTAGTGCTGTATAAAATGTAAATGTTGCATATATATTCGGTGATTACTTATTTCGACACTACTTATTTCTTGGAATTGTTATCAAATGTTGAATTATTATTATATTATAAATTTCAGAATAAAAAGGATAGCGAGCTTTGGCTAGGTGTTACAGCTTTGGGACTCAATATTTATGAAAAAGACAACAAGTTAACCCCGAAAATCAGTTTCCCTTGGTCTGAGATCCGTAATATTAGTTTTGATGATAAAAAATTTACAATCAAACCCGTGGACAAGTCAGCTCCAAACTTTGTATTCTTCTCTCAAAAGCTCCGAATGAACAAGTTAATCTTGGAACTGTGTATCGGAAATCACGACTTGTTCATGCGACGAAGACGACCTGATCCAATGGATTTACAGCAGATGAAAACGCAAGCCAAGGAAGAAAAACTTAGGTAAGCTTAAGAACTGTTGGTTGCCATATCGTGCCTATTGTTATAGTATCAATCAACAATGAAATAGCAAATGTCACGTTTGTCAATCGACATGACATATAATGTCATGTCAAAACTGTCATGGCTAATGTATTGTTTTGTATAGGCGACAAATTGAAAGGAGTAAATTGGCCAGAGAAAAACAACTACGAGAAGCAGCAGAGAGGGACAAGTCTATTTTAGAGCAAAAACTGTTAGAATTTCAGGAAGAAATCCGGCTTGCTAAGGAAGCTTTGGTAAGATATTTGTTACAGCTGGGTTATGCAATTATTGAGTTGAATGAACCGTAATGGCGTAGTAATGCTGCTGCGTGTGATCCCTAGCAGCGTATTTAGTATATACGTATGCACATATGCATGGATATATAAGTAAAAAGGACTGATAGTTTAATTTGCATTTTAGTTAAGGTCTGAAGAAGCGGCCGACCACTTGGCTGAAAAATCTCGTGTGGCTGAGGAGGAAGCCAATATATTGAACCAGAAGGCATCTGAAGCTGAACTTGAAGCAGAAAGAATCCGACAAACGGCAATAAAGGTAAATTCCCACGCATAGTTATTTTTTAGTCCTTAATGGTTAAAAATTTAAAATGACAATGATTTAGACGGAAGAAGAGAAAGTACTCATGGAACAAAAAATGAGAGACACGGAGCAGTTAGTATCTCGGATGATGCAAGAGTCTGATAAGCGAAGTATGGAAGCTGATCGATTGAAAACCGAGCTACTTAAAGCTAGACTAGCCGAAAAGGAAGCAAAGGAAAAATTGTTACAGTTTTTATCACAACCAGCAGTTGAATATCAACCAATTTCTGTAAGGACTTTAACATATGCAACTATTTTTTAAGTTATTATTGCAGTGCATAATAATGCTTATTCCGTTTTCAGATGATGTCAATTACCAACAATATGCATCAAATTCCCCTGGGAATGATACCAGAGAAAACAGTTATGAGTTTAGATGTGAGCCCGGAAATAAGTTTGAAAGACCTGTTGGGTGACATACCCCTATCAAGTGGTATGGATTTGGACCCTCTTACTTTAGAAATTGAAAAAGAACGAGTAGAATACCTTGAGAAAAGCAAACATCTTCAAGAACAACTTCGCGATCTCAAGAAAGAAATCGAGGGGCTGAAATTAGAAGAAAAGCAAACTCCATACGATATGATTCATCAGGAACAAGTTCTCTCTGGAGAAAATAAGTACTCGACTCTACGAAAAGTAAGAGATTTATCAATTCAATTAACATTCTCTCATTACTGACTTACTTTATTATTAATTACGAAATATTTTGTACTTTTAGATCAAATCTGGATCAACTAAGTCAAGAGTTGCTTTCTTTGAAGAGCTATGAGCAGCTTATCCTATTGCATTATCTATCTGACTTTCTTTTAATTTATCGTACAAAGACAGCAGCGAAGAGAACAAAAATGCAGCCAATACATGCAGCCAGATAGAAGTGTTTGAAACATTGTCGTTGTTAACAGTCTTACGACTACACAAGTCATCGCAAATCTGCTTTGGATTTCGGACCATTGCCGTCTTAAGAAATAGTATTTAATAACTACGTTATATATAACAAATTGATTGACAATACTGGTTAACTTATTACCGAGTGCCTTTTGACATATCTTTAAAAATTCGGGTGCCACTAATACCGTCGTCGTGCAGAAGTTCTTGCTTACATACGTCTTACTCGATATCTAACTACCAAAAACTTCCTTGTGTATCTAATCGATTTTGTCTTCATTGTTTTCGTGAAGTGTGTTTCATTAAGTGTTACCAAAGATAACGAAGAATCATTTTATTAGTTATATATCACTTTTATCTCTTGAGATGTTTGTCATTTTGCTCGAATATACTGTTGTGCATGTAATCAAATGCAGCTAAGTTCCTTGATAATTATAATTTACCCAACTCGTTTTAAGATTTTAACCCTATACATAAAGAACTTCTCTGTTGTACATCTCAGTTTTATTTATTTTATCAATAATTTTATGCCGATTGTGATACGAAAAACTTAATTTTGGTCAATTAATTTTACTATGATGACGATATGGTATTGCTTATGTAGAGAATTACTTTAGTGCCATAAAAATCGTTATGCTTAAACAATTAAAAAAGTAATAAGATTTATATGATATACTCAATAATAAAGTTCAAATTCTCTGTTAGCGAATTAATCATAATTTTTAACTTTTCCAATTATTTTCATGGATTTCATTCATTCCTCACTCACTCATTCACTCATTCAATACGTTTTCTTGTGAGGCGTTCAGGTTTCTAGTAGGAACTTTCTACCAGGGCAATTTTGAGCCGAACGCCATAGAAGAGTCCCTGCAGCCAAGGGCTAATCAGAATTGAACCCGTGCTAATTTGGAATTTCATAAAATTTGATAGAATTTTTATCATTTTGATTTTCTCCACACGTGAAATTATTCAAAATGTATTTTTAATTATACAAAATTTCATTCCAAATTTAACTATGTTTGTGATGAACGGCCCTTGAATCAGTCCAGTCAAATGAAGGCGGTTAAGCCACCACTCTTTCGCCACTACTCGCCGCGTCGTATTCTCTCCTCTCCCACTCTCACTCATTCACACTTCCACAATTCACAATTAGGACACGAGAGGAGGGGAAATTCTCCTAAATTAATTATTAATTAGTTAAATTCGAATGAGCTAATCATTAAAATTTGGTCTTGAACTCTTCACCGCCCTTTTGGTATGTGCGAGTGAACGTTATTCGCACTATTTTGTATTAATTTCTTACTAATTGTGACGAAAAATTGTTTCTTTTTGATTAGTGGTAGAAGAGAGAAGAGGAGTTGTAAATTCTTCAGCGAGGTGCGGAATTTGTTGTTCTGTTTATCATGTCGGGGAGGAAAGTGAGAAAGTCAGCAGTGCAGTCGGTTCCTGGGAGGAAGTCGAATATGAAGACGACCGGGAGTGGAAAGGTCCAACCCGGACCGAAGAAACGGGTGGAATTCAAGGAAAACCTGCCTAGGGTTAGCAGTGTATCTAGTGATGACGATGACGACGAAGGGGGTGTGGAGAAGGAAATGCAAAGAACTGCAAAATTGGAAGATTATACAAACATGGTTCGAGATAAGTGTGTCTTGACGGATCGCTGGATGGTTTATGATCCTCAGCAAGACCCTTCGAAAAATCAGAGAGCGTCACTAGTTATGGAAATGGACAAAACGGTGGAGGGAGAGCTTAGAATTAAGCGATGTGTAAAGGTATTTTCAAAGAGATTAAATTATTAGTTGTATGTTTTGCAGTTAATAAACCAATCAAAGCGTGTTAATCATTTAGATGTTAAATTGTTGTTTTTACAGATCTTTGACGACCGGACGTATCAAGTTTTGATTGACAATGTTGACATGACTTCTCAGTTTGATTATATTAATAACAGCAAAAAGCTTCAAACAACTCATGACTCTGATAAACTTATACACGCCTTAATTACGAAGAAAGTGTGCCAAGGGTTGAGAACCTATGATCCAAAAAATCCAATTTTGATTCAAGGGAATTTGCCAATCAAGCAACGTGGAAAACTGTGGTATGCAAAGGAGTGTACAGTCATTGTCACTAAAGCATTCATGGGCAATTCCTGCAACGCATGTATCAAAGTACGGAACCAGATTCGTCGTTGTTTGCAAAATGATACTAGGAAAAAGACAAGGTAAAGACGATAACATTTGTCTATTGTAATCATACATGATAATTCCGAGATGCATTGAGAATTACTAAATATAATTATTTTATTATTTATAGGCCTGCGATGAAACAAGTAAAGAGCACATTTGGAAAAGCCCTTTATTCGTTACTGAACGACTTTTCTGGCAGGGGTCCAATCCCACCCTCTCAGTATCCCAGAGAGAACATGGTGTTTGATGAGAAGCTTGGAATTCATCTCAACTTTGAACTACATCAGCGACTTTATATCGCATCAACAATGCCTCCACCCCCAATGCCCTTGTCGAAATCTCGGAGCAGGAAAAACCGCCGGGGATCTGGACGGGGACGATACCCTCCACCTTCATCAACCATCACTTCCGACTCTTACCCCATCCAACAGTTTATTACAGAAGATGGACAACTCTGTTATGTTGCTAATGTCGTTGATGGACACAATGTGAGTTTTATAATCAATGAGTCGATTACCAATTTTTTAAAATATGAATATATAATAATAATTACCAATATAATTATTATTTATTATCAAGATGGGATCCGATCTTCAATACGGAATGCCAATGATGGTTGAAAAGTTTGAACCCTCCGAGTTGAATGAGTATGTTCAACTCCCTGATGGCAGCTTCGTCATTCAAAACGTAAATGGGCAAGAATTTACCCTCGCTGAAGGTCAGGAATATGAACTCCTTGGAGAAGCTCCAGTTAACACATCTTCCATCGATCCCAGCGAACTTGTCCCAGTAGACAGCCAGCAGATTCAGATCATTGAAGTGGATGACGCCACGATGGAACAGATTCAAGTTCACAACAGCATGGAGGATATGCAAATTGCATCCATTGACCCTAATGATCCCAATTTGTCCCAGCTATTCCGCGTTTTCCAATCTCACATTCAAGGCCTCGCACTGTAATTGAACCAAAAACCAACATTTTTATTCTTCTCATATATTATTTTGCATGTATATAATCATATATATTGATTTGTCTAACTGAATTTGTCTTCCCCTCCCCTTTTTAGGATTTGATTCATTTTCTACAACTTTACTCAACGATTCCGTTTAATATATAAGAGGTAAACATATTGTAATAATATGATATCCTCGTCTGTGTGGTCAGACTTGAATGTTAGCATACTATATTAATATATTGTTCCATTTGACTTGTGCTGATGACAGTGACATGAAATATGACCAAAGTACATTTGTTATTTAATTAGAATCACCAGCAATAACCGTTTTGTAACATACTTAATTTTTTAAATGACGATAATAGGAAATTAAGATTTCTTTACCAATATTACATTATTTTCCACTCGATACGTAATCCCAGTACAGGGAATTAGGAAAGGTGACAAGATGCTCATGAAAATGTTTACCCATCATTGTATAAACTAACATAGACGGGCACCGTTTTTAAGTCTTGACGTGATGATGTAAATATGAAATCCTTATTTATGATTCACAGCAACCTTGTCATTGAAAAATTATAAGAAAAGAGTTTTCATATAGGACAAGAAAAATAAATACATAATAATTTGAAATTAACTAATGGTTTTGTCTATCACATTTATTTGATTCATTGTGCAGGAGAGATGTATCATGCAAAAAGTCATTTTTTTCATAATTGAAACTTGTTTAGTTTTTGCATACAAAAAGAAAACTTTTTCTCGACTTGATTATTCATAATGCGTGTAAGCAAAGTCATTGAGGAAGCAAGAGTGCGAGTTTTGAGTTCCACGTGAATTGTGGTCGGCTTTTCACATTTTCAAGAAACGTGTGCCGTGCTTTGCTCGATAGATCGATTTCATATTAAAATTTAAGGATGATGTTATTTTGATTTAAATTTGTATTTTGGTCAGTTAGTCTATTAAATTTTATTTGATTGTGATGATAAAAAGTTGACGTGAGTGTTATTCCTGAATTCGTGTTCCTGAATTTAGAGTCTAAATTCATCGTCTAAATTTTAGACGATAGGTATGTTTATATTGCTGTGATTTTACAATTTATTCATTGAATTTACTTGATATATTATTGATTGTTGAACAGTGAATTAGAAAAGGTGACAACATGCTTAAGAAAGTGTTTACCCACCAAGGCCCCCTTCATACTCGTGCGGATGGGTTAACTTTCAGCCTGTACTCGGCAGAGGAGATTCGAAAACTTGCCGTCGTCAATGTCATCACTCCGTTGGGCTTTAATGCCTTGGGCCACCCGCTACCTGGGGGGTTGTACGACCCTGGAATGGGTAAGTGATTCTTTAGAGTCGTACCATTGAAGTATCCTATCAATGTCCTTGTTCTAATTATACGCATTTGAGCATTATTTTATTTTGTAGGGCCGTACGACATCGGAGGAATGTGCACAACCTGTCAGCAAACGATGCTATTTTGTCCAGGACACTTTGGAAAGATCGAGTTGCCACTGCCAGTTATTAATCCGCTCTTTTCCAAAACGCTGCTCAGTATTTTTAGAATGTCCTGCCTGGGTTGTCACAACGTTACTATTCCAGGTGTGATATTTGCGATGTTAATTGTACTATATATAAGATTCTCTGCTAATTTTTATCACATTTTTGTAGGTGTACTGAAGTACATGTGCCTTGCGCAATTGAAACTCTTAAGCTTTGGGTATATGAAAGAAGCTCAGGATGCCGAATCTGTCATAGGGGACATTCTTGTGAATGATGGAGAAACAAAGAAGAAATCCAAGTATACCAGCAAGGCAGAAATTGAAGTGGCAAGACTAAAGTTTGAGGCCTACGTAGAAAGCGTTTTGTTAAAATGTAGTGTAGTCAGATTTTACTAAATTAGCCACATTAACAACAAGTTTTAAATTTGTATATATATCTTTTGTAGATAAAAATCTCTCGAATTTGGATACTGTTGTGGCCTCTTCAAAAAATATTGAAAATGTAAAGCGTGTTGTGACAAAGCGGCTCATGTCTCACGCAAAGATGAACCATAAATGTCCCAATTGTGGATTGACTTGCAAAAAGATGATGCTTTTCAACTCTCAAATCGTCTACACATTGGTTGCCGGAAAGGAGAGTAAGCCAAATCGTGACGATGAACAAGAATTCATTGATAGCTTAATTGGAACAATTGGAGTGGATATTGAGTCTACAGGCACTCAAAAATATTTAACCCCTTCAGAAGCAAAGTTAGTAACAACGACACAATTTATAATAAAATGTGTATTATTTGTCCATAATATGCATATTTATGTGTTTACGTTTCTTTAATATTTTGTTTATCGCTATACAGGGATCACATGAGAATGTTGTGGATGAATGACCCAGATTTCTTGAAGGAACTATTTCCTGTTCTTCAGACAACACCAACCACATTCCCGACTGATTTGTTTTTCGTTGAAGTGGTGGCAGTCCCCCCTCCAAAGAATAGAGCTGTCAGTATATTTGCTAATCTTAATGCGAAAATGAAGTTGTAACTATTCTACTTTCTTCATTGCAGGCCAAAATGCTTAATAATATGATGGTTGAACATCCTCAAAATTTGGCATTGAGACATGTGGTAACGTCCTGTACAATGTTGAGTTACACAAGTATTGCGATGAAAAATGGGCTAGAAGCCTTATCTGCTGATGCATTGGTGAGTAAGCGCATTCTCTGGAATGACTTGAATGATGCATGAATGATGTTGTCAAGATTGATTGCATATAATATTTAAGAAATTCAATTTCAGAAAGCGTTGAAAGGAATAGCTGGAGAGAGTCTAAATGCTAAGCTTGAGACTATTTGGAAAGATCTTCAAACTGACGTTGACCACATTATGGATAGAGAGAAAAGCAAAATATCTGCTGCTTCAGCAGCTCAAATGCTTGGTTTGAAACAAATTATTGAAAAGAAGGAAGGACTTTTCCGAATGCACATGATGGGAAAGCGAGTAAACTTTGCGGCTCGAACAGTGATAACGCCTGATCCCATTCTTCACATTGAAGAGATTGGAATTCCTGATGTGTTTGCCAAAGTATTGACTTTCCCTACGCCTGTCACCACATGGAATGTGCAGCATTTGAGAAAACTCATCATAAATGGTCCCAACGTTCACCCTGGGTAATTTATTTGCACAAGCTTGACGTAAATATATTTCTTGTACGTGGTTGGAAGATGCATGTCGTAATTTTTATTCTATTTTCATTTAGTGCTATTTCAGTAGAAAATGAACTTGGACAAGTCTCTTTGTTAAGTGCAACTAATGAAATTCAAAGACGAGGTATAGCCAACCGTCTCTTGGCCACAGACAAAATATCTGGTGGTGAATTCAAGGGATTTAAAACTGTTAACCGTCACTTGTTGAATGGAGACTATTTACTATTAAATCGTCAACCCTCTCTGCATAGGCCTTCAATCATGGCACACAGGTATGCTGTAATCACCCAAGTGACAAATGATGGTTTGATGCTTAATTAAGTGAAGACGATATGCAACGATTTTAATAATTTGTTTTTAATAATTTAACTTTAGGGCTCGTGTACTTTATGGCGAAAAAGTTTTTCGACTACATTATGCCAATTGCAAACATTACAATGCCGATTTTGACGGAGATGAAATGAACGCTCACTTTCCACAAACTCACGTGGCCAGAAGTGAGGCTGCTAATTTAGGTAACTATAATTGAAAGCATTAATTTGGCGAAAAACTAACTTTTGCTTTAAAAAAATATAATGCAGGATTTTAAAAGTAATACAATTTTTCTTACAGTCAATGTATGCAGCCATTTTCTTGTCCCAAAGGATGGTACACCTCTCAGTGGTTTAATTCAAGATCATGTTGTTGCTGGAGTCAGACTAACAATCAGAGGAAGATTTTTCCATCAAAGGGATTACTTTCAACTAGTAAACTTTGCATTGGGCAGCAATTCAAGATATATTGAGACTGAGCCTCCTACTATTCTGAAACCGGTGACGCTTTGGTCTGGAAAACAAGTGATTTCTACAATAATCAAAAACTTAGTTCCCGAAGGAAAAGCGCTTTTATCATTTAATTCTAGTGCAAAAATTAAAGCAAATGTAAGAAATCCTTCACACAAATTTAATATTTCATGTAATTTCGTCAAACAATGTGAGCTATTTTAATTTATCGATTTGTACAGGAATGGAGAAAGCAGGTAGAAAGGAGGTGGAAATATGGTGGAAACATACAAGGCGACAACCTATCAGAATCTGCTGTGATATTTAGAGAAGGCGAGCTGCTATCTGGAGTTCTTGATAAGGTGCACTTGGGGGCGACTCCATATGGTCTAATTCATGCATTTTATGAGGTAAGATAACCTGTTAGCATCTAAACTAATAAAACATGCATGTTGATATTTATACAAGTTTTGTGTTATCTTTCAAGCTGTACGGAAGCCAAGCAGCAGGAGCATTACTTACAGCGTTCTCAAGACTGATGACTAATTTTCTTCAATGGGAAGGATTCACTCTAGGAGTTAAGGATGTCCTTGTTACACCTCAGGCAGATGAAGTGCGTCGTCATTTTATGGTTGAAGCTAGCAAGGTTGGACCTCAGGCTGCTGCGGCGGGTGTAAATGTACTTTCAGATACTTCTGACGATATTGTTAACGAAAAATTAGAACAAGTGCATCGCTCCAGAGATAACAAGAGCCGAGCTTTTGTCGATTTGTGTTACAAAAAGTCGCTGGATCAGTATACCAACCAGATTAACAAGTGAGTACAAAAAATACATTTTATATCATGCTGTGAGCAAGAATATTAATCTTTTTCATTAATAGAGCGGTCTTGCCATATGGATTGGTCACAATTTTCCCTGAAAATAACTTGCAACTGCTGGTGCAATCCGGAGCAAAGGGATCGACCGTGAACACCATGCAAATGTCCTGTGCCTTAGGTCAAATTGAGTTGGAAGGGAAGCGACCACCGTTGACCATTTCTGGGAAATCTTTACCCAGTTTCAAAACTTATGATGTTTCCCCTCGAGCGGGTGGTTTCATTGCTGGACGATTCTTGACTGGAATCAGACCACAAGAGTTCTTTTTCCATTGTATGGCTGGTAGAGAGGTCAGCATTATTAATGTCCTTACAGTTTCAAAACTTGTCTTACTATTAGTATACGTATGACAAATATTATGTTTCATTGGTTTGTAGGGTCTGATTGATACTGCTGTTAAGACTAGCAGAAGTGGTTATTTGCAACGTTGCTTAGTCAAACTATTAGAAGGAGTAGTTACTCAATATGATGGAACTGTGAGAGACAGCGATGGAAGTGTTATTCAGGTATCTAACAAATTTAATTTTTGTAATCCAAGTATATAATTGCCTAAATGTGCTTCAGAAGAGTTATTGAATTTTTTACAGTTCATTTATGGTGAAGATGGTTTGGATGTCTGCAAGTCTCAATATTTAAAAGAAAAACAGCTATCGTTTCTTGAAGAAACTGTGAAAAGCCTTGAAGATGACAAATTTTTTAAAAGGATTAAGAAACTGGGTGATAGAAAAATGATTTCCGTTAGAAAAGCAGAGGTACATACACATGTTTTCAATATTTTACTCAGGTAGTGTGAATCTTTGTTACTACTGATTTTACTAAATCAACTATGCGCATCATTCTAGATTGCTGCCATGTGTGACAAAGATTTTAAACATCGTACTAGTGGATTTTTAAATTTTGCTGCCAAGAATGCTGGATCCGTCAAGCATTTGTATGGTTTTAACCCAGCGACTGGACGTTCACTTAGAACAGAGAAATTATGTTCAATGTGGAACAACATGAGCCAGCCCAAACGTATTTCCCAGTAAGAAAGACGACATTATATAGAATTCATACAATTATCAAAATGTTTACACAATATTTCAACATATGGTTTATTTTATTCAGTTTAAAAGCTGATGTTCGACCGGATCCTTTATTGAGCTATTTAAAACCAGAATCAAATTTTGGAGTGATTTCTGAAAACTTGGAACAAATGCTGGGGCGTCACTGCAAAAACTCTAGTGTTAATTCAAAAAAGTTTAAAAACGCCGTTTACTACAAGGCCATGAGAGCTTTGAGTGCTCCAGGAGATGCTGTTGGTGTTTTAGCTGCTCAGGTAAATTAATATTAAATAAGCATGATTGTATTATAATTTTATTCATATTACATGTGCTATCTGGTGTTGTTTAGTCAATTGGAGAACCATCAACCCAAATGACACTCAACACATTTCACTTTGCTGGAAGAGGCGAAATGAACGTCACTTTAGGAATTCCTCGGTTACGAGAAATATTAATGGTCGCTTCGGCCAATATCAGAACACCAAGTATGGACATCCCGTTCAAAGAAGGGGTATCTGAAAAGCAAGCCGAAAAACTACGTCTTCTACTAACCAGCGTGAATCTCGCCCAAGTGTTGCAGTATATCGAGGTGTCCGAACAAATTGACACCCACACGCAGTCAAGATTTTACACACTGAAATTTGTGTTCCTTGAAAAATCAGAATTCGCTGGGAAATTTTGTGTAAAACCCAGAAACATATTAAGTTATTTTGAAAGAAAATTCCTTTCCCAACATCTAATTCCTGCCTTGCGTAAAGTTTCAAAGCAAAAGAAGGACACCGGAATAGAAACAGTTAAAGAAGGTCAAGGACACGGTGAAGGCCTGGACGAAGACGAAGAAGAACCCCAAAGAAATATTTACGACGAGCAAGAACGTAAAGGGATGGGCGAAGGACATGAAAGTTCAGATGAAGAAGAGGAACCCGAAGACGCTGATGCGACACAACAAGCCCGCCGGGCTCGACATGCAGAAAAAGAGTATGATGCACCTGAAGATGAAGAAATAATTATTGACGATGAAGACCAAGAAGAAGAAACGCCGAAATCTGCCGATAGTGAAAATGCGGACAAAGATTTAGAGGAAGAAGAACAAGCGGACATTGGGAGTGTTTCGTTCCGAGTGTCCGAGGACAGTTATGAAGCTCGCATTAGTTATGTTACCTCTTCTCACGAAATTATCACAGATTATGACCTTGATAGGATACTGGAAGAGTGGTGTACCGTGTCAATTAGATTGCCCTTAGAACTTGAGAAAATTAATATGAGTTCAATATTGAGATCCGTTGCAGAAAAAGCAATCATTCACCAAGTGCCAAACATTACGAGAGCATTTCTCGTCAAGCCACAAATGATTCTCAAGACGGAGGGTATCAATATCCTTGCGATGGCAGAACATCGCGACGTGCTGGATCTCAGTCGGCTGCATTGCAATAATATCCACACAATGGCACAACATTACGGAATTGAGGCAGCGTCCCGAGTCCTCGTGAAGGAAATGACAGATGTGTTCAGAGCCTACGGGATTGTGATTGATCCCAGACATCTTACGCTGATTGCTGACTACATGACATTCTCTGGGACTTATCGGCCTTTTAATCGGATTGGCATCGAGTCCAGTGCCAGTCCTCTGCAACAAATGAGCTTCGAGACTGTGGTGACCTTTCTTCGTGATGCTGCTTTGACAGGTACGAATCCGTCTAAATCTAAATCTCTTGTTTCCTCACTTCATTACTTCTCTAGTACTGCTGAACTATAGCATCTTTAATCCTGTGTGTGAACATGCGTATTTATATCGCACTCCATTAATTAATGGACTACAGGGGTGGGACAGAAGAAGGAGCCACTTGAATTTTAGGGGTGGCGTGTGATGCACAGTCGCGGCATTTTCAAAATTTGCATATGTCATACCCAGATAGTTAACGAAAATTTAGCACTATTCAGATTTTCCCTACGGTTAAAAATGCCCCTGCAGCACCCCCCAGAGTGCGAGGCACGCATAAAAGTGTTTTCCAAAGACATACTGAGCCAGAGAGCGATTGTTAGAAAATTTGCTGCAAATGGATTTATCGTCGATCGAAAGTACGTTTCTAATGTACTTAAAAACGTTGGAATCAAGCGAAGGGAAAAAGCGGTTAGAGCTCCACCCCCACGGAAAGGATACCCAAGATCCGCTTGAACCAAAAAGTTTATCCGGAAAATCAATTTTTCGCCAAAACGGTAAATCCACCAACTAAAAGTTGCATGGCGAAAATGTTAAACGTTAGTAGGAGAACATTTCTAGAGTCATTCACAATGACCTACAGCAAGTGACTCGTAGGAAATCCCGAGATCATGCTCTCATCCCAACTTATTTCTCACAAAATATCAGCCTACACGAAGGATTTTAAAAAAAGTTTGGGTATAACAATTATTCCTACTATAGAAACTCTCGTTAGTTCCTCTGATATCAATCCGATGTTTTTTTTTGGATTCGAGTACTTAAAACAGAGCCTTCTTGAAAGGAAAACGCGTGCGTTTTGATGCACTTTGGAAAAGTGTTCAGGACGAGTGGTGCAGAATCACTCTGAAAATTGTGTCAAAGGTCATGACTGGTTGGAAAAAGCGACTGAGGCTCGTTAGATAAACTAAAGGGCTTCACACTGAACCAATTACCAAACTTCACAAACGAATAATAAGGCCGGAATAAATTTAGGCAAAGTGGCTCCTTCTTCTGTCCCACCCCTCTGTACATGAAGAATGAGGAATTGTACATTTAAATTGTCTAATCTTTACATTTCAGGGAAATATGACGATCTATCGAGTCCATCCGCAAGACTGGTGGTTGGGAAGCCGGCTGGCGTTGGGACAGGCTTATTCACTTTAAGGCAACAAATAAGCTCATTTGACGAGTAAATACTTTTGTTAACCTTTTAAGTAAATACTAAATTTTGTATGACAAATATTTTAAAATAAAATTGAAAATCAAGTTTATTGGGGCAGATTATTGCCGAGTTGCCGGATTTGTTTCGCAATAGTCAATAGGTTAGTGATATGCATAAATCAATATATGTAGATTCCTTTGCAATACAACTTATTTACAAACAACTACATTGAATGAATTATTTGAAAAGTTAGGCAAAACTACATGGTGGTTATAGTGAAGGGTACATTATAAATATATGCGTTACATGAACTCCGTGTGTATATGCACAAGATACATATACACATATACTTTCGTAATACAAGGGGCAGGAAGTTACGTACACACTGCTGAGAAAACTTTTGTAAAGGGCAGGGGAAAAATATAAATTTCTAGGTTGCTTTTGCACGGACAAATTTGCCACCACGACGATGGGTTCGCCGTACGTACTTATTTTTATTTTTCTTTGCCTCGCTGTTGTGTCCTGTCCTATTATTCGGACATGGAGTTTTCAATCTATTGTACAAAAGAGTGGTCGTAGTGGGGCTGAGAACAACTGAATGATTATTGGACATTGGAAAGATGGAAGCGGAAAATGCTGACTTGACTCGTCTCATACGTTCCAATTTCACTTGCCTTTGAAGGGTGAAAGAAGAACGTGTACAGTGTGTGGAACAAATTGGAAAGACAAGGGAATTTGGAGGAAAGGAATGATTGGTGGATAAAATGATAGTTGTGATGTGAGAGAGGAGAACAATAAGTTCATTGTAATTCATGGACTGTTTTTGTTAGCCTAAGGACGCTGATGCGAGCGCCGAACCCGTCGTGCTCACCATACTAAGCGATTGAGCCCACCAGAGAAAGAAAGTGGCAGCAGGACTTTCACTACTCAGCCTGCCTTCCTGCTCCTCCTGCTGCTGTAATTCTACGTCTCTTCTCGTTCTCCACCTTCCATTCCTCCTTCTCCACGCTATTTATTTGTACTGCAAACTACAAATTGGACTAAACAGGGAATACTAACGGCCAACCTTCCTCGCTCTCCTTCTTCCTTCTTGATCTTCTTGATCGGGATGTCAAACGAGGTTTTAGTTTAGTCGTCGAAAAGACGACCACACTTATTCCTCCTTTCATCTCGAGTGAGAGGAAGGAACATGTTTATAGCTGCCGAGTGGAATAAAGAAAGTGAGAAGACGACAAAATTATGATTCTCAAAAAATATACCAATGCGTGTCCCTATCGGGGATGGTTTAATAGGGGAAGATATAATAGTTGACGATTATGATGTATTTATGTACATAGGATTTCCTACCTCAGACGTATAATGGGCCCTTCTAAGTATTTATTAAAAGATTTATAATGCCCAAAGTTGCCTGAGCTGGATTGTGAATTTGATAAGTGATGATATTCTATTATGCTGCTTTGCCGAGTGAGCAGAGTTATGATAATATGGCACCATTATCCACGGGAGGAAATCAGCAGTTGTTGCCTGAACGGGCGGAAGAATGAAATGTCATGGGTATCTCGAGTATTAGTGGGAGGGAAAGATAATGCGGGGTTATTGATAGAAAATAGACGAGTGGGTGATGAGCCCAATGACAATTAAGGGCACGGACAGCTTTTCATGCACCCATTAGAAAAAAATGCATAAATAGACAGCCTCTTATCCCTAATGGCGGTGGAGTGAGGAAGTGAGGAGGAGAGAAAGTAGGAGTCGTTTGTGAGATTTAGAATTGAAGCTGAAGTTTCTCCAGGGACAAGAATGAGATTGAGCTGGTGTAGATTCTCGATTTTAGATTGTAGAAAGAGAGGAGGATATCCACCAGCCACCGGGATATGGACCAGAAGAAGAAGAAGAAGAATAGAGCATGTAAGATTCATTTGATTTTTTATTCTCATTCATTCCCATGTTGTCGTATAGCCCGAGTGGAAATAGATGCTTCAGCTTGAGCGGCATCAGCACCAGCCTAGTCTTGGTCGTCCTCCTCCTCGTCGTCGTCGTCGTCGTGGAGGAGAGAAAGTTAACGTGGTGGCTCATGGCTGGATCCTCTCTTTCTTCGTGCAGTGGTGGCAGAGAAATCAATCATTCACCAAGTACCAAATATCAGCCGAGCGTTTCTCGTCAAGCCTCAAATGATTCTCAAGACGGAGGGCATCAATATTCTGGTCAGAATTTCGCCTTTCTCTCTCTCCAACTACTTTCAACTCGTTCCCTTTCACAATTTTCAGGACTTTCAAGATTTTGAACGCTCAGCATTCAACATTCATTTCGTCTACTAGCTCGCCTCTAGGTCCTCTCCGGCTTATACAACCATCTGGAGGAAAAATAGAGTCTGTACTCCCCGAACTGATTTACCAAAATCTGCAACAACTAACAATAAGTAGGCTTAGCAGGTTTCTGAATAGTGGGAGAGGAGAAAATGTGCCTAACCTGTGCCAAATCCTGGATACTTTATGACCTGTTTCCATATAAATAGATATGCATGTGTCGTCTCCCTCGTGAGAGAGAGAGAGCAGCTTTTGATTTTATGCTTTTCCCGAGCAATAGTTAGCCAGCCAACAACCTGGAGTTTGTAATGATCAAGTCAAAAGTCGGATATATTGCAGTGCGCTGAATTAAATATTTCTAACGCCGATAAATTCTATTCTTCCTGCATCGTCGGTCGTTGTTCATGTTCATTTCAAACCCTTTTGCTGCTGCCTTTCACTCGCTCATTCTTTGAAGTAAACTCAAATTTCGATGTTGAAGGCGATTGTGAGGTGGAATTTAAATTTCGAGGAATTTTCACTTTTACATTCAGCAATTGCAGCAAACCGTGACTGTCACTGAAATAAATTTCACGTCAACAACAGGAGAAAGCCAACAGCGTTCCGTTTCATGTCTAATAATGAAGAGTGATTGTGGTGATGGGTACAAATTCTTCATTCACTGCATTCATGAGAGTAGGCGTATGGTTGTGTACTCACGAGGGAGGCGTCACAAGGTTTGCAATGCAGGACTTTTACGGCATTTTGGCATTTATTTTGATGCATTACATGCGAATATTAATACCCTCCCTCAGAGACCTATTGAGTCTGCCACACCCCCTCAGAAAATTAAAAACCACGAAAAAGTGACCTTTTGCTTATTTCAACTTTCACCAGAAATTTAATTTTGCTTGAATTTTTGAAATTGCTGCACTTTGAGTTCATAGTTCATTTTGTTTATTTGTCACTTCTCAACATCAATCCAAGGATTTTAATTTGTTCAGAAGACGTAAATTTTCTAAAAACTTTATAAAAATTTCGAAAAAATCGGAATAGTGGGATGATTTCAATATCATGGAAGAACTATCAGAGCTATAATAAATTGCAAGAATTTTCAAAATCCAGGCTAAATTTAAGTTTGGTGAAAGTTATTACTTTCACCAAACTTAAATTTGGCTAACTATTGCTCGGGAAAAGCATAAAGCGTTCGTGTTTTTCAATCCTTTGAGTGGGTGTGGCAGGCACAGGCTAACCATGCACTGGGAAAGCTTACTATTTTCGCAAGATGCATCAAAATTCCAAAACACCACAAAAATCTGGGATTGAAAACCTCGTAACACCTCCTCTTTAGTAATCATAGTGTGTAACGCGGTGTCTGATGGTGTGACTGACGCTATGGCGTGGAATAAAAAAGCTATGCAACGGAAAAGCTCCGAACTACTGAGTACATAAATTGTACAAGGAGTACACATTATCCTTTATGCTGCCATGTTAGGTCATGGTGCTGGGGACGGTCAACGTTCCGTGCTACATATTACATAAATAGTCTCTGAGGCCACTATGCAACAGTACGTGAGTAATTTCAGACTCTATAACAATGAGCAGTGGCCACTATGTGTATTTGGCTCAACTCATTCTCATCGTCATCATGCTGCACCGAGTTACATCTTCTTAAATATTTGTGCTGAGAATCATCAATCTGATAAATAAATACGTGGGCGATTCTAAAATTAATCTGCCATCAGTGCCGTCCTTATCTTTCCCTGCCAGCACGCCTTTTCTAAGCAAAATTAATTACCTTCGCCAATGGCACTACTACTACTTGTCTAGATGGATTTAATGTTCTGAACCAACTCAGTACTATCACCCGAGCGGTGCTCAAGATGCAAATTAAATTGTTATTACTTATCATTGTATAATGGAGGAGGAGGATGGGAGGTTATTTGCATTTGATTTCGATACGGCATCCTCATCTCCTCCGTGGTTTAGCTTGGTCCCCTCTACTTTCTGTGTACTTATATAATAATTCTGATTTCACAGACCAACTATATCGGGTCACAAATGAGGTCACGCCAGTTAATAAAGTAAAAAATGAGAAGATTTATGGTTGATTTATTGTCAAAGATTCGAGGAGGATCATGATAAAATGGACCCCATTATTCCATGTAATCATTTAACTTTGCAGCATCCGTCACATTGTCACACTTATTGAATGATGTGAGGTTGTGAGTGAGTGGTTATTAGGAATGATTTACAGGCTTCTATAGTTCGGAAGCGTTGATTGAAAGGACATCAGAGTCAGTCAGAGTCAATGCTTCCTCAACTTTGGAGTTGAGGGAGAACCTAATCATTTTATACGGTGATGATGATGGCCTGTTTCCTGCGACGAGCTTGACATTTATATGTGTCAACACTCCAACAAAAAGTCGAATAAATAATACACTCTAACCCATTGCTTCAAATTACTGGTGCTCTGTGTAGTGACGTCAGATTTTATTTAGAGTGGCAAAATGTTTCATTTCACGAGTTTAATTTCGTAAAACTACGTGATAAACTAATTTGAAGTGTGCGATCCGGTCCAAGTTGTGTCTGTAATGGTTTGAACCAACAATGAGCAAGGCTTTCGTGTTGAATCAAGTTACATACATAGAAGCTTTTAGATACAAAATAATAGTACTTCACGCAGCATCCGTACATACATTTTAGTGGCCTACATTTCCCATAGTCCTGCCATACTCCTCCCACCCAACATATATTTAGTCGACGTACATAATTCATAATATAAATTTACGAGCCGTTGAAGCTGATCGTTAAAGAATTCAGTTCGACGAATCTCCAACAGCAGTAAAGTAATGCGGCGGACTTAATTTTTCTCCCCTAGCACCGACCGACCGACCGACTTCTTATTCTTCTGACGCCGTACTAGTGGCTTTCAATGTTTGTGCGACACCAAAAAAAGTAGTACTTAACACCATGAATAAGTGGACTCGAGGATGAATTCTATGCAGCTTTTCAAGCGATAAGTTAAGTTACTGCTTCATTCTGAATAAATTCCTTCACGATAACATGTACACACTTCTCTCGCCGACTTTCTGCGGTCTTCCATTTTCGTAGTCTGGAAGGATGTCCGACTTGGTTGGTGTGGGTCTGCATGGCAGGATGGAGGGAAAGGAGGACCTGTACACGAATCCACTCTCAACTTTAGACTCTACATTGCACTTTCACTCTTCGCAGTTCTGGAGTTAACGACTTGAATTTCTGAAAAGGTTAGCACTACGAGAGAGGAAATTGAGGAAAGTTGTATCAGAGGAACAAAAGATTAAGCTAAAGATAGCAACTTTCCTTCAGTTTACCATACAGACTTGCCTCACCCACCAGTCATAGCAGCCAGCCAGCCAGCCAGCCACAAGTGAATGAGCTCCTACGGCTTGTAAGGGAGGGATCACGTTCCACTTTCTCCTTGATTATATTTTGACAACCCTCCACGACAAAACAGAAGTAGTTGGCATTTCATTTCGTCAACAAGGTAGAAAAAAATAAATAAAAAGCCTCTCATCTCACAATAAGTTGGTAAACACAACAAGACACGAAACATATGGTGGCTACAGGTAAAAGTTTTTTTTTGCGAGTATGCAGTTGCTTTTGGAATGAGAAGAGAGAGAGAGAGGAGCTGGCTATCGAAGGATCAGTCGTACGGATGATTGATGTTACAAGGGCCCTTCATTTGTCTGGATAAGGGGATTAGAAAGTCTGAACGTGATCAGCTCCATGATAGGATAGGCCCCTGGGACAAGAAGCCAACTGGCTTTCCTTCCATCAAGCAGTAGAAAACTGGACCGTGTGGACGGACGAGGAGCGAGGAAAGCTCTGCATGTAACAGATATACAAAGCAAGCATCGGCTAAGTCATGCCATGCCATGTTAGACACCACTTTCTCCCACGTACAACTCCACCAGTGTCGAGTTGTAAATGTAGAAAGGTAACTGGCTGTAAAGGTAGAGCGAAAACGTGCAGATGATATCGATGCTGGAAATCAGAAGGCAATTCTATTTTTTAAACCTACGAAACAGTTTCTCTTCGTTGTATGAAAACCAACCAGTCGCTGAGTTTTATTTCTTGAAATGCGATTTTGGGATATTTACGATATTATCTTTTTTCCTCCAGTAAATTGTCGTTGGAGGGAACGGGAGAAGCTAAAGCAGCATAACTACGCCTACGTACGGAGTAATGCTGATATAAGGTATATACGTGTATAGTATTTCTGCTACGGGATACGGGATTTCTGGTACGTACGAAGGTGACAACTTGTATCGGGAACGAGAGCTTTGTCACTATTTTGAAAATGGTTTAATGGAAAGCGTTGAGACCGGGGAGGGAGGAGGAAGGCCAACACATGAGCTTGGTGATTTACGGTGGAATGCAAAAGTCATTTTAGATTAGAATACTGAATGCAGCCTTTTAGTGTGACAAGAGACCCATTGGGTGGTCATCCTTATGAAGACACATGGGCTGAGGTTTGTCCATAAATGGAAACATTATGCGAATATCGGGAGGAAAGAATTCCTTGGAGTGGGGCCGTGAAAATTTAAGTTCGGAAACACCATTCCCATTTGTTTCCACGGGAGAGAGGGTCGCAAGGGCGTGAAATTGCTCTGTGCAATTCGCTTTAAACATTTTAACTCCTTATTTCCTCCTTCATTTCACTTTGGAACGACGGTAGCAGGAGCGATACGTACGACATGGAACTGTTGCCTGTGTTTTGAGATTTATTTCAACTAGTTACCAGTTTAGTATGACATGTAAAGAGTCCGCCATTCAATTTTATTAAAGCAAATGCCCCCGTTCCACGACTTTATTCAAAGTGTCGTAAAAACCAATAGCACATAAAATTACGTGACACTACTTGGACTCGTCAATTCCTGCGTCACTACGCTACTCGGATATTGCTTGTAATAAATAATAATAAATTATCGACAGTCCGTGTGTATCTAGGGCGGGAGGAAGTGCAAGTCGTTTCACTCTGGAATGAAAATACGGTTTGTGTGGGGTCAAATCGCTGAATAGGTAATTTTGTCCTTGTTTTGTAGCTGGCAAACATGTCTCGTGCTATTTGATCCCCTATGCAATGCAGTTACATATGTTTGTGAGGGTCGTAAAATTATTATGAGACGTGTCGCATCTTACATACATACTTATTTTGCCAGTTAGTTTTCAGCATTTAATGATGACGAATCTTATGTACAGTGTGTCCGGTCGTTATGTGAAGTGCCCTGACGCTATTTGAGGGCTTGTCCAAATTCACATTGGGGGATTCCACAATAACCGAATATAAAGTTATCTAAACTTATCCAAGTCATCACTCTCTGTCAAATGAAGAAAATGTGTATTTATGTAACTTAACTGTTTAAATATCGTTCCGTTAACACCCTTCCTTGGCATATTTTCACACTTTTTTGTCGACTTTTACTTCTTGACTCATAGGTGAGCTTAAACCGCTTGAGTTTGAAAAGAATGTGTGACTTAAGAAGAAGAGTTTACTGTGAAACTTGCTCAAGGGTTCAAGGGTTCAAGACGGACGTACCTACGCAGAAACGTGGTCGGTATTCCGTCCGTGTTGATAGTCTTGTCAGAACTTGGACGACGGCACGCCACGCACTGTACATGCTACGATGGCGTGGCATTCATCTCAAGAAATCGAATTCACAACTGTCGCCGTCCATGCATGTTGTCTCTGATCTAGATTATCGGCTTTGACCCTCCTCTAAAAAAGAAATGTCAGATCAGAGAGTAGCATTTTCTACGGTCTATGGCCGTCCAGATGGTTTATCCCCTCCGTACTTACGTACATAATACGGGTATATTATTAGAAGAAGGGAATACTTTCACGTCCAAAACCTTTAGGAAGTAAATTTGCATAATCTTACTATTCTACTCCTTTGTCCGTCCAAATTTGAAATCGAGAAAGTCGTCTGAAAATCTTGAAATCTTTATCCTGGATTGAGTAAAAAGCAGGAAAGATGGATGGATACCTATCCCATGTACTTATGTGCCTATGTATGCGGAACAAGCTTCCCAGTTTTAGAGGATTGGGAGAACGTCTTATTCTGTTCATCAGTGCATCGCCTAGAACTGACGAAAATCAGGGCCAGAGCTTCATTTACTTCTGTGAAAAAACTCGTGGATTTATATCGTGGCAGAATATGATGAGCCGAGATCCAAAACTTCATTCTACCGAAAAGACTGCAATGAACTCGGATATTTAAGCATGCCTTGATCCACAATGAATGAAGGAGTCTTTCTCGCTGCTATATTTCTAGGTACGTAGACACGCATATACGTCGTCGGAGCTTAATAATACGGACTTGGAGTTAGCAGAACGGCGTATGGCGTGGAGTGCTGCAGTGTGGAGTACGATTCGTGTCTGTCGTGATGTGAATGGAAAACCAATTTCGTGGAGTGAAAGTATGGAACCTAATTCACGATAATAATGATCATCATGTTTTTATCCCGCTGTTAATTTCTTGCTTGTTGAGCAAAGCACTCGAAAAACTCATCTTGGAAGAATGGAAAATTCCAAACTCTTAATTTATGTCCAAATACAGTATGAAACAAAAATGAAGATTGATCTTGCCTTTTTGGTCAGTGCGCCAATCGAGCTGAAGAAATTTGAGAATATAAATCATTTTGAGAGAAAGCCAAGACTCTCACTTTCTCTCCCCTTCTGTCTCAACGGCTGTGCGTGTGAGGTTCTACATATTTAGTTCTTTCTTTGGGTTGCGGTGCTCGTATACTTTGCATTCTTCGGTCTGCGCCATTTAATTACGATCCTGGCTGGAGGAGCAGCCTTAACACGCCAAACGTATTATATTCCTCCTTCGCAAGAAGAATGCAAGAAAACATACCGAATTTGATTCGTATTTTGATCTTGTTCAAGAAATATCATGCATCACGCGATGCCCTAATGAAAAGGTGGAACAAAGAAGATGAACGTTAATTGAATTCGTTAATTACAGGCCTTCGATATCTCTGTCTGATGGATTTAAAGTTATTTTCGTCGGGGCTAGAATTTTAACTGGGAAATTAACTGCTGGTTGTGCGACACAGTCTCCGTACGTATATCGGGATCCATATACTGATAAAATGATAATGGTAGTTAACACGGTGTGTATGCATGTACTGAAAGTAAGCTCTTTTCCAGGGATTACAGAAAAACGTGTGCTCACCACCCCAATCACACGAAGATACATACATATTCTTTGTCTGGATTGTAATGTGATTGACCCCTGAAAACCACTGTACGTCCTCCCCGTCCGGGTTGCTGCGAGTAAGTACATGACATTCGCTCCGACTTATTGTTGTCCTAATCGGATTGAGATTGAACATGTCAGGCTACGTACTGGTGGACCTTCTCAGCTCCAACTTTGTGTGCGACCTTTCGTCTTCTCCGCTAATATGACATACATTGGGACGTGATTCACCTGTGATGGGGAAAACTTTTTAGCTTTCCTTCTCCCAAGGAAGAATACTTAGAAGGCGAGTGAGGACTTACGTAAAGAGTTTACTTTGCTTTTACTCCTTTTATGATTTTGTAAATTGAATTGGCAAAAACACTTTGCTAACCGAACAATGAATGAAGATGAAGATGAAGAGCATACATAGTGAGCAAAAATACAATGCGTGGGAGGGACCATCGGTATGGAACAACATGTGTGTATGTATTTACATATGTGTGTGGGAGGTTTATTAATTTGAAGAAAAACTTGTCTAAAATAAAATAGGATGGAAAAGTGCACTATTTTATTTTCTTTAAACGGAGTTAAACACAATACACTTCGTTTGCCCATTCTAACACTTTGCAGATTTTATTTTTAGATGATTTTATTTTTGCTTCTTTTTTGCAGCGATTTGCTGCTGCATATTTGGAATATCAGTGCTGTCACTTGAATTGAACATCTATAAATTGTGGTTCTTTTTCTTATGCAAAATGCAAATATGTGTGAAAATGTAGGACATTGTGTGCATCTTCAAGCGTGGTGTGTATCAGTGGGACCTCTCGCTCCTCGCCGTCGTTGTGTTCCGTTCTTTCCACAAGAAAGCACCATAATTTATCAAAACTTGTACTTGGCAAGAAAGAGGTTCGGTAACAGACTTGTTCACGCTTTTGCTGAAATTAAATTCATTTGACCCCTGACTCGTTCTAACGATAAGTACACACAAAGAGAGAGAGAGAGAATTCTTCTTGTTGAACAATTCCATTTTGGAAAAGAAATGACTCATGGTTTTTATTACAAGTTTTGGTAAAGTGGAGGAGGCAGGAGAAAAAATTGGGACCCTGCCTAAAATTCAGATTCATACCCACTTGGCTCACTTTCTTCTGTGTAGAATGCAAAGTGTTAATAGCAGACGAAGCGACGACAGTAGGAGGGAGAACAAGAATTATTGCGGAAGAAATATTGGAGATGGAGAAAGGGTTGGAGTTGCCGGAGATCTCTTCCGCCTCCCCACTCGTCTTCTGTTTCCCTTCTTATTCAAATTAAAGTCGCGTCTTGTGAGGTTTCCCTTCAAGGATGAGGCAGCGTGAGGGGAGAGGACATCATCATCACTGGAGTCGGATGATAACGTGCCAACAGCAGCAGCAGCGTCCTCGTCATCCTCCTCCCATGGGGAGCAATCTGTTACCGTTCCTCGAAGCAGGATCGCTCTTCGTCGTCTCACATTGTTCCTTCGTCTCCCTGATAACATGATCGAAGGTCCACCACCACCGCCGTCCGTGGCATGACCACTGATCTCCCTTCGGTCTCGCAACCGATGACCAGATGACCAACCCCGCCATCCGCCATCCCTCCCTTTCCCACCACCATAACTTCCCCGGCCCTCCAACGCTTTACGGATTAACATGTTGAAATCAATTATTGTCAAACAAGGGGACTCTGTTTCCGTCTCGGATTGCACTTCCCGACGACGACTTTCTCGCACCCGTCCCTTTCTTCTCCCAATTATTCCACCTCCGCCGATTTTTCTTGTGTTTTCCGTCTCATCGGGACGCTTGTGCGTGAAACGTCGCACTTTATGCCTCGTGGTGGTGGTGGTGGATACAGCAGATGCACCGTTATGGCCAGGCAGTTCCCTGGATACATGCCCGTGATGACGGTGCTCTTTTAAAATGCTGAAGTCGAAAGTTTGATAAGCAGCCTTCTTCACTTCAACTTCATTAGGTTGAGACGTAAAGGAGAGCGGACCCCGTTGGGGAGAAGTCTCGGAGAGGTTGAGAAGTTGAACTGGTCGCCCCGTGGGTTGGTGACTTTTCCCAGTATGGCCTTTTCCATTATGATTATTGGACACATTAGTGACATTGTCTCCATTAGTATCCGTACGAGACCTGGTTGTTTGGAGGAGGGGATTAGCCGTGGACGACCTCCGTCTGATGTATTGTTGCTGGAAAATAGTCCCATTTTTCGTCGCCCTGACTTTCACCTGCTCCTCGTCGGAACTGTCGATATCCGAAGAGTCCGAATGTCGTGCAATTTCTTTCGTTAATTGGGGCAGTTTTACCACCGTCTTGTCCATCTCGTTCTCCCCTTCGTCGTCCTCATTGTCGTTGTCATTAACATTAGTGTTAGCTGGGATGGCTCCTGCAATTCCGTCTTTAGGATTAGATGGCGACCTGGTGTGAGATTTATCCCGGGATTTCCCCTTCGTCCTAGATCTTGCTCTTGGTCGGCTTTTTCCTCCTCGCATGCTGTTCTTGTGCCCTCCTCCTCGGTCGTTGTTGTCATCCCCCGGTGCTGTTGCTGCTGTGGCGGATAACACTGTCTGTGGAATGATCCCAGTGGCTTTATAGTACTCAAAGAAAGTTCTTGCCAAGTTCCGGCCAAGTCTTAAATCTGTAGGAAAAAAAATCTGCGTAAAGAAAATACTTTTGCAAGTCCATTTTGAAAGAAAAAACGCTTACATCCATCTTCATTATAAGTTATGATTGCGTTGGACAAAGCTTGTGTGTAGCCAAAGTATGAAACCTCCATGGTGTAGACGTTCACAGTATTTCGGAGTATTTCGCACAAATGCCTGAAACAAGGAACAGTTTGAAATAATTACACAGTATGTCCGGTTGTTACATAAAAAAGCCCACTGCAATTAAATGGCACCTCTAATGGCACCTAGATATACGGAATTATACGGGTATAGCACAATTCACTAAAAGCACAGCCCGTCTTCTACACATGAGCATTCGTGTAGCATTTGGTAGCCGAGGGTAATCTTATTTAGCTTCTTTTTCTTATTGCAATTTCTGACGAATAAAACTTGGGTTCCTTCTTATTTTTTAGTCAAAATTCCTATCACGCCTGCATGAAGGTTCACTTACAAGTCGTCGTAACTAACACAGTAATTGCAAAGCTAACCCTTGACATTTGTCATAAAAGTTTCTGACTTTGAACTAATTGAGTTCGCCAGCCACCACGAGGATGAAATTCCGCGAGAAAGAGACGCAACAAGGAAGAACGTGCGATTACAACCCACCAGATTCTTTTGTTACACCCAACCGCACGTAATCCGATACTGTCCTTGAAAAAGGATCACCGAGAGAGAGAGAGCTTTCCTTGCTGGTTTAATCCTTATTTTCACTACAGTTGATACAACCTTGATGATGATGAAGATACTTTTCCATTGGTTAAATTTACACCGAAAATTTTAATACGTATGACAAGGGCGAAATTGACGTCGTAAAAAACACGTGCAAAATATTTGCTTCTATTCGCTCCGTCAGTAATTTACGCTGTCCTCGCAAATCTTTGCATGCATATCTGTTCCACATAAATGAAATTATGTTCTGTTGAACTCTAGACATAATTCGATTCGTATGAAAAGAGTTTTTCACGTGTGTGTGCACAGTTGCGGTGTGAGATTTGTGGGGAAAATGGCGATGCAGAGAAAGTGTGAAGAGGAATTGAGTTAGGATACGTTACAAGACGCATATAAATTAGCTTCCTCGAGTTCCACTTGGATATTAAATTTATGAGAAGTTCTACATATGTATTTGCTAAGTAACTACTATTCTGATGCCGCCTTGGGATTTCTTATTCCGATTTTTGTACATGGCTAGACACTATTTTTGAATGTGTAAGGTTTGATGCATTATTTTTTTTTGTTAATTTATATAAGTGCATTGAAAAGAAGCGATATTACCGTCTCGCAGTTCCAGCCTTGTTTGGATCCCTGTTGTACATTGTGTGTGAAGGATTGTAGTCTTCCGCGTTATGGGCGAGCAGTTTCGGGAATAAAATGTGCCTTTCAAATCTACACAAATTCAAATAAAGATAAGTCATTTATCAAAATACGACGACATTATGTGTAACTATTGCCGTTTAATTATTACAAGGACAAAAATAAGAATATTGAGTTTAAATATTTAAAGTTAATGAAAACTAGTCAACCCGCACAGATCAGAATAGTGATCCTAATTTTAACAATTTGACATAAAATTGATTTTGATCTAAAGCCCAATAAATCCAGGTTAATTTATATCGCACAAATGCTCCCACGCGGTATTACTGGACATATCCGTGCCTCTACGTGTCTACCTACCTACCTACACACATACATCATAGGCGAGGATGTTTAATTTTACTCTGGAAAACACCGCAAACCAAAGATACGCGATGGTACCTTAAGTACGAGCACCATCGTCAACAGAAAGGCAACAACTCGGGTATTTACAACTTGTATCATGTTGGAAGAGAACAAATCATGGGCGACGGTACCAACCCGAATGTCGCAGTTGATTTGACGTGATTTTATAACTTGAAGTTCGTGGAGATACTCTTGATAACCGATTCTACCATTAATTTATTCATTCATTCCGCTGGTCTGGCTCTTGAGCCAGGCCACCCTTCACAACGCATACATGCATTCATACTCAGACAACAGTAAAAAGATAATGAATTATGCAACGACCACCAAGAAGCAGAATGAATGAAGGGTTGCTAGTTTGTATTAGGAGAATCAAGTATACACACAAAGTTGGTGGTGTGGTGTGCATGGTGGATGATGCCTCCGAAGGGGACGAGGTGGATGGGAAGAGAGGCGGAGGAGAAAGAAGTAATAAATGCAAACTACATTCCGACCGAAACAAAGGAAGATAAGTATTTGAATTTCACACAAAGCAAATGCACAACAACATGATTTGGCTGGATTTGACAAGTGGAGTCAATCCCCACTGAATTCGGCCAATTAGTAGATTTAATAAATCCCCACATGACTCAACGTCACTGGGCAATTTAAACCCAAACCATGTTCATCGTCTTATGTGTACACACTTGCATATGTACAACCAGCTTCAAAACGGTGGTATCCAGCATCCTCCTCCACCGCAAAACAACGAAGAACGCATAAATAAATGAGTGGAGAAAGCGCTGCTCATCATCATCACAATTCTCCTGAAGCATTTCCTCATAGCGAGGGCTGGCAGGTTCTCGTAATAGGGTAAAAGTTGCCTCACCTCAGCAAACTCATCACTGATATTGCCAACCCTCTTGTGAAACAACACTTTGCATTTTGCCGTAAATACTGAATCTCGCCCCTGTAATAAAAGCCGCTTTCTAATTTGGACGTGTCTTTGAAGGAGTGCCAGGCAGAGAAAAATACGAAACTTTGCTTCGTTGAAGTCGAGTAGTTTTGGAAGAGAGTCCATCCTCCTCTCGAGATGAAATGGTGGAGGTGCTTATTTGCAACGCATGTTTCGCTTAAGGATTGGATCCCCGAATTTGTTTGGATTTTGTGGGATAGAGAAAGATCGGATTGACTGGTGTATTGGGGATTCAAGACATCAAGCCGAGAAACGCTTTACATTGCATGAAACAAGCGGGCAGACTCGTCTAGAATAAACCGAGTGAATGGATCCCAAGGGCAGATTTTGAGATTTTGATTTTCAAGTAGCCAGACAAGGCAATAAAAACCATTTACTTTTTTCTTACTCGCCAACTATACGTAATCCAATTCCTGGTAAAGCAACCACACACTTGTACAACAACAAGAGAAAAAACTCTTGAAATTTATAGGATGCATGGATGTAAACTTTTTAAGTGTCCAACACATCTACTCTAATAAAGTGTTAGTATGATCCCTGGGTCCCTGGGTCCGTCTTCGCAATGCAAATTGCCCCATACAGTAGACAAAGAAGGAAGCGGAGCAACCACTGCATGCACTGCACTGCACTGCATGAATAAATGAATACATGAACATGTACACCCCACATACATACATCACTCATCAATAGTGGTTATCATGATAAGTGATCGTGATAAACACTATTAATTAATTATTTTAGTTTGAGAAACTCTACCCACAGCGAGTGGCATGTCAATTCGAATGTATTTTTGACGCTGAATCCAACGCCGTCAATGGTTTTGACCTGCGAGGCCCCCGTGACCTCGCCGTGACCGTGGTGTCCAAATCTGGCTTATTCGTGATGTCGCATATCAATTCGAATGTATTTTTGACGCTGAATCCGAATCCGTCAATAGCTTGGCGTTAATTGTAGAAGTTAACGGGGTTTATGGAACTTAACGGGAGCGTGAAGCGTGGGAATTTAAATAGTTAGCTATGCAGTTACTCCCACGCGACGGGAATTTAAGTAATTAGCTATTCAACTACTCCCACAGGGGGGAATCAAATTTTACTGTGACCAGGTTAATTAAAATGCAGTATGACTTGGGCAAACCCTCAGTCTGATGTATGTATGTAGTATGACAAAGTCTCCACTGGGAATTATTTAAAATATAGTATGACGGATTTTTCGCTTTGGGCACACCCCCCACTGGAACTCTAGAATCCGGCCTTGGCCGGGCTATACGCTAGTGTATACATAAATATGCTTAAAAATTCAAAGGCCCAATGGGAGACTGTGCCATGGATGTGTGTATATTCCAGAGATGAATATCATCACGCACTCCGATTAGCAGTGCAATGAGACCTGACGAGGAGTTGGTAAGTAGCATCTCGATAGAATAGACGGTGGTGGGATTAGTGAAAGCAAGCAGCAACAGGTACACGGAGCAAATAATTTCTTTACATCTCCATCTCCTCATTATATTATTACTTGGAGAAGAAGGAAGACGAAGAAACCACACTGTCAAATGCCACACCCACAAATAATGACTTCCTCACAGTCACGAGACTGTCATGCTCCTGCTGTAGGCGCCTTTTGAATGAGAGAGACACGACCATTTGCTGCCATCACTGCATTTACCGAGTGTCAGCCACAAAACCCACTCTCCCGTGTTGACCATTATTCATTGTAAAGACACGGAGAAAGCATGAAAGTTTAAATATGCAATTCCATTTTCTATCAGTAACTCTACGTTTGATTTATGAATCTCCCCTGGAGAAGCGAGCTCCTCACTTGACTTGACTTGAATGACACGACACATATACAAATACGGATGCGTTTTTCACTGCTTTCTCTCGAATCCAACCAACCAACTCTCCATCTACCCATCCACCACCACCACCAGCACCAGCACCCTCAGCATTGGAGAGAGTCGGCGAAAGTGAGCTGGATATTGCGGTGTGTTGTAATGGAGTGGACTATGAAAGGAAGGAGCCAATTCACTGATTCGACCACGCAGAAAATTGCCAACCAAACCAAACCATCTAAATTCAACTCTCTTGGCACAGCACTGTCTAAAAGTCCAACAAAGCTATTGAAATGCGATGTACATTTATTGTGTCAGTCAACCAGCTCGAGACCCGCACCCGCATCTCGGGAGAAACCCGACAAGTGGAAAGTATTCAACAAAATTGAAATTGTTCCGTCGCCACCCACCTCAGTAATTGGGGACCAGTTTGAACGTCCACCAACGCCAATGGTTGATGGAAGATCAAAACGCTGGTCCTGCTCCCTCAATCTCGGCCCCAACCCTACCACTGTATTCCAAATTGTAAAAAACAAACCAGAATCTGGGAAAATAGTTGGGAAGCCTGAGAGTGTAAGCTCCTGAGTGAACTCTGAACTGATCTCATGCAACTCTGGCTTTCTTTTTCTTCCGCTTCAATGCTTTCTCCAACCAATTCACAAGTGATGGTGATGGACATGGGGTCCGACTTTGTGAAGCAAGCTTTTATTCAACGATGCGAACACCGACACAATAAAGCTGGAGTCGCCTCGAGTTGGAAAATATATAAAATTGAACTGAAAGGATTTCGAGCTGGGTACATCTCTCCTCTGCCCTCGAACTCTGTCTTCTTGCACTCTGTAAAATAATGCTGTTGTTGAATTATTCTCTCCATTCGAGTCCTTTGCAAACATTTTAAATCTTTGTTCTACTCAAATATATTTTCTTGTCGATTTAATCGAAGTTCCATCAAGATTGATATTCAAACTAAAAAATGATTGCAGTACAAGAGTGATTTTTACTGATTTTTACTATCGAAATGCAAGTGATGCGAAAACCCATCAGATGGAATTGTCTGAACTGAACTGAAGGAAAACTTTATTTTGATTTTAGTTGCGTATTTTTTTTTTACTGATGCGCTTTATAATTCAGGGTCCACTGATCATTCATATTCGTATCTAGTGACGAACAAGATTTTTGTATGATTTTTTCCCTAATATTTTGTCGTTCGAGTATTAAATCGTAATTGAGTGTATAACTTATGTACATATTTATGCACTAAATTCCTACCTGTAAACATCGTCATAGGCATTGCCATAAATGAAACAGCCCATGAGACTGGCGTGGGCGTGAAGGTCAATTACCATGTCGAGGTCGATGGTCTGTGATATTAAAAAAATAAATTAATATCCATTGATCTTCGCTCGTCGATGCAAATATTTTCGAGAAATGTGGAAAATTTCACCTTGCTTGCATCCAAGTCGATCAGAACGTTTTTTATCGTATGAAGCGTGGGATGTGACCAAGGAGAGACTTGATTCCAATGTCGATTGAGATCATAACCCATCAGCGAAGTCCTGCAAGAATTACCGCAATATTGAGTTCTTGCACTCGCCATTGATTTTATTTTCGCAAGGTTACCGATAATTTCCCAAATATGACCCGTCAGGATTAATCATTGGCACAATTTTTATGATTGTGTGGTCCCGGAGTGCCCCTGCGAGTGGGTGGCTGCTGACCATGAAGTCCATTAAGCCTAAATTTTGAGTTGAAAGGTTAGTGGAATTTAGACATGATTAGATTAGGGTCCACCCACCCTGAGCAATGTAGGACGTGGGCGTCTCTCCTGGATTGATTCGGGCCAGGATGACCACCATTTTTGGTCGTTTTCCCCCCACAAGTCCACTCGGTGGCAGGTTAGTTATCGTGATGATGTCCAGTTTTCGATTTTGCTGAAAATATCACAATTTTTCCAGCTAAGTGCTTGCCTAACTTGACAACATATTGAATCATCATCCCTACTTTCACTTGATATTTCTCTCTCGTACTATCAACTAGTTTAATAATCTCTCATATTGACGGATGCTTTCACCAGGGAGAGATTTTGCCGTTGTAAAGTTTTTATCTCACCTCCCAAACACAAAGGAGGAGGTTGTCATGGGTGGTTTTTTGTTCTACACACCCTCATCCCGCCGACGACTTGTATGTTTAAGCGAACGAGGAGGAGAGTGACAAAAGTTAAGTAAGTAAAGTATCACGGAGAGTGAATTTCGTAGCATGAATACCACACGCTCCCCAACCAACCGCATACACTTTCTCCCTCCGTCTTCTTCTTCTTCATCTTCTTCTCTTATTATGCATCAGGTTAAGAAGCCACTTTTTCTCCTCAGATATTTGACGCTCTTTATGTCCTCCACCAACATTCTCTCACAGGATCAAAAGTCATAGGTGGAGAAAATGAAATATTGTTATCTCCCCTTCCTTTGTATTTTTCCTCACTAACATATTTTAGCCTCTCTCGTCGGTCGTCTCCTTACGAATTCCAACATATCCTTCACCCACCACACGGAAAGAGACACAGAGTGAGAGAAAGCTGCTTCTTCTTCTTCTTCTCCTTGTTCTCGCCAAGATGGGAACAAGTTTGAATATTATGGCGAGAAGATGAAACCAGGACGGTCGACAGAGAGGAGGATTGAATTCACCCCCAAAAATGTAGGAATGGCACAAGAGGCAGAAATAGGAATAAAACAATCAATTGAGTAGGCTGTTTTCCCTCATTCCCACTCCCTTTGAATTCTTTAGAGAAAGTGGGAATGGGGATATTTTTCTTTGCTTTCCTCAGAGGATGAGAAACAATACGTAATCCAACTGTATGGTGCTGGGGTATACGTCCTCCTCCGCTGCTGCTCCTCTTACTGCCACCAGCACCATATAATATAATGCAGAGCTCGAAAACGCCCCATTTTCAACTTGACTTTCTTCTTCTTCTTCTTTGTCACTTGCAATAAATAATCAGATTGGGCTGGGCTCAAAGTCGGAAAGTAAGTGAAAGAATGTCCCGCAGTGGAAACTTTGCTGGAGAAATGCGCCAAAAAATTTGGGAGAAGTGTAAGTGCCCTGATTTTTTAATATTATATATTTCAACGGCTACCTATACTCGCCTTAAGTTTTATACCATTTGCATTCAGGAGTGAAAATGTGTGAGGGAGAGAGGAGAAGGTGAATGTGGATGAGATAAGGAGTCCAAAACTCCGACGATGACTATGTAGCGAATTTATGACAAAGCGGATTGTAGCGGATGGAGAAAGTATTGAAATGAACTGATATCGCCACCAGAGAAGAAGAAGTAAACGGACATATTGCATAGCGGAACATGACACCGCACCACTGGTCAAGTCAGACTGGGGCCATTTTTCATATTATTTTAGCCCTCGTCCTGCCTGCTGCCTGGTCTCGGGAGACACCAACCGTTTTTCAATAGCCATTGATCATCGATATCATATTTTTTCTGATGGGAATGATACTCAAATTCATATTACAAAATCTACACATCTTGTGCGTCCCTATTATTTATTCCGCCCCACATACCACGACTATACGGACTTACGTACGTAGAGCCCATGTTGCCAGAGTAAAGTGATTTTAGGTGATTCTAAATCAGCAGCGAGCCTTTAGACGATAATTGTACGTGCCTTCTTAAACGTGCATCCATTTGCGGAGGAATTGCTAAAGTGACGCAATGTGCTATCAAAGGAAATGCGATGGTTGGGTGGCTGGAAGTTACATACACAGAGGATCGCAAGAAGAAGATGAAATGGAGAATGTCCATAAATAATCTGGACTAAAATGGGACCTCAATGGAAACCGGAGGAGCTACATTGTCTCAGGATTGGGACGGGTTCAAAATTTTGAAGATCTGAAAGGAACTTCTCGTCCAGAAAAAGGAGCCGAGATCCAACCAGCAGAGCAAACATTCCTTCGCAATTACATTCAACATTAGATATCACATTGTAGACGATATTCGCGGAAGTGAATGGTCGTTGCGACATTAGGACGAAGTGGAGAGGAACGCAATTATTGCAGAACGCGATATAGTCCAAATGGGGTGGGTGGATAGTATGGTGCCAAGGGGGAAGTCTGCTGTGTGTGTGGTTTGTTTGAGGCAACATTGCTGGTTCCCCGTTGAATGCGGGCAATAGGAGAATGCGAACAAAAGTCAACAAGGGATTCAGCACTTGGGAAACTTCGTTTGCCAAAATCCCAAAATTTATGACACCCCAGCTTTCACAACATTCAGCGCTCAACGGCAGACAGAAGAAGAGTGGGGAGGAGAAAGAAATGTGTGAAATCAGCGGCGGTGGAAAATGTCATGCAAACATTGGACGTCTACTACGGCACCCTTTTCCTACGTCTTCTTCTCTTCGTCTTATTCATTAAAAACTAGAAACGAATATTTCGACAGAATAACAAAAACTAGGCGCATCGGAATCGGAGATAGGCTTCATAGAATTCTGAGATTAGATGAGGCAATTTATTTGCAATCATGAGCATTTTCATGCACTTGATCGAACCTGAAGAAAATAAAGGAAGGACACATTATTAATAAACTGCCCAAATGTCACCAGCAAACTTCATGTCCTCAAGTTTTGGGCAAGAAATTCCTAAATTTTTGTCTCCAGACAGACCAAATGCGTGGTGTATAGGACATTCTCAAGTACAGAAAAGCCAACTGGAACGAATTCATTAATACCAACAAAAACTCCAGCACAAGAAATAATATCATGTTATGTAACATAATGAAACAAAAAAAGAGTATTTAATATTATTCTTCTTTTCCGGTTCAAGTGCTTTTCCAGAAAATACAAACTAGAAAGTTCATAGCATCACATCTACTGGAGCAAAATCCATTTCCCAATTTTTTGCCTTCTTTGGATAGTCATTAATTTGAACAAGTGGCATTCTTGCGTAACGATGTAATATAGAAACAAAATGTGACTGACTGTACAGAAAAATGTGGCACAGAATGTCCTTCCTTTTCCTATAGCAGACCGGGTACTGTTAAGATATGAGCAAAAATAGAGCAATTTCAACCGATGAAATTTTCTACAATTGTTGTTCCCAGACAAACTAAACCAGTAGCTTAACTAAGATAACAGCAAAAACAAATAAATAGTTGAACCAGGCGACGCTAAACTTTGTTTGTGGCTTTCATTTATTGCTTTCCACCACATTCAAAAATTTAAGCGACATTCCTCCAACTCCAAAAAGAACATGTACGAGACGAGACATAGGAAAGAGTGCTGCTCTAGCTTTCCCCAATACTTTACTTTAGTCGAACAAGTGCACAAATTGCTGTCAGGTTTGCTTCGCTCGACAATATTAATGCAGCAAGTCGACAAATATCCGTATGTATAGGTTTGTATATTTCAGGACGGAGAAAACCCATTTGTGGAATAATAGTCCAAGTTCGCACATTATCTGGGCATTGCTAAGATTTTAATAAAGTTTGCATGCAGTGCAAGTTTTTCCTACTCGTCTGTCTACATCCAACAGAATTTGAAGAGTCGGCGATTGATGAAGTGTTGAAAATTAATCTTCCCAGAGTAGTAGTCGGCAGAGAGAGAGAGAGAAAGTTCATCAAGGGAAAGCAGGCCTAATTAGACAAAACGTTTTGAAATTGCCTCCCAGTAAAACGTTGTGTAAGGAATCCAAATTGGATTTAAATTACACGGCTATGAGCACAAGTGGAGAAAATTCGGATTGAATTGGACCGAGTAATAAGAGTGCATCATGGTGTATTTCGTTCTCAGTGAGCTTCTTAACATTTGGATCGTTCAGTTAGCAGACGAAGCAGCAGATCGGCCTTGATGTCTTGATTATGGCTGGCTGGCGAGTGCTCAACTCGCCTTTCTTTCTGAACGGTTGTGAATGTGGAGGAGGAAGAAGGAGTATGTACGAGTCGTCGGAGAAAGCGCTTCTTGGAATTCCTTTCCAGAGACAGAGAGACAAGGACGGAAGGAAATGGCATTAAATCATTAAATGAAATGAAAGATCTCATTTCAGAATTACCAACAATGCACAATTTACTAGTCCTGGCTTTAACTGCTTCCCCGCCTTCCTACAACTTTGTGATAGGTCAGAGGTTCAGAGATAGAATGAAACCTTCAATAATGGGATGGGAAGCACTTTACCAATTCAGAATGAGACTTTCTGAGCACTGTTATTAACTCGAGCTGAACTCGTATATAAATGAAATTCTTAATTAATTATAATCTAAACATACAAAAATCACTTCGCACATTGAGATTTATGAGAGTATAATTAATTACGATTGTGCTAGCCATAGTCAGAAATATCTCAAGATACGATAAAAGAAGATGAAAAGAATTGAATGAATTACAAAATTTACATTAAAATCAACCCAGTAAAAAGTATGTTATACGAATAGAATACCGACAACAAAATGGAAATTCCGACACAATTATTATGAATGCCTTCAACCACACAGATCTCCAAATCTTAAATAATACAATACTCGTCTCTGAACTACAAAACTGTGTTTCCCTGCTTAAAAACTGACAGCCATTCCTCCTTCTGCATTTCATACCTTGATACAACATTTGTTTTAGTCGAGGCATGAAATGGAGGATGCATTCCGAGGAGCACAGAGAGAGAAAGAGATATTATTATTATTACGCCAATAAGTCCCCCTTACTTTACTTTTAGATCGAAGCACTTTAATCGGAGAAAGGAGCAGCAGATGTTTTTGGATTCGTGAAATGTGAGATGGAGGCGAAATAAGAGTTCTTGAAAAAAAAATATTCCAGACATTCTCCTCTCCGCTCCACTCTCCTCGCTAACTTGAAACCCTACTTGCTCCCGTGTTACATGAGTAAAAGGGTTTTCACTCCAAAACCAAACTGGAACTGCCGTGCTGCTGGATAAGAAAAAGAAGTCAATATGCACCACTTTTCCTACTGAGGAAGAGAGATTGGAATTTGAAAACGATAAATTAACCCTGCTTGTCGTTAGTTCACTCACATTGATGCAGAGTGGATCCAGTCGAAATCTCACTCATTATTATTTTCGTGGAAAGATTTCAAACCTTTTGAACAGAAGGAGGATCGCATTTAGACGTTTGCTACATATTTTAATTTACTTTTTTCTATAAAAGAAACGTTTCTCAGGCTTGGCTTTTGAAAGTTTAAATCCGAAAAGTAGCTCGAATTGAGCAAGGTTTTTCAAGTCTTCGTTCTATTGATGAAGACTAACTAATTAAAGGTTTTTAGATGATTACCTCAGCTAATGGATGGAGTGGAACTTGTATTAGTCGACCTTTTAAAGTTACAAGATACATATATTGACGAGGTAATTTCAATTTAAGGTGAAATGCAAACAACTCTGGATTAATCATCCTCATGTTCTTTCCATGTCCAAAATAGTAAGTATTTAGTTGTATCAATTCGTCTCCTTGAGAATCTTCTTCTTCAAGTAGTTTATCCTTTCTTGCACTAAAGTTAACATCCTTTTGAAGGAAATGAGATGAGAAGGAGGAGCAGGATGAAAAGAATTCGCTACCACTGCTCGTCTTATGTAGAAACTTGAAATGGACAAGGAGCCCACCACTACTACCGCCACCAGGAACAGTGGTAGCAGCAATAGGAACGATGAACGAAGAAATTCCACCAGCTACTTAATGTTCACACGCTTATTTCCTCCTACTTTTCGCGTACGACTAGTAAAAGTAAGTTCCATTCCACATTAAACTTTCCCTTGGCTATCTGTATCCGTTGGTGAGGTTGGAGAAAGTTAAATCCCCAGTGTCCAAGGGGAGTTAGCCCACGCTGCTGGCTCGCTACACCACGGGACCTTTTTAGAGATTCATCCTGCAACTTCCATCATCCGTAGTAGATTTCTCTCGGAAAATCTAGTTGTTGGTTGCCCAGAGAAGTTTACTCGTAAACAGTTGCTTCGTCTTACTTATCGTCACAATACTCAAAATATTTCGAATAATCCGTCTCCACTCGGGCATTCACATACGTTTGGAAGAGGCTTCTATCCAAGTAGATACGTAAGTAGTTCTCGCTGGTTGAGACCCCTCTGAAAAAATACGGAGGATGAGGATGAGGAAGGTAATCAGTTGTCCAGCTCGTGTCATTGAGTTTCATATCAGGTTGAATTAGGTGTTTCACATCTCAGAGGGAAAGAGAGAGAGAGGGCGAAATAAGAAGGGTGGAGGTTGTCTGTTTGTGTAGAGGAATGTGTAGGGAGAAAAGAAATGAAAAGAGCCGGAAGGCTGAAGCACCGGTAGTAAGTAGTTACGGAGTGATGGATTGCATCAGAGATTTTACAGGTGTTCCCCATTCTCAAAGAAAAAAAAAGTTGTGGGGGAGACATTCATCAAGTAGTGTGCGTTGCTTGGTCTGAAATCTTTATGCTTTCCTCGCCCCCTAAAAACATATTAATGCCAAGTGTGGAACTGTACCATTTTTATAGTATTTATCGTCTTGCAAGCTCTTTTTACTCGTGTATTCTTGGCGTTGGTAAGTTGGGCGTTGTTTGGTCACATGGTATGTGGTGGTTTTGGGAAAGGAGTTGTTCCGGAAGATCACCAATGTGCGCTCCTGTGAGGACGAAGACAATGTTGATCTTGAATCTAGATGTTACATCTTTAACCCACCTTTTGTCCTTTTCTTTGAAAGGAGCTGCTGCTCCCACTTTTATTACATCTGCAGCAGGAAGGAAGGGATCAGACAGGATGAATAAAGCTCACCGGCATCTCCGGCCGTCAACGTTTTTTATCGTTTAACCAGCCACCACCAACTCTTGTAGGTTGGCAGAGGAGTAGTAATCTTACTCAAGTTTTATTTTTCAGAAGCATTTTCATGTCTTTTTTCACCAATATTGATGCTGCCATGATACCCAGCAGCGTAAAATGTGTGATCTATTCTCATTTTTTGTGAAATATCAACAGATGATAATTTTTTTCCAAATGACATTGTAATGACCTAATCTTCTGAATTGTAATGAGGTCATTTGCAACGTTATGTAAGCTAGATGATCCTCCTTATCTTGTTGCTAGACGGTAATAATGCTTGAATTTTAGACGGCCCCTAAACCACAGCAGAAAACCAATGTCAATGATAATCGCATCCTGCTATAATTATTAATGTGGTTTATTAGTTGACACTCACTCGCTGGAATCTTTTTAACCCTTATGTAAACCACTTAGGAAAAACAACTTCTCAATAACAAACAATCATTATTAATAAACGAGTGCACTGCTAATCAGAGTATGTCACTGGACGAGTCTGCTACTGTTTCATAACTTCCGTTAAATGGTCCACTTTTGGACTCTAATTGGTCCAAGTTACATAAATGATAAAAATGACTAGACCACTGGAAATATCGTGTATTATATAAAACAAAAGGATTGAGATGTTTTTGTTCTTGCAGAAAAACAGGCGTATCATCTCACATTGCATAATCCTCTCCTACTCTTTTGAGATACGCGAATTTTGCACAGAACGGATGTTGCACGTGCAGTGAAAAACATGCCAATCTATGGCAGACTCTGACTAATAAAATTTTTAATTAGCACTTCATAACTAATTTAAGCTCATGTGCAACTATAAAATGAAACGCTGGCTCCAGAGCAAGACCAGTTTTCTAATTTATTCTGCCAAAGAAAGTTGCAAGCTTTTGTTGCGAATATTTCTTCAAAATGTTAGGCTTCACCGTGAAGACGGTCTTATTGGGGCTGCTCACCATTCAAGGGACGCTCGCCAGCATTGGTCAAGTTCCAAAACAGCCGACGCGAACTGGGAGCTCTAGCAGTTTGGGTAGCACTGGAAGTGGAACAAGTCCACATATCCTCCCCGTGCGGTATGCTGACGTTGTTCGGTACTTTACTCAATGAGAAAATGAACAAGTCTGAGAAACATTTAGATTTGATTGCAATTTTAAAACTGCCTGGTTACCCGGACATAAAAAAAATGAATTATAAATTTAAATTTTATTTGAAGGTTTTGAAATTTGTGAGTGAACATAGTTTTATTTGACAGATCTGGAAGCGCAGCAAGTTTGGCAGATGAGAAAACCATTGAGAATGCGGTAACGGTTTACAACGCTCTAGTCACGGTAATTCGAGATGTCGTCCTGAAGGCAAAGCTGACCCCGATCGGAGGCACTGAAGGCGTCTCATATATCGGTATGCATTCTGTTCTGTAATAGCAATAATTTTAGGGTCACATTTTCTTTGAATGTTATTTAGAGAGCTGTGCTGAACACAAGGCTAAAGCCACGAAGGGTGCGGACACCAAGACAGGAATGTACACCATTTGGCCCACCGGAAAAGTACTCGACGGACCGAAGCAGGTGTGGTGCGACATGGACACGGCTGGAGGAGGCTGGACCGTATTCCAACGACGAGGCTATGGAACTATTACTCGGTCAAGTGCCGAAAAATTCAACAAAAACTGGAGAGAGTACAAAGTTGGGTTTGGAAACGTTTTGAATGACTACTGGTTAGGTGAGTAATTAATTTTTGTGAAGCCACAATAAATTAATAGGTTTGTGCAATATTTTGTAAAATCCTTATTAAAATCAAATTTTCCAGGCAACGACGCTATCGTAGCGATGGGTGCGAGGTGTACTAACGAACTGTATGTTACCCTCACCTATTTTGACGACACGGTAAAATCTGCCACCTACAGCAACTTCACTCTTGGACCAGAATCTGACAACTACAGACTCCACTTGACAGGATTCACCACGGGACAAGCTGGTATGTGCAAAAACGTCTTTATTTTATCCCTTCGTGAATCTATTGCCCACCAATTTCTCATCTCTGAAACTGCTAGGCGACATATTCGAAAAGAAGCATGATGGCCTCGTCTTCAACACTCCGGACAGGGACACTGCCGACAAATGCGCAACCGAGACAAAGAGTGGATGGTGGTTTGTCAACAAGGCCTCAAAGGGTTGGTGTGCTTATGTAAGTTCCCAATTGGAATTATATAACATAAAAGTGTGAGCACTATTTTCTAAACTGTCAAATATCTCTTCCAGGTGAACCTCAACGCCGAGCTGAAGGACAAGGCGACCGATGTTGATGGCATGACCTGGCGCTACAGCAAACTTCTTAGCGGATACACTGCCCCCGCTATCAAGATGGCTGAGATGAAAATTAGACCAAAGTGCCCTCCAGCTTAAGTCTGTTGTTCCCTTCAACAACCTCAATCACCATTATTATTATTACTACATACTGCTATCTCATTAACTATCATCGTCCCTTCCAATTGTTTATTTCTGGGGTCATGAGAGAATTATCAAATTCTTGAACCTCCTAATTGTATTGTATTTAATGAACTGCTACCATGTTTGATTTTTAAATGAAACTTCTTCATTACTCATCTTGCCGATTTGTTGTATACTTGTGCTAACAATAAAATGACAGCTGTCAAAATTCACCAGCCTTTTAGACTCGCGTAACAACTCCTGATTAGAATGAATGAAACTTGTAATTGACTTGGCGATGAAAGTTTTCGTGAGAACATCATTTTCTTCTCCGCTTTCTCCTGTTATGGACCAGTCAGTCTGCCCACCGCAGCACAAGGCTTGTGTGCGAAAGTGCTTCTCCTCTCTGTCATTAGCAGCCCTTCCTCCAGAAGCACATACATAAAGAAAAACTCTCTTAGCTCCGAATATCCCCCATTATGCATTACGCACCCAGAGAAGTGTTCACCACCTCAATCTCTCTCTCTCTCTTTCTGCCAGTTCCATAAAAACCACTTGGAAATTTGGAATTAAATTGAAGTTTGGATTGGACTTTTGACTGCCTGCCAATTTTCTCTTCAAGCCGAGTGACTAAATAAAGAATAAATGAACTTGGAATGGAATGGAGGAAACTAAATGAACCGTGGATATGTTAATGACTAATTTTTATTGAGGCAGTTGGCACATTTGATGATGTGGCAAATAAATCAAACACATAATACACCTTCCTCCTCCTTCCGCCTTCGTCTTTCATCTGACTTCCTCCTCCTTTGAGGGAGAAAAGGTGTCAAGTAATCGTCGTGGCGATGATTAGTAAGAAAGAGGAAGGATCTCCGTACTCAAAATAGTTGGCTTTCTCCCTCCCCACTCTGCACCCAATGCTTACTTACCTAGAACTGAATTTGGGTTCAAATTTTTACCCAAAACAGTCATATCCAGTTTTGACAATACGGTGTATTCGTTTATGAACATGGGTTGCATTGAGAGTGACGTTTTCACAATTTTGCCAAGGAAATAAGATGGTGGTAAAATTGGTGGAGAACGTGTGACTTACTAGAGAGGCCCCAATGGTCTCTCTCTTGAAATGAGGAAACTGTTCCAGGAGTTCGAGGTGGGCCTGGCAGCGAGAGTACGAGTACGGGAAACTGAAAGCGAATTGGTACACGTCCTCTTCCCGGTCAAAGGCGAAAGCAAATGACAAAATGTAGTGGTTCCGATGCTCTGGGGACTTGTGGTAGTACACGTACTTGCCTGGAAGTCGCTGCCTGTGAATAAAGATTCGTTCTTAAGAAAGCACCGAGAATGCTGTACGATTTCTCCAGCTGTCATCTCACATCAGCCAAAATCACCCCTCACCGCTGTCAAACAAAAGAACATGAATGTAAGTCAGAAAGGACTTTAGGACAACAACAATGAGAAAAATGAGTCGGAAATTCATAAGACATTTGTTTGATTGTTATTAGTAAATTAAGCTATGGTTCAGACTCACGCATAAATATTTTTATTTTATATTTTTATATCGAGTTTCTGTATTCTTTCGGGTGTGAAAAGTCATCCCAACTTATATCGCATTGCCGATAAAGTTACGACATATTTAGAAAAGTTCAGATGGGAATATGAAATTTATAAATTTTCCTCATACATAGAAAACAAGAAATATTTATCTGACTCCTCGAGTATAAAATACGATAAATATGTGCAACATGGGCGAGAGCTGCGTTCCTCCTCCGCATTGCAGAAAGCAAAACTCAGAAAAGAGGCAAACGACTCGCCATATTTATGCTGCTCATAGTCTTAAACAACAAATCAAAGATTCGCATTCGAAATATCTGCATTGATGAGAATGTGTGGAATATCCCATGAATTGTGTGTGTTTTGAAATCTTTTCTTCACACGCAAACTATTCCTCCTTCTGTCCGCAAATTCTGTCAAGATTATTACCCAATTTGGTCTGGCTGGCGGTCGGGTGTTGAATTGGAGACAGCGGTGAAAGCATTTCTCTGACCCTTCTTCTCTCTCTTAGCTGAGCAACATCATCTTTGTTGAATGTCCCGACTCGTAACGGCATAATGTTTGCTTTCCACCACCCTTCCCCCACATTTCAGACTTGGGTTCAAGTTTGTTGGATTTTTAGGAGACAATTTGAGTCGGGATTTTATTCTGTTCATTGCTTAGCAAACATAAATCTCTAGCTCTTCCGCTTCTTCTGACATTTCAAATCAACTCTACCATTCCGTCTCCCAGTCAGACGCCTCTGTTGCTGCTGCTGCTGCTGTTGCATTTCATTTAACAACTTATGCACATCCAAATTGGAGAGAAAGTTGAACCACTCTGCATTGTATCACTTTCTTGTTTCCTCCTATCTCCAAATATCAAAGATCCAAGTAAAATAAACAAAAGGCGCAAGAACCCAGGCAAAGTAGCGAGATTGGAAATGCGATACAGGAATCGTGCACACATGAAGTTGGATGGGAATAAGTGAGCGAGTCGGATGTGTGAATATATTCCAATTTCTCTGAAAACTCGAAAAGACAACGCCGGTGAGGAGGATCTTTTACTATCGCACCTAAAGTAAAATAAAAATGTTATTTAAGACAACAAATTGGAGAAATTCTGCGTTGTTTCAGGGCACGAATAAATAAATAACTTTCCATTAAAATTCAAGCCATATTTTAAAGCATGTCAAATTTAAATTTAAAATAGACATGAAAAATTGTTAGTTCAAATCAATCATTCGTATCCCGGAGAGAAGGCACACAGCCCCCACATCACACATGCATGCATGCATACATACATACACAATAAGTTCCCATACACGACTCGCACCCACCCACGGAATAGACAACAATAGCAAAAACTGGAGGAAAGCCTGACTGACTGACTGCATGACTTCTGATTACTTTGAATATTTGAACAAAAAATAAAGTGGGAGAGCTGTTTTGAATTTCACTGACTAAATGGCGAATGGTAATGGATATTTTTTTTTGCATCCCGACTCCTTGTGTCTGACTTGAACCGTGAAATGGGATATCATATCAAGAGTCAAAAGTGGATATTTCTCTAGGTTTGGGATCAAGCCTGAGGGTCCATCCCCTGAGAGGAGAGGACAGAGAGAGAGAGAGAAATCTGGAGCCCAAACACATCGCTAAAGCAAAACAACTTCTGTCACTCACAAAGATTAATTACTCCCTTTATGCCCCTACTGCTGCCTCAACTCCTCCGCAACAAACCTTATCCGCAACATTCAACAAATCAGTGGCATTTCATGCAAGGAGCGAAATAAGGAAGCGACGACCGACGACCGACTCTGAGTGAGCAGCGACGAGCATACTTTGCGTTCATCATATAAGATCCGACTTGAGCGGAAGGCAAATGATTAGTTGCTTCCACATTTGGCTTTGTACTCCTCCAACATGACATGTGACATGTTGATGTTACTCTAGACGATAAGATTAATAGAAACCCTTATTTATGCCAACTTTGGATAACAGTTTATCTCTGGGAAAAGTTTTAACCACGAAAAGAAATCTGTTGAACTCTTCATGACAAATTAAAATTTCGCTCCATCTCTTCTTCGCTCTCCTTACAATTTAAATATTTAAGATTGGGAGGTATCTTACATTCATGATGTGGTAGATATGGAACCATTATGTGCATAGTTACAGGGTGACGGGAGTGACCTTATTTCCCCATAAATTTGCCACAAAGAAGACAGACATAATTCGCTGTTTTTTCTACTTTCTCCAAGATTTTTGCTGTGGAATTCAAAAGCCAAGCAGCAGCAGCAAGAAGACTTGTTTGTTTTAGAACAACTTTCTTCTCCTCATTAATTACGAGACAGCCAGACTTCGTTTTCTCCCGACCAACCAAGTTTCTCTTCCTCACGAGCTGAAAATTTGTGGTTGAAGTTCCCCCACCACAAATTTAGTGTTAGTGAAAGTATAACTACGAGTGTGACAATGAGAATGTAATTGCCACAAATTTTCAGTGTACCGTAAGTCCTTTAAGTCTGCCTTTTCTTGCTTATTTTATGTAGTCGCCTATTCCACACGTTAATGCTTCACCATCCCAGATTACAAATTGCAATTCCTGAAAAGCAGTGTGTGTTGCCACATTCTTGAAGTTATTTACACCGCGCGTAAAATTTATAATCCACATTCGCATTCGAATTTCAGATTCTAAACTCCCACTAACATAAACATAAAGTACAAGTACACAAACCACTCTGGTGCTACATACCTCTGTAAACACATACCTACGGGTTTTGGCTTCTGCGACGCTCTCAAATAAGTGGCCGCATCGTCATTGCCGCTTTTGCCTTATTATTATGGAACAGCTCTGAATTTAGTTGTAATTTCGCTTTCTAAAGACAATTTAACTTGATGGCCCAACACTTTAAAGCTTTGCTTGAAATTGAAATGGTACATGGAACGCTGGAAACGAGAACACTTCATGAAAACGAAAGAATATATTTCCGGAAAAGTCTTCAAGTTCAACACACTTTATCGTAATCTTGTTCAAAACTCTAACTTCTTGTTCAAAGTGGGGCACATCTTCCTTTTCTCTATGTATGAAAAAAAACTTTAAATGAGAAAAAACTGAATGCATAAGAATTTTGGCATTTGGTAAAGATTGCGAGATGATTTAAGCATTATTTTGCAAACAAATAAAGAAATTTCATATCTCATCCAATTTAATCTCATTGTTGTTGTGTTGTGTATGGGGGGAGAGAGGATAATATGAACAATGCAGTCGTACAGCAGTGGTGGTTGGTCGAGGCCACCACTGCTGCTCCCGGTCTCGGTATATTGTTTGGTCTAATGGTCCAAATAAGTGTCCAAGTACAGAACAAACTTTTTGTGCGCGGAAAACGCCTCTTCCAATTTATTTCTCATTAGAGTCCAAACAAAAAAGAATTTCTCCAACCCCAGCACAACTTTCTCCAACTTTCACTCACTTCCGACACCACCGAACTAAAACCGCTCTATAACTACAATACAAGAATTCTCACTCTAACCAACCTCTGTACAAGGATGGGAAGCAGAGGAGAGGAGGAAGATGGTGGAAGTTCGCCTGTTGGGAGGTACTCCCTAATTTTCTGCTTCTTACTCTGAGAGAGACATGTTGGTAAATAAGACGGACAGTAGGACTGAATTTCATGTCCAGCATATAAAACAAGGCATTGTTTCAGACCGTGCCGTCTCGCAGGCAGAAACAATATTCTAACAAGACCCGTGATGATGCCAGACAAGGGGAGATGGATTCCTGTGACTGACTACTATTACCACACTGACAATGACTTGGCCCAAGAATCACCAGTAGTTTACTTTCACCAAAGATATCACTTCATGTATCCAGCCAAATCAGATTATACGGAAAGAAACTTTCCCACTAGGAAAAATTAAAAAAATAGTTTGCTACTTCAAGTTCAGCAGTGATTCCTTCCCTCTGACCACTTTGTGCAAACAGGAAAAAAACAGTTCTCAGAACAAGTATTCGACCATTCTACCGAGAAACTATCTGAGAAACTAGTGCGTCAAAATTAATTTGAGCAAGAGACGAATATCTTATTTCTAGGAAGATAAGTACAAGAGTAAGATACTTATCCACACAGTAAGTGGGCAACCACTACTGACTGACTGTTGTGCAGACAGAGCGAATTAACTGACCAAGTAATGTTCTAGCTGACTGTAACCTGTCGTCCACTTGTTCGCTAATTGTCTTATCTTGTTTGTCTTCCACATGGAGCTCTGCTGGCGGTTGGCACTGTCAGAATTAATTTACAGCATGATTTACCAAATAGGCTCTGCCGAAGAGAAATGTCTCATCTGTCTGACTTATTAACCGGTCGGGTCGGTAACGTATTCCACAAAAGACAATGTTAAATAAGACCCTTCGCCAGGCACGTATATTGCATTCTTGTTTTCGAGTAAAACTATTAGCAAATTAATATCTTATATACAAAATTGCTCTGCCAACGTCAACGAAATAATGGGATTTTCCACAATAACGACCAGCTCTAGAAAATTGGTCTGGATAAAGGATTCCACGAAACAAAATATTTGGTCACATTGCCATTAAAATTCGATGAGAGGGATGATAAGGCTTACATAAAAATGTCTTTGGGAAAGCCAATCACGTTCATCTTCAAAGGTCATAGCTGTCCCGTTCAATCAATTTGACATTGAGACGGTTTTTACGTAATCCATAGTTCTAGAAAATATCTTCCCAGATTTTAAAGCGAACAATAAATAATAAGTAAGAAATTTTTATTTTTAGACGTCATCCATTTTTTTAAATCCTCATTTTTCCAGAAGAAAATGGAGGATATTATAAATAAAAAAGAGGAAAATATGCGTTTCCTTCCTGCATTTGCATTGAGCCCACACTTGGACTTGTCTCTGGCGTCATTTTCACTTTATCATCACCACTTTCTCTCCACCATTCGTCATTCCGGACTTCGTTTGCGCTTATCTGGTAGATAATGCACATTGACATTCTGCTTGAATACGTGCTCTGTGTAGATGACAGCGGAGGAAGAGCCCATTAGACTACAGGAGATATCACTTGGTGTTATTTATTACCATTTGGGACGACTAGAGGTCTTCACCAGCGGAGTCATCCCATCTCGAAACAACGTCTTGATTTTGCAAAGGTTCACCAGATTGAAGATCACTCTCTGTGGACGTATAAAACAAAAAGATCTTTACATCACCGTCCAAGGGCTTTTCGCACTTGAAATTAAGGAAATAAATCAACAGGGTTAAGACAACAAAATAATGTCATTATTATATAAGCACATTTTTATCTTAAAAATCCATGTACGTCTAACACAATAAATGTATAATTCTTCCCCTATATATTTTTTCATATGTGTACATCAAAATTTGATGTGTCTGAATTTGCTACTCCAAACTGTGCTATGTCAACCAGTGTTATAATTGTTATCAACTTTTTAACCTTTCTTACCTGAAAGATCATTATAGTGATGCAAACTGAAATATCACGACGGAATTAAAAGACAAAAGTTTTCCTTGATTTATTTGGTAGAAATTTACTTGTCATGTTTTTAGTTTAATTTCACTATTTCCCTTGAATAATGAGTTGCGAGTTGTTTTTAGACTTTCCGAGTGAATATACCCAATGAGTAGCTACATAGTTGCAGTCTTACGCTGTGTGAATACTTAAACCTTATTGTTGACGAGGAATAGTTTTAAAAAAATTAGATATGCATAACACTCATATTTTTAGGTCGACATTAACAAAATAAATGAAGTCTAGTTATTTCCATGCACAGGAATTTGCTTTCACCACCGCATCTCGTGGCATAGATCGTAAAACGGCACTTTATTCAGTGCAACGCTCCTTGCCAATAAATCTAGTTGACCGCAAACAACATTATCCTCCGCCTCCTTGTGCATATGAGTCGGAGTGTGCGCTACATAATGATTCGGGCAAAAGATAAGACGAGGTATGTCATCAAGGTGAGTAGATGGGATCTGAGGAAGGTTAAGCTATGGCTTTATGACATGCGATGTGAGGGACTCAACTTTTATTCTATCTCGAATCAAATCCCACACCACGAAAAGTTGAGGACTGGGAAAAAACAAGTGATGTGTGACACGATATGATGATGTTGGTCGAGTGTTGAACAGGGTTTCTTAACACAAAATTCTCTGATTAACCTCATGATGGCTAATAAGTCTCACTCTCCTCGGTGCTCGTCCACGTCCCAAATTTGGAGAAACTTTTTACTTATCAAGTGCAAGAAGAGTCTTCCAAGAGGTCATCACCGAGAGTGTGAGCAGCGGCAGTGGAGTCGATGATAAGTCTCACTTTCTTTCTCTATGCCAGAAAAGCAGTGTAGTGAGATATGACCATCCGGTCGCGAAGGATAGGTTAGGCTGGGAGAGAAAATTGGGACATTTCTCACTGTCCGAGACCCATTCAAGTGGAAATCTACACGGAATGATAACCTTCTCGCTTAGCCCTTTTTTTCTAAATCTCACTCTCAATCCCTTCAAATATTTTGTCATTTCGAGCATAAATCTCCTCTTCTGAGGCAACTGTACATGCAGTCGGAGTCCCAATGTTTTCATTACTCTTGCTTAAATTCAAGAACTCTAATCCTGGGCCATTCCATATTTCGGCGACTTTTTAAGTCTGTAAGTTGTCGGATGAGTTATTGTCAAACGTCGTAGCAACAGTCGTGAGAAATGCGGGATTGGAGACGACTCCTTCTAAACAATTCGTGTTAATTATTTGGAGGCCATGGATTATATTTTCTCAATCGTGTAGGATTAGCTTTAATCGTGCAGGTTTAACGAATTAATCCTCGGCATTGAAGCCACATGTCAATCTTTCAAAGCCTTCGGTTTCTACAAAGTAACAAGAGAGATGCTCCTGTTCAGCCTTATTTAGCTCATGATTTCGCTGACGTGTGTGTGTACTTTAATGATTAGGCATTAATTTGACAAGCAAACAAAGAGTTTCAAAATGTTCGTATTAACGTCAACCTGGTGTCGTCTCAGGTTAATATTTATTTCGTATACCTGGTCAGCTCGGACGTTGTCCACGACAAAGTTGAACCATAGTCGGTATCGAGGATTGCAAGTGTCTGGTCGAATGAATAGATCGTACTCGTACTCGGAGATAAAATCCACACGTCCCAGATTTCCTGGAATTTTAAACAATTATGTACGTTTAGCATTCATCATGATATGAATTATACCATCTGGAGCCAATTATGTCGCACCAATGCCAACGAACTGCCAGAGTTCATGTAGTTCATAAATTTCCTCATCTCGCAAAAGGGGCTCAGTCACATGGAAAATTAACATTTGTTCAAGTCACTCTAAGCTCAAAATGTGTCCCGTTTTAAACGACTGGCCATTATTGCTGATGTATGAAACAATTTCTAATTTGTCGGTCGACCAAAAATGTTTTTTGATTTGATTTGATTTATTCACATCAAGCTTGATTTACAAAAATCTTGTTACGCTTGACGGCTAACACAAAAAAGTTTTACACAAATGTTTGTCACATGTATAAGAATTCGAGTGATAATAATATAATTTATAATTGTGACTTAGTCATAAAGAGCAGAATTAAAATTATATGTACATATATTTTAGGATAATAAAGTAGAGATAAATTCATAATCATAATTTAAGAACAAGGTTTTAAGATTTGTTTTAAAAAGTTTGAAGTTTTGTGTTTCCTTTAATTCAGTAGGTAACCTATTCCATGCAATGTCTCCTTGAATTGTACTAAAAGCGGATGGATGAGGGAAACAGTGTAATCGTGGCAGATTGGGATTCCCACCGACTAATGCAAATCTATCCAAAGTCAGATACCCAAAATCCGAATCTTCCTTCGCTAATATAAAGTTTGTACGAACCGCAAGGAGAGGCCGAAAGAGAATGAATGGGTGGCAATGTTGGCATTAATTAGCTGAAACTGCATGTTTTCAAATTAGTGGGATTTTCCTCCAAACTAATATCATTTCAGTAGAGGACACGCTGTGTCACGGCCAACTTGGGGTACGCAGAACTCGCTCGTTCAGATGCACGAATTTATTGCTAATAGCGGTATGCGCAATTTAAAATGCCATTTTTTAGCGAAATCTTAGACTTTTATCATTGCTCCATTTAGCACATGAATTTTATTGCATAGCTACATAAGAAAGCATGATAAAGTGAGACAGAACCTAAACCAGTACAGCCTGATCCATCCGTTACATCAATACTCCATTATCAGATTGGTTAATTTATAGATAATTAAGTAACAAGCTTATCATTGTGGTTCAACTGTCTCGCTCTGAGTTCTTGCCACTAAATCATCTACTGGTTGATTTGATCCCTCCACAATCAGACCGAAAGTCCAACCCTGTCTACTTTCTCGTGGCGCAAATCTACGTAAAAGTTTGTACGTGATAACAACCTAATCACGAAATTGGGATAAAACTATAGCTCGTCGTGCCTGCAACTTTGGCAAGTTGGATACAAGAACAGCGTGCCTATAATTGAATATAACATGGCTTAAAATTTCTGCCTACGTACAAACATAGGCTGAGCATATCACGAGGCAAGACTGAAGTTGAAGAGACAAAAGGGGAGAGAGAGAGACGACGGAGGGTGTTTTCTTGGCTTGGTTTTTCTCCATTGGAGAATTGGAGTATTTTAGACAAGCAAGTGAACAATGAAGAATGAAGGATGACAATGGGATGTCAGAGCCAGACCGAAGGAAATCAGACTTGTGCCTTAACCAATGCAACGAAATGAAGGAGAAAGCAGTAAATAGCAGAGTACATAAATACCCTTGTTCTCCACAAAAAGAATCAAGCACAACTCTCTTCGTCTGTCGTCGTCGTCGTCGTCGTCGTCGCCGTCCACCACTTTAGCTTAGCACAAACCTCCCAATCCTGCAGGGTGCGTCGTGCTATTCGCATCGTGTCATTAGAAAAATTCGGTTCGAAACACCTCCACACGTGAATATATCGTGGGGAGGAAAAAGACTGACTAAACTTTCTTCCGCCTTCCGCCTCGTCATGTAATCATTTTTCTGTCCGTGTTGCGTAAAAGCGAGGGGAAAGTGAACCCTGGTGGCTGGATCTCTCCACGGACGGAGGAGGTCTTGTATTGAGATGAGTTCTTGAGTTTTTGTCCATCTTGGGCTGATGAAATAATAGAAGTTGGAATCCTGCTGGGCTCCTGTCTTTGAGAATTTGGGGAAAATTCTGCTCGTTTATTTTGGGATGTATGAAGAAATTCATTTCATCTGTCTAATATACGTGTCTGCTCTCAACTGACGCAGGCAGCAGAACAGTGAACACCAAACATTTTTCACAATTGAGTACTAAGTGGTTGACGGTGGTCGTAGGACTTTATGTATGGAATACCATATACAATATTTTACGCCTTATCTGCCAAAATATGACAGCAATGTTTCTGAGTGTGTGCCCACATATATAATTCTCAGCAGTGGAATATTTTTAAATCACGTGCATTCGTTTTCATTGTTTTTTAAATTAGAGGTAGGTACATTGAAAATCTTACAGATAAACGATGAAATATTCTTTATTTTACTAAAGCCGGTGCAAAACTAAATATTTGGATATTCCTGAAAAATTTGTTGGGTGTTTTGTCTAACGAATATCCGGGTATTTGCATACATATGCTCGTGTGCTTTTAAATATTATATTAGCAAAACTGTCGCTCGAGTAAATTTATAGTGCATTCTTGTAGCAGTGTAAATAATGGTATAGGAGCTAACGGTTTATATAAAATGCATGACATTAAGCCATTGCGATATAGAGTAATTTCCAAAGTTTAGCAGAATTATTTTATGTGAAATTATAGCTAGGATTAACTACCAAGGCCTTTGTAAATCACATCAATTTACGTAGTTGTTAGTATTTGTAGACTACGAGTCTCTAATAATTTTTGCACACATTCATATTTGGTCTACACACACATACACTGCTTTAAATAAATGAATAATTTAAACAGCCCAAAGTTTGCACATTTAGACAATTAGTTTTACAGTTTAATAGTACAAAATAACCGTCATGAAGAAGTGGAAATGTGCGCTACTTTCATCGAAATACGTATGTTGCATATGTACACGTTAACAAAGTTGAACATTTCAATCGAATGCAACGTTAAGCTTCTTGCTTATGAATGCAGTCCACGCTGTTTTATTATTTAATACCCGAAAGAAATGGGATGGAGAGAAACACCGGAAACTCTTTAAAACTCTCATTCAAGTTAAGTTACTCTGATTCAGAAAGTCACTAAAAATTGTGATTTGTATTTCTGAGTTCCTCTCAAGTTTGGAAATGTTGAATTTCGCTAAGTCAACTTGTCCAGTGGCAGCTTGGCGTGTAAGACATTGCACTTCTGGCACACTCCAAATGATAGTTCATACCTCTTGCCCAACTTTCTCTTCTATTTAGCAAACTGCGGTTTAAACATACAGAACTGAAGACTCTTACACTCAAAAAATACTTGAAAATATGGAATAAACTGCTTGCATGCAAATATTTGTATCAGAATCATCACTCATTTGCACTTACCCCCTTCGTACGAAGCGTCGAAGCAGAGATGACCCCGTTTTGCCTTCCCACTGTGACCCGGTGGCCTTAAGACTACCCTTGTCACGTTGCCAAGCCCTCCTTCTGCATCACTGTCGTCACTCTCTGCAATTAAGCCAAGCACACTTTATCAAATTTAGTTTTCAATAAGTGACAAAGTATCGAATGAGAATGTGCCCATGTTGGAAATAGTGTGTTTCTTGAGCCCTTAAAGAAGAAGCGGGTGAGAAAGAATTCGGTGAACTCGGAGTTAATCATTGCAGCATCAGGATGATTGAGCTATAAGGAAGGAATTACAATGGGGAAGTGTTAAAACCCGTTTTGCGTGAATTTGAAGCAGACCCTCAAGCACTGTTTCTCGCTCAGCGAACTGATCCCGTGATTTATAAACTGGAGGAGAAAGTGGTTCAACGTCCATAAGCGTTGTTGTCAATAGCGTTCAAATTCATTTTGGTTTCCTCTGGCGGCGAATGATTTATCAAGACTTTCTCCAGCCCATTTGGGCACGCTCGTAATTCATCTCTTTGCTTGGCACTGCCAACTCCACCACCACCGTCCAAATTCGCCTACTAAATTCTCCATTGAACTATTGCCCATTGTCTTCCTTCTCTCTCTCTCTTGCTCGCTGGGGGTAATGTGCTTTTGAATTTATACAAATTCAATTCCGCATGTATACCAGGAAAGACATGTACATTTCTGGGTGGAAATAAAGACCAAAGGTCGGCCGAAGCCAAGTATGTATATCTACACCAGTCAAGTGCAATAGTTAGTTGTATTCTGGGGCTTTCATAAACTTTGTGCAGTATACTGTGCAATAAGTTTGTCTTGCTAAACTCTGTGTTTATGAATAAACAATGACTACATAATTGGCAAGTAGCGAATTAGAGTACATAAAATGTTGCGATTAAACATTATGGTCTTCTTAGCAAATACGACAACACTGCTTAATTTGATGCTGCAGAGATATGAATACTCGTATACATGACAAAATTATATGAACGACACTGTACCCATTCTTGTTGATGGGATGAAGCCAGAATTCGAAGAAATTAATATCACAACTTCCAGAACTTGAAATACATCACTCACAACAGGCTTAAGTTTGAGGATGAAACAATGAAATGAGCTACATAGGCTTCTATTAATACGAAACTCATTAGTCAACAACTGTGTGATCGGTGTGACGAAATTTTATAGGCTTTTACATCACAATATGTATTATAAATTTAAATAGTATAGTTTCTGTATTTCCTGAAAAGTCACTTGAGTTCAACGCTTTTTATCTTTTCGGGGTTCTTTGATTTTCGTTAGTATTTCTGTTCCAATTCCGATTAAGCATACTTTTTATAATTTTATTGGATGAGTATTTTCCCATTTTGAATAAGTGATAGTGAAGGGTTTGAGTGAGAGATGGCCTTTTTATGCTCATAGTTCGAGTGCTCTGATCAGACTCTTACGCAGATTTTGTTATTTTACAGACAAACCCCAGCACAAGGTTTCGCCAAATTGCACCACCACCATTATGTCGACGTGATGTTGCACATGATAGTGGTGTGGGTTGGCGAATGAAGAAAATAAAACAACGAGTATATGGCTCATTATTTATGAAGAGAGAAATCAAGGGAATGAAATCAGCTCGATTAATTCTTTTGTTCTAGATACGAAAATTAATTCTACGACTCATTCATGGCGTTTGTCCAATTATTTCAGCATGACACAGAATTGGAGACGATAAAGTAATGCAAAGATTGGTTTGGAATACATTGTACGAGACACATTAACCATTTCCTTTCTGTGCGTCTCATTTCTTCGCGATGTGAGTCTCACGGACGGAGAAAGTCGGCCTGTTAATGCTGATGCTGAAATGGTATCGCGTATAAAATAAACTCGTTCCGCTTCAGAAAAGATTCCAATTCCTTGGAGAACGACAAGTTCAAAAATGAGCTGCTGCAAATGAAGAAGCGGAACAAAATTGGAGGTGACTTGGTAGTGGTTTTGTGCTGGTGGAATCAACGACACCCAGGATACTAATAAATTCCTACTCACTTTCGGCAATATTTAACATTTCACTACGACTGGAGGATCCTTCGCCACCCACTCAACATGAAAATGCAGAGAGCTGTTTAATGCATCCTCATCTCATCGTCGTCCTTCCATCCACGGTACAAACCCAACTAGCACCAACACTCAACACTTTATCGAATAACTTTCCCCATATGAAAGAAACTCAAACATTTTAATATATCCTCCTTCCTCTGAACATCATGCACTTTCCGCGTGCTTAGCTGTAACACATTTTAAATTGTTTTTATCTCCAAACTCTCTACAAAATTCAAATTGAACATGAACGTTTTCAACAAATTTCGAAAGCAATTCATGTCAATGGCAATTCACGCTTTTTGTCAGAAATACTTGTCCTCGAAAGAGACAAATGCAACAACATCCGAACCAATCTATGCCTATATGGGCAACATACTTATAAGTATATGTCGTCGTCTTCCCACTCATTTCGCCAATTCCGGGAGTCGTGTGCTTTTCCACGATACTCGAGAATTAACTGGAACCTCACTCAATATAGAACGGAGGAGGAAGAGGAAGAAGAAAGCACTACGAGCCTTTCTTCAAAAGACAAAGTTGGAAACAATGTGCACGTGCTGCTCGGCAATTACCACCAACCCATCCGGCCTCAAATGAATTCCGCCAGTTGATCATGATTTGAGAACTGGTAGAACAGTGTGGTCTGGTCTGAACCATCATGATCATCTAATCTTGAGGGGCAGTCCATGCAGGTTGATGAAATTGCATAACACAGTCGGCGAGGAGACACGGGAGAAAAGAGAACATTAACAGAGGAAACAAAAGAAGAGGAAACAAGGGAACGGATGATTCGGTACTGGTGCATCAGTTAGTCGGATTAAAATTTGAAACACGAGACATCCATTTGGACTGGACTATCCGTTTCAAAAGTTCCCAAGGCCTAGGAGAAAGAAGGATGTGCTTCCTTGTTTCATTTCGTCGTCGTCGTCTCCATCCACTTTTGTACTTCTCTTCTCGAGCAAATGTCTTGCGACTGGCCAAGTAACAAGATTTAAAATTGTAGAAGAGACCAAAGAGTTTTAAAATTTTGGAATTGCCGAGAAAGAAGACAATCATCTCCGGTGCAGGAGGAAGTAACCGAGCCAAGTCTACTTCTACACATGCAAATAATATTATTTTCTTTCCAGAGTGGCGTGTCGAGCGTCTAAAGCTGCTCTCTCACGACACAGCTCGAGTGCGTATGTATATTATGTGTTGCTCAATTCGCAATTGTTCAAATCAAGTGGGAAATCAGCAACTTTGTACCTCTTCCATAATCGACTTATTTTGTGATTCAAATGCAATTAATGAGGACTCATTCCACACTCTGGAAATATGAACTTTACCGATAAACTACTACTCCTGCTGCTCGAGAGAGCTCTGCTACGTACCCAGATACGATCTGGAGAAAGTTGGTTAGTTGGCTGGGAAAGTAAGCGGAAGTGTCGTCGTCGTGCGGAGGGCTGCGAGCGAGCGTGAAATGTGTGGCGCGAAGGACACTTTGTCGGCAGGTAGATTGAAGGTTGTAGTTTTCACTAATCCCTTTCCGCTTTGGTGGATTCTGGCTGCTGTAATCTCATCAATCTCGCCTCAATGAATGGTTCTATCTCTTCCCTCCTCCTCCTCTCCATGTCGATTGAGGAGACCAGCACACAACAACAAGAGGGCAGAAGAAGGAGTTAAAATGGAATTTGCTTGGTGGAGGCAACAGAGTGGAAAATTCTAGAGTTGTTTAGGGAGCGGCTTCAAATCGCTTTGCACGACGCACTCATCCAGCGTACTATTTTTATATCCAAGCCTCCTCCACCTCCTCCTACGCTCTTATCTGCCTACCTACCCACTCAAAAAGGGCTTATCTATGTTCACACTATTTCAAATTCTTTTTCCAAACTTTTTTCAGCGGACGTGTTTTCAGCCCAATTACAAAATTTTGACTTTCAGATATATTTATTTAGCCCTTCCATCGATTGACCAAGAAGGAAGAGCAACCCGCGTCTCATTATTCCAGCAACACCACGGGAATATCCAGTCATAATACATGAATATAAATTCAGGACAATGTGATGTGCTTATTACCCAAATGGAGAGCAGGGGGACTTGAGCAGCATGTGTGTCTCTGCTGCGTACGTACATGTGAATTTTTTGAATGATGATTCTCAGGTTCAGGTGTTGCTTATGGTGTGGAATGAGAGGGTAGGAAGTGAAAACGGGCGAGAAGACGAGAGCCAGAGGATTTGCTGCTCTTGATGCGAGAAATTGTGAGAAGCTGTTGAATTTTGAATAAGATGAAGCATATTTAGAAGATTAAATGGTGTGGGGGAGCCAGGCAGGCATCGTCCACACCGCCGATATGACGGCCCTTGGGTCTTCTTCCTCTTTAATGGCCTACCTTGAGCATGTAATTCCGCTCTCACTCAAAGTATCTATCTCAAGAAATTCTGTACTGAATTCTCTCCTCTGGGGGTAAAGCGTTAAGCTCTAACAAGACTCAAAATTAATGTGAAACTTGAGCTCCCTCATCAATATCAGTTCATTATTCAAATTGCAAAAAGGAATCCAATTGACGGATGGTTTTCATGCTTTCCAAGTTCATCCCCAACTTGCGGGAAGCATAATACCATAACATTTATAATATTCTTTCGCGTCGTAAATTAGGTTGGGAGGGAGACTAATGATTAGCTAAGAAGCTTATCATAGTTAGGCAAAAATATGACGTTAGTCTTCATCCTACCACAGATCAAGGAATTGGGGACACAAATAAATAAATAAATACTTGTCGGATGATACATGATATTCTTTGATATGCTTCAGAATTCATAACAAACACACCTTGTCGTCGGACTTCAATGCGAGCTGGGTGATCCAACGGATCCCATGGTTCCATCTCCATGATGCTCTCCTTTATAAATTATTATTATTTTGCCCGTCTCTTGACCCACTTTCCGTTGCACTAGTTACTCAACCAACGCTGGCCGCCGTTTTTTTATACAACTTTGCTGCTTGTCAACTCAAAACTTCCGCAGCCATTT